TTAGTCTGTCAAGGTAAGAATGGTAAAAGAACTTAGAGCACATTTTAAAAAGCTACTTACAAAGCTCTTACTGCAGAGTAATCTGGGAGTTCTCTAAAATTCAATGTAATGAAGTTTGGAAGTGAAATGGATACAAATTCACCTATGATTATCCCATCTGAAGGACTATGTGGATGAGTTCGGATTGTTGTCCTCCAATTACATATGTTGGAGTTTAATCTTGTGGTGGAAGAATAATGAGGCAACAGCAGGAGCCAAATCAAAGGGGATGCTGCCAAATCTCTGGTCAAGTTCAGGCTGGAAACTTTCATGATCATAGATCACCAAAAGCATCACACCTGGTAGAAAATACAGACAGAATGGAGCAGGTTGTTCAACAGCAGTCTTTATAGACTCAGCACAGAATTTCAGACACTCTGTTTTTGGTACAGTCTTTGCACAACACTTATGGTACCCCATGGGACTTCTGAAAACAGCATGGCTGACTGTAATAATTCCAAGACAAGTCACCTGTACTACCTCAATTGTCAAGAGGAGGTAAAGAAAATATATCTCTAGGATTCCAGTGTAGGGCACAGTCCTAAACAATTCCAAGGATAACTAGCTGTTGTAGGCTGTCAGAGTGTTTCCTAACCTTCCTAACCCTACCCATTTAGGAGTAGTGAGAAGAACCAGGAGTAGTGAGAAGAACCAAGATTTCAGCATCTTCCTTGTGATTGGAAACACCAATTATTTCCAACACCAATTGGAAAACACCATCAGCCTACGATTTCTGTGAATACATGCTTATTATTGCTGAATGAATCAGATAGATGGGGTCTTAAGCAGGAATGGAACAGGGATTGTCCCATTTTGCCTAATTTGATACATTTGGATTTGGATTTGATACATCTAAGGATCTCAGCATGCATTGGAATTCAGGAAAAAAGTTGGTTCTGCGTCTACCGGATGTCACAATTTGGGTTGGGGTGAAACCCATTGGGATACATTCTAGTAGCATTTGTCGACTTCCTCTAGTGCTCAACCAGGTCTTGGAAAGTGAGCTGAGCTGAGAAGAAGTCCATGTGCATACATCATCCAACCAACAAACTTGTTCTGCATCTGGTGCAGCAGCACAAAGGTGGTGGAGAATAAGATGGATGCTGCTTGGGCAGCAATCATAGAGGGCTCCATCCCTGGTGAGCTCCATGGGAACCACATTCTTCCTGTCAGGTGCAGCAGCACAAATGGCTGTTGGTTGTGGCAGGGCAGAGGGCCACGGCTTGTACAGCACATGGAGCTTAATTCCTGGCAAGTGCCACATAGATGCTGGGCATGCTTGTCAGGAGCTTGGACTCAGGGCTGCAACAAAGTGGACTGAAGTCCAGGGTCTGAGCCCAGGGAATCCATTGGAGTCCTAGCCCCAATAGTTTCCCCCACATTGCTAGTCACAGCCTATGTTGTTGCTGTTGCATTGCATTTATATGCTACCTTTACTTAGGGGAGCACAGGTAGATTGCAGGTTGCACTCAGCACATTTCATGCAACCTGGGTCCTACCACAGCATTGTATGACCCAAGAACATGACACACATCCTGGGACCAAATGTTATTTACTCCCATAGCACGTGGTCTCGGTTTTGGTGAAAACAGAGCAAAAGATGTATTAAAGATTTTGGGGAAAAAATCAATGGGGAAAAGATCGCTCAGATTCTGAGCACACATACATGGCAGATCAGAGGCAAATCAGTTTTAGTGGATGTTGGAGTTGCCCTAATAAAAGTTATAGGTTTTATTCATTAAGTATGAAGAGCTCTGCCTGTCCTCTCTCCCCTCACCCCATTCGTGGGGTTTTTCCTTTCTAGTTCTTTCTCTGGAAAAAGTAAAAAACAGCCCCAAGCTATGCTAATGATCCACCCTCTCTCAGCTCCTGATTGCCCAGCTGAAACAGAATGAAAACAATGCTGCAAGTTGATTAGGGCAGCTGCGCTTCCTTTGCAATGTAAAAATACCTAGCCAGCTCATGCTTTGTCTTAAGGAATTTTGTATCTGCTTGTTAAAACCAACATCAAAACCTGTTAGAATTTGGTAACTCTTGATTGTTTATTATCTTGATTATTTGTTATCTGTTACTCAAACCTTTGGTGTGTCAAAATGTTTTTCCTGATGTCAATAATGATTTCTCAATGTTGCTGTATTATGTTTCTGCACTTTCCCACAGTCCTCGCCTTCTCACCCATTCAGAATCTCATCACTGCCTTGAAACTATGCATGTGACCCGCAACTTATAAAATACTCTTCTAAACCTGGAATCTCTTCTAGCCATTTCGATATACTGGCTACCTGACAGTTTTTTCTCTGTCAGAGAGTGGTACCTGGGTGTTCCCTCAATAAACTGCAGAGACTGAGACTAGCATCTTCCATGTGAATCTGCATGTACATTCTTCTGGTGCTGCTATCGAGATTTCCTGACATGCACAAGCAATAACTGAAGCAGCCAGCTGGTGCAATGCATATTTTCGCAGAGGGTCCAGTGCTAATGGGAGCTTTTTGGAGGTGGATTAACATTCATGAGAATTAAGTTGCTTGGGTATTATTGTGTCTGAGGAACACAGGCATCCTTGTCCCAGGTCACTGAATATAAAAATCAATTGCCACTGCTCCATGCATTTTATCCTTGGGGTCAGAGTTATGAGAAGCATCCTCACTCAAGTATTTACCACTGCATGACTGCCTGCCAAAGAGTGCCTCTAGGCAATGCTGAACCTTTGGGCACAGCTTCATTTAGATCCCTGCTGATAATGGCCACAGGAATATTAAGGGATGGAATGATTGAGAGAATAAATGGATGCATTTTTAGGATCCTGAACTGGGTGAGAGAAAGGTGGGTTCAAAGGAGTGGGTTTGTGTTCTGACTTTCTTTTGGAGAAGAAACCTGAGGGTTTTGAGTTGTGAGTTTGCATTTGGGTACACTTGCCCCACCTCATTCCTGTATTCAATTTCTGGGAAAATTATCTCATAGTCTCTGAAAGACTGGTATATCTGTACCTATGCCCTGCATCAGGTAGGGCAGTCTGCAAGCCATCTTTTGGTTTTCTTGAATTGTCTTCAATTACTCTTAGGGAACATAAAGATGGAATAACCAATAACCTGGACATGTGGGAATCTAGGCTTTTGGCTTGTACATTTGAGAAGGGTAGGCTTCTTGTATGGAGGTTCCTTTAAGTTTCTTAAAACCCAAGGTAAATTAGAGATTTCCTTCCTCAGGAATTCCTCTCTTACTTCTCTTGGTTTGCTACCTAGTGATCATCCTTGCTAAATGCAGAAATCTATGGTATTAATAATTTTGTTGCCACACAAGAAAGTGTTCCATTCCTACTGACCCTTTCCTGCTTTAATCAGTCACATCCATTTCTTTTCCAACCATCTCCATCTGAGATTTCCTACTGGGAAAATGTCCTACAAAACATGCTGTGGAATCTTAGGAGGACCCAGAAAGTTGTTTCTCTAATTTCTCTCTAAGTTAATCAAAAGTTTCAGTTTGCTCCCCAAGGATGGTGCTCAACAAATCTCTTTGGACCTCATCACTGAAAGCTGAGGTTCAGCCCTTTAATTTCTATAGAGGTTAATCAAACTTGTTTTTTACTCTCCAAGGATAGTGTTCAGATGAGCACTTTGAATCTCATTATCAGTGGAGACAAGAATTCAGTTTAGATCACTATTGGGAAAGAAAAAGTGGTTAACACAGTCCAGGCATCTCCAAAGATTCCTGTCCGATTAACTCTTGGGTGGCATTTCCACCTTCATGAAAAGATTGTAGCTACTTCATTTTCAGGATGTGCCAATTCAAAATAACAATGAAACACAATTTAATGTTAAATAATCACTTATCATAAGCCAACAGTTCATATTAACAAGAATTATAGTGGCATCCACTTATAGCTCATAAGCAACAAGTAGAATTCAGCAGAGATTACTTGTCAGGACTTAGGCCACAGTGAGACTTCAAGGCAGGAGGTCCACTCTGGATGCTGTGGGTTTAGCTGCCCTGAAGTCAATGGACAGGTGATCTTTAGGCAGGGAGATGCATGTTAATGGCAGTAGATTTTACAGTACAATTCCCTCCTCTAACTCCAGTCCCAGGCCTTCATTTGCCAAGCCCCATGGCAATTAATAATGGCTCTGTCACATGACTTTTATAAAGGGAACAGTCACCTATTCTATTAGGAATTTCTAGCCCATTGAAATAAAATTGTGTTATAAATTCCCTTTCTATCTATGCTTAGTAGAACGATGCTGGTAGACAGTGAGGCATATTAGACAAAGAAATTGTTTCAGTGTTTGGACTAGTTGAGGTGACATCTCAAGCAGATTATTTTTTGGACTGGCCAAGGCAAGTTTCAAGATTTTAGTTATTAGTCAGTGAACATTCATCATCTCTCTGAACAGCATCACAAAAGTATCAGAAAAATATGATCCATCTAATATAGTTTGGAAAAGTTTCTGTGTTGCTTCCTTCTTTTGAGCAGGCATGTCTAAAAGGGAGGATTGCTTTTAAGTGAGTATGAAAGAGAAAATTGAAAGGGGGGTATTTTGCTGTGGAGGGAAAAATACATATAAAGACGCATGTTTTTGTTGTTTGAGAAAAGGAGATTCAGGTAATGCTTAAAATATCTGCACCTTGGCAGAAGTTCACATGGTCTAAATTTTTATGAGAAACTGTGGGGAATTATGAGTAGCTTTTTCTGTTCTGAATTAGTCGTGGAATGAAGCTTGAGATTCAACCAACTGCAGGGACATTTGAAAGAGAAATGGTGTGAAGTGCATTGGAACAAGAAGGGCTACTTCAATATTAATTCTTATTTATAGTATTTAATTAACAGGATTCCTGAAATAATGCCCAAGAATAAAAATAGGTTGTAAACTCAATGCAAGAATTTACCTAGATTTTAGAAATTATGATGGATGTCCAAAACTTAGGGCCTTTGAATTGACTGTTTTTAATTTTCTGAAGGTCCTGTTATGTCTCCAGGAACCTATCTGAATGAAATAAAAAAAGAGGGCAACCTGTCCTGCTTGACTGAAATTGTACTTTTGGGCTTCTCAGATGTCCAGAACATGTGGATCCTTCTGTTCTGGCTGGTGCTAATGTTCTACTTGGTGACATTGAGTGGGAACAGCATCCTATTGATCCTCACTGTGGCCAATCCTTGCCTTCACACGCCAATGTACTTCTTTCTCTGCAACTTGTCTTTCTTGGAAATTGGCTACACTTCAACCATCATCCCTAAGATGCTACAACATTTATGGATGGAGAATCAAGCCATCTCATTTGGGGGCTGTGGGGTTCAGATGTACTTCTTCATTCTCTTTGGCATCACAGAGTGCTGCCTTCTTTGTGTCATGGCATATGACCGGTACATTGCCATATGCAAACCCCTGCAATATGCTTTCCTTATGAGCCTCAGAGAATGTGCCCAACTGGCTGCCATCTCATGGGCCATTGGTATTTTGGTGGCCTTTGGGCAGTCTATTTCAATATTCACTCTCCCCTTCTGTGGGCCTAATGAAATCAGCCATTTCTTCTGTGATGTTCTCCCTGTTTTAAGACTGGCCACTACCAACACCTTCAAGAATGAAGTGGCAGTTGCCACAGTAACAGTCTTCTTCATCCTGGTTCCCTTTTTGCTCATCCTCTTATCCTACATCTTCATCATCTCCAGCATTCTCATCATGCCTTCGGCCCAGAACAGACACAAAGCATTCTCCACCTGTTCTTCCCATCTCATTGTCGTCTCCCTTTTCTATGGAACAGTAACTTTCACCTACATTCGACCCAAATCAGTTTATTCCCTGGACAGTGACAGGATTCTTTCCCTCCTCTACACAGTGGTGACTCCAGCATTTAACCCAATAATTTACAGCCTGAGGAATAAAGAGATAAAAGCTGCTTTCAGGAAATCAATAGAACGAAAACAAGGCTTCATCTAGCTCTATCAAGCACACCTATCTCAGCTATCACCTTTCCCACCAGCTCTCTCTCTCACTTTCACAAATACACACACACACACACACACACACACTCTGTTCTTGCTTTCCCCACCTTTTTAGTCTCTGACGGGGTTCACATGACACAGCAAGCCACCTAGGCTTATTTTGGGGTTTAAAAATATATATTCACAGATTTGTATACTAATTTCTAAACCAATTCCAGAGCCATGTACAATGAAAAGACAAAATAGATCCAAGAATAATGGCAATGCATTACAAATAGGATAACATTAAAATCATGACAGGTCAACAAGGAAACATGTCAGGACAAAGATGTCTTTATTAGGCAGAAAGCAGAACTGTCAGATCCTGCCTGACCTCCAGCTGCAGGGAGTGCTGCAGAAATGGAGCCCCCAAATGGAAGGATCTTCTGGTGGACTCCACATAGGCTGTTGGTCCATGTAGGGTCTGTAGGCGAATATCGTCTAGCAAAAGTCTAGGCTGTATTCCACTGTATTGGTATTTTAGCCTTGTGTTTGTGCATTGCTATGAACTTCTCAGAGAGCTTTGTCTACTGGACAATGTAGAAATAAAAAATTAACAATACTGTTGGGGAGGCTTCCTGAAGTGATGTTCTTGGAGGAGAGGCACCCTCATATTTCCTAATTTTAGTTGTCATCATCATCATCTCAACAGGTTCAGCTCAGCTCCCACCTGGAGCCAACCTGTTACAGAAGACTCCTTTTCCTAAGAAGAACAGGTTGATGAACTTCTACTGCTGCAGCTGAGCAAGATCAAAGCCAACATTTCTTTTGGGTAGAGCAAGTCTCGTGGTTCCTTCTACCTCCTGACTCCATGGCTAGGGCAAGTTGCAGCCACTCTATTGGTTTTCTTCCCATTACTTCCCATCAGCATGTTGGATCAGCTGGGATATGATGTGGATGCAATTCCTGGTATGCACTTTCTACCCTGCTAGGAGCAAGCCAGCTGCACTCGGTCTTGCTTCCTTCCAAGCAGGCATGTGTAGGATTGTGCGAAAAATGTATGTGGTACTTCACTGTGGTTAGGATTGGGAAAACATTTCACTATTTGTAGGGAACATTGCATTGATGCAGAAAACCATGTTGGACAATCATTTTGGTGTGCTGGAAGAAGGGTTGTAAAGAAATCATTTGGACAGCACATTTCCCTCTTTTGCATGTACTGATATATTTGTTGACTTAGACAAAATGTGTGTAAAACTCTCTCTCTCCTGGTATGAGTTTTCCAGAAAATCTTTGGGTCTAGAGGTGCAACAGGTTTGCATCCACATGGAGTGACTTTATTTACCATTTCTTGGGTGCAAATTCTTGCATTATTGCTTGTTTTTAAATATGGGACTTGGGTTTCTCCTTTTATTTGTTTATGTTTTAAATGTGGGATTTACAAGTCCTTCTCAATGTATGATTACAGCAAGTAAGGATGGGGGCAATAATCATGACCATAATTATTTTAAGAGAAAACAAATCAACATCATGCAGTTTCATGGGCCAAACATAATAGGTGCTTTTAAACAAGGACTTCTTTCTTGGCCATGTTGGCCTTGATCAAAAATTATTGTACTTCCCTTAAAAAAGTACAACTTTCCTTCTGGTTCATTTGCTTGCTGGTTGTCCTGGGCCAACAACTCTCTTTTCCCTGGAGGCTCTCTCTACATCTCCTTGTCTATAGGCAGCATTATTTTTACACTTTACATTCTCTGCATTGGTACTTAGGAGAGATTCACCATTGTACCAGTCATCACAAATTCATGTACATCTGCGGGGATGGTGTAAAAAAGTGGAACAAAACAGAATGGGCTGAAATGGTTCCTCTATTTAAGAAAAACATGGCATAAACAACACCACATATGGGAACACTTGCAAACAATATTTTAGGACTCGGACCCCTGCAATATTATATTATTATCAGCCCCATAATGCTTAGAAACCATATTGACAGGGATGTAGGAGATGATCAGCAGGTGGGTAGCAGACCTGGAGATCCAAGTGGGGGCTGAAGAACAGGAACTAGGACATCAGGTCAGGAGGGATGAGAAACCAGCAGAAGACGACTGAAGTAGCTTCTTAGGAAGCTCAGATGGACACAAACATTTAGTGGTGCAGTACGTGACAGATGACAGATGCCACCCCAAAACTATACTTATTTGGAGGATGCATATGGTAGATCTCATGACAAAGCAGAAGTGCCTGCTCCTGCCTAATCTGGGAAACTAAGCAGGGTCAGGCCTGGTTAGTATTTGAATGGGAGACTTGAGTTCTTCACTGAGCAGGGGTTGGACCTGATGGCCTTCTAGGCTCCTTCCACCTGTATGATTCTGTTCTATTATATTCTCAGAACTGGCAGAAACATTCATGGAGTGAGACAGTACTGAGAAGGACATGCCTTTGGGTTGCTGATCCCGGGACTGTGAGTGCAGGCAGACAGTATATCAAAGAAGAGATTAGAGAACTGCAATTTCAGGAGAGTGATATTTGCTGAAGTTTGAGAGTTTGAGATGGTTTTGGATTGGCTATCCAACCCACACAAAACTTGGGCTAGACAAGTGTTGTTTAAGACTTACAGAGCCCCACATAACTTGAGATCAGACAAGGATGGCATTCCTCTCTCAATTCAACCCATGCCTTTTCCTTACTAACTGCTCTCTGGTATTCAGATCAGGCCTCAGCATGAGAATGTAGAATTTGGGGAAGAAAATGCACCCCAATAAGCCAGCACCAGAGGCCAGGATGGAGAAGACCTCCACAGCCACCATGTATTTGCCCTTGGTGCTCAGGTAGGTGGGCACAAAGGACATCCACACACTGCAGAAGACTAACATGCTGAAGGTGATGAGCTTAGCTTCGTTGAAGGTATCAGGCAACTTCCTGGCAAGGAAGGCCAATGTGAAACTGATGATGGCCAAAACCCCCATGTAGCCCAGGACAAGGTAGAACATGATGTCCAAGCCTTCATTGCACTGCATAATGATTGTATCAACCTGGGAATGCCTGTCAAATTCTGGGAAGGGGGGAGAAGTTGCCAGCCATGCTGCACAGATGACAACTTGAATGAAAGAACCTAAAAATATCACTGATACTGCCAGTCTCTTCCCCACCCATTTCCTCATGCTGTTTCCAGGCTTAGTGGCCATGAAGGCCAACACCACTGTGATGGTCTTTGCTAACACACAGGAGACAGCAATGGAGAAGATGATGCCAAACACAGTTTGCCTCAGAAGGCAGGTCACCCTCCCAGGCCTCCCAATGAAGAGGAAGGAGCAGAGGAAGCAGAGCAGCAGGGAGGAGAGCAGGGCACACGTGATGCTCCAATTGTTGGCTTTGACTATGGGAGTGTTATTGTGCTGAATGAAAGTCCCCATCACAACAAGTGTAGTCACAGAGAGGAAAAGAACTAAGGATGTCAGAACTACCCCCAAGGGCTTCTCATATGACAGGTAGCTTATTTCTTTGGGAATGCACTGGTCCTTGTTCTGGTTTGGATGCTGATCTTCTGGGCACATCTCACATTGATCTGCATCTGAAAGGAACAAATAAAAATTCCACATTTCTGGAATAAACACAATGTCTCAACGCTTCCAGAAAGAAGAAAATCTTTAGCTTTAGTCTAACCCAACTTTCAAACAACATGACTTTTTCAACCTCCTCTACTTTCCAGGTTTCCAGATGGTTTTTCTCCTAGAATTTTCTCTCTGAGAAAGAATTGGTTGTGCCTTATGCTGGTGTTCATTTTTTATTACAGCATCACCTTTTATCACATGAATCTTTTATTCTGCCTTAGGAGGGATCCTATCTTGAAATATTTCTAGAACTCCTATAAATTATGAGAATGAGTCAGAGTCTTTGCCTGATAAAAGGTTCACCTGGAATGGCACAACTTGACAAATTTCAAGGAAATTTGGAATCAAATTTCTGTCACTTTCACTGGAATCCATACAGGAGAAAGGTGGGTTATACATTCATTAAAAAGTAAGGAAATGAAATTTGTATTCCCCCCTCCCCCCACATTTTGCTGACAAACATTCAATTCAATAATTTTGCTGGAAAAGATATATATTTTGATACAATGATGACTCGGCACGGGGGAGAACAGCTCTTCAATGTGGAATTACTTTAGACCTGAATTTATAAGTTCTTTTAAGTTTGCATTCCTTCACTTACCCATCTGGGTTGAAATCCTCCCTTGGGGACACTCATGGCAATCATAGCAACACACCTGCTTCCCCTGCTGGACAAACATGCTCTGTCCAGGGCAGCAGCTCTGCACACAGGTGGAACGGGGCAGCTCCTAGTAGCAACCACAAGAAGGACATTTGTGATGCAAATGTCCATATTAGAACTTTTGAGGTGTTTTCCAATTTTCATCTATGAACTGATGCCATTTCCAAGGAGGGAATTATTTTAGTGATTTATTATTTGCTGAAGACAATGGAAGCCCTTATTTCTTAAGTCTGACTAAAATCCCTTAAACATAGAAACAGTCATCAGTAAAAATAAATAAATAAATAAATAAATAATAGGAGGTCTCAGCTTATTTGGCCCAGATAGTCATGCTTTGCTCACCACACTTATGTTGGGATACAAACTTCACTACAGAATTAAGGACACTTTCTCCATTCACATGTACGCTATTCCTGGAATCTCCACAGGGATATGTAGGTATTTCACAGCTATATTTGGAATATTTTGGGAATGTGTAATCGGTCATTGTCTTGGATGCCAAGGCTATAGGTGCTCAAAATGACAACTGGTAGCTAGATTTGTTTTTAAAAGGCTATTAATGAAATAAGTGTGCTTGGATCATCCTTAAATTTGACCAGAAATGTTATAGGTTTTCCATTTATGTGTATCCAAACTGCACAGATCAATTAATTCTAATCTGTTAACATTAGCAAAGCTGTTAAGAACTGGAAACACAAATAAATAATTACAGATAAAGAATGCATAATCACATTTTGGCACTTCAGCCCAGCAGGATATAGAAGTTTCAAACATTTTTAAGTACAGGGCTTTCCAAGCAGAGAGGAAGCAGTTCTTAGAAACCCTTTAACAACCACCTGGAGACTATTGGGTGGTGTAGAAATTTAATAGAGCAAATGATGAGAAAATAGACAATGGAACCCAGTATTTGTAAAAGAGAAACACAGGGAAAAGCAGAGCACATTAGATGGTTTAAGGATGACAAGATAAGGTATGGGAATAGTATATATTGATATTTCAGACTATGATAATTCATAGATTAACGAGATTGAACAATATCTGATATAGATGTGGATCATATACCATCTTTTGCTCTGTAGATTTTTTAGAAGCAGAAGAAGTGAAGAAAGACTTGGGTTGATTCCATAAAGGAGATGGGTTGATTCCATAAAGGAAGCCACAGCCTTGAATTTAAAGCAGTTAAGCAGGGATTTAATTGATGGGACATTTTGAAGGGCATTGATTCCCCAGAGAGGTTCACCTTTTCAGGGCCAGATGAAAACCTTATTTTCCTGTTATTTTAATGTTTAAATGGTTTTAATGTGTTTTATATTGTTATATTACTGCATGCTGTGTCATTTTAATTTCTATTTTACTTGTTTGTTGTAAACCATCCTGAGACACTAGTAGAGGGATGGTCTATAAAAGCTTTAAATAAGTAAATAAATAATAGATAAATTCATCCATATGGTCTCTATAAGTCAGAGATGACTTGATGGCACATATGAGCATCAACCAACATCAGACTTATTTATTCTGCATTATCTTAATAACTGTAGAAGAACAACCTCATATAAGAAATAATTTGCCAAATCATGCATCTCAAGCAAATATGTTTGGTTCAAGGAGATGAATTTGAGCACATAATCAATTTGTTGATGATGCAGAAGAAAATAAAGATAGTAATTCCTACCTGATTGAATTTGTGATTCCACACAATGGCACTTCCATTAATGGTAAATGTATTTTCTGGAGGAATCTGCTCATTTATACTTGCAATTCGGATTCTCTGGAATGATTGATCAGGGAAGGTAACCAAGTTGATAAGGTCATATCCACTTGATAGATCCCTATTGTCATCAAAATATATTTCTTCTCCGGCCATATTGTTGAAATGGATGTTTCTCAGAAAAGCATGGAGCTGGATTGGAGAAGAAAAAATATTAATTTTATTTATTAATTAAACCCACCTTTCTTTCCTGCAGTTTGCAGAGTAATCAAAGAGTCAGAAATGGAATTCTAAATTTCCTTGGAATTTGCCAAGGTGTGCTATTTAGTGTCTTTATCAAGCAAAGACCCTGCCTAACTCACATAATTTATAGGAATTTTAGATGATGTTGCTTCCCATTTAAAACCAACCCGTATCTTCTCACTGCTTTTTTCTGTATTTTTTCCTAACCATCGTTCCCTGTTAAGAAGAGAATCTCAGCATCATTGACGGGTAGAGCCCTCCATCTGGAAGCACCCTGAAATTTTCAGTAAGTGGCCCTTAAGTATTGGTATGACCAAAGATGAATTGGCAAGTGCTGGTGCTTGCCAGATGTTCAGTACTGATTGATACAAGCTGGATGGATGATGAAGAATGAAATAAATGTTCCAGTGGTGAAAATGTCTGTATTGTATTTTATCATATTGTACTTTGGGGTCTGAATAGTTGTGAATCACCCTGAGAGAATCAGCAAATGTGTGGTACAGAACTATAATGAATACATAATGAAATCATTTATTTGTTTATATTGAATATGGGCAAAGAACACCATCGAGAGGTTTTAACATCTTGTGCATTAGGACTGACTAAAAAGTGTGCAGGTTTTTAACACTTTTTTAATGATAAGAAAGAAAGATCATGGTGGACATTTTTCAAAATATTAATGGTAAGAGGTGGTGGCCTTTCTGTGTCATAATATTAGAATTCAAAGTCACTTTGAAAGTAGTCTGGGAGCACATCTGAGATGGGAAAGTTAAGCTCCTGTTTCAATTAAGACATGATCCAGTAGCCATACCCTCCATCATAACAGGGCTTACAAAAGGTGTAGCGTGAATTGAATATGAGATAGAAACATAGAAACAGAGCGAGTCAGAAGGGGTCTCCTGGGCCATCTAGTCTGACCTCCGGCACCAGCCATCTCAGCTCATGACATGCCCACCATGTCCATCAAGATCTCATGCTGCTGTCAATGATAAAGGAAGAGAGAATTTTTTCTTCCATTTCAGTAATGCATTCAAAGCTGGATCTGCTCCGGGACTCTTCTCTCCTAAATGGAGGATTTATTAACAGTGCTGCTTTTGTTTTGTTTTTCAATTTCAGAACATGGTTCCACGCTACCCTATGATGTTCTATAATTAGTCTGGAGCTGTGTCTACCTGCCATGGATGAATTTTCTGGAGGTTCCATCTGTCCCTATCTCCTCTGGATTTTTGCTTAGCACTTGCTAAATCCATGGCATGGAGAGCATGTGCTAAAGCATAGACAGCATTGTAGATACTGTAGCTCTGGCCAGACATGTCCATCTCAAAGGTAGATCCAGGAAGGCTCCTCAGCTCCTCCTCCCCAGTGCAATTCTCATTCCCCTGTGCATAAAGACCGTATTCTGGGAGTGAACAGAGAAATGCTGTGATCCAGAATTCCTGAATGTCATAGATCTCTGACTCACATGGATTTATGCTCTCAAGAAAGTCCAGAAATCCTGACACCTTACTAGTATGGAGACTGAATGACAAGCTGCCGTTGAAGGTTTGTGCAGTGAAATTGTCCCTACCCAAAACAGTGGTGTAATCCCATTCAGCTGTTGTGATCCACACTCTTTCAAGAGGGCTGTGATGAAAAATTTCCTCAGAGTGCAAAAGGAGTTGTAAACCTGAAAGAGATTGGTAGTCCCCATAGACAAGGATCACGTCTATTTCGCTTAAAGAAAGAAGTGAGTGGAGCAGTCCCAGTTTTTCTTCAATTATTTTCTTTGGTGAAAACTCAGACACCACTGGCATCACATGCATCCAAGCAAGGCAAATCTTACTCTGCAAAAGCCTTGGTCTCAGGGTTTGAAGGAAGGTTTCTCCACTGTCATCATCTGAAACAATGAGGCCAATCCAGTTCCACCCAAAATGCTTGAGGAGCTGCACGATCCCAACATACTGAGGTTCTTCATTTGGGACCATCCGGTAGAAAGAAGGGAACTGAGCTTTGTCCCTCAGGGCTGGATCAAAGGAGCCATAACTGAGCTAATGGGAATGGTATGGGTGCCATTTTAGTCTGAGAAAACTAGCTGTTTTATCTTAAACTTGAATTAACACTAATCACTAAATCAAGCTAAATCATAATTTCATTGAACAGGAACTTGCAACAAATGTTGTGGTTTCTAAGATTTGTGCTTCACATTCTAGTAAGTTTGACTGGTACTGGCAATGTCCAATATATTGTACATGCTCCGAGCTAGTTCTTTCCCTCTTCAGGTTCCAAAGACCCAAGTTACACATTCCAAAGTCTTTAAACACAGCTCTTTTATTGCAAATCCACAGTTGACAGAACAGTTTAACTCTAAACAGGCTCTTACCAAAGCTGAAGGGTGAAGTCTATGCAAGTAAAGAGTTGAATCCAAACTGGAAGTTTCACTATGGTCCCAGTAAGGCTGTTGGTCCCACCTTCCAGGGGGACTTGATGTTGAAAAACTGGGTGGTGAAAGCAATGGAGCCCCTCCAGCTGAGCCGCTCATCAATCCTGATAGCTCCTCATTGGACTGGCCCTGGGTCCCCTGTCCTGAAAATCCCCCTGCCTCTTCCAAAATAGTTTAGCTGTCATGCTCAGTGTGAGACCCTCCATCAGGCAACCTTGAAGGAGCCTCGAAGGGTTCAGCCCCTCTGCTCCCACCCTGCTCCTCTGTTCAGAATCTGACCATGGTGTCTTCCATTGCACAGCTGCAATGAGTGCGAAACTGGTTTGCTCTCCACAACACAGCATTAAGCAGGGTGCAAGAGAAACTGGGTTTATATTTCCACCCTGCCTTGTTCACACCTTAGCTCCTTATGCCAAATCCTGTCCTAACCTACATGCCAGCCAAGTCCTGCAGTGAGGTTTTCCTCCAAGTGTACATAAATAGGACTGTTCTTCGGGAATTGTGGGTTCTTATTTTCAGGGATTCCAAAATGCCAGTGCAGCTAGTCAAGAACTCAGTGGTTTACTCAGAAATGTATATCCTTAGCAATTTCATGTGGCACACAGGTAGAGGTAAAACTCTCTTTGTGGTTGCCTGTCTCTAATTCTAAAGACATACCTGTGGTATCTTGTAGGTATTAAAGACATTGGCCATTTGGATTGAGTTTTGGGAGGTGAGACCACCAACCACAGCCACTAATTTGTCTTTCCTGCCACAGCTATAATTGGGAGGATCCCCTTGTCCCGTAAAGAGAAGATTCACAGTGTTCCCATAGGTTTGCATTGAATCAAAAGCATTGTCATTAATCTTGGATCTCAGTGTAATGTTGGGTAATAATTTAACATCCTTGTTGATCTCTTGGATGGCAAAAAGAAAGGCAAGGACATGCTGGTAGTTTTTAGGGATCATGCTGCAATGAGATTTTCATAGCATCTTAATTCTTTACATCAGAGAGCCGACTGCATTAGAGTTTGCACTGTGATTTGCCCATCTAGGCAAGGTGATCGTTGCCATACAGACTATAGAAAAGTCTCCTGCACATATTAATGGCATGAGGAACATCTCCTAAGAAAGCAGAAGTATGTAAATAGTACAGTCAAAGTGACACCATGCTGCACAATGGATAAAATCTTGGATCAGGTTGTGTAAAACCACAACATTAGTGTAGTTCATGCAGGCTGCAGTTCTTCTTGCCTCTTAACCAGGTGCAGTCTCCGTTGACCACGCTGGGATTTTCTTCTGAGCAAACGTGAACAGAAACTAGTCCTGTGATAAGTACCACCTGTTTTCCTAACCTAACTTACTAGGCTGCTGTAAAGTTATGATATTTTGATGAGTGCTGCAGAGAATATGCAGAACTGAAAGCAATGCCTACAGGTATAGAGCTACTGGGGCTGGGTACCAATGCAATGCAAGCCGACCAGCTCCCCTCACCTGATGGAAGAACCCATCTCTCCTACCCCATCTCCTCTGCAGCCTTTCTCTTGGGCACATCACCTTCCCTCTCATCTTTTGCTTTCTTTTCATTCTCTCTCACCACCTTCTGACCTATCCCTGCTTGCCCCATTGGGACAGATTCACACAATGCAAAATGATACCCAAAAATCCCTGTTGAGATTACTATTATCTCTCCAAAAAGCCTTGCTATAATTTGTGTGGTGGGGGATGAGCTGGGGCTTGGTTCTTCTTGGTTTATCCATGCCAGCATTTGAATTATTTGCATTCAAAGTATTCATAACCAAGTATGAAGCCTTGATTTCATCAGGTCTGCCTGCATTATGGATTCTAGTCTTGAGAAGAGAAGACTGAGGGGGGACATGATGTCCCTCTGTAAGTAGCTCAAAGGTGTCACAAAGAGGAAGGTCAAGATCTCTTCTTGCTGATACCAGATTGTACAGCATGGAATAATCAACTCAAGCTATGACAACCCAGATTCAGGCTAGATATCAGAAAAAGCTTCTGCACTGTCAGAGCAATACAGCAGTGGAAACGGCTGCCTAGACAGGTGGGGGACTCTCTTACACTAGAGACATTCAAAAAGAAAGTGGAAAGCCATCTAAGTGGGATGGTGCAAATTGCAGGGGGTTGGACCTGATGACCTTCATGACCCCTTCCAACTCTACCATTCTATGAGTTTATGATTCTAAATTGATGGCCGAGGCATGTGGTGAAGGCATATAAAAGTTTTAAATAAATAAATAAATAAAACATGAAAAATTGCTCTATACATTCCTTCTTTTTCTCTCTGTATCTACATCTATAGAAATACAGAATTACACATGCACATCTTTTGAAGTCCAACTTGCTCTTAGAGCACAATGGATGAACATTTATTAATTCTACTGACAGCCAGTGTGGGGTAGTGGTTACAGAGCACTGGGCTGGGACTCAGGTGATCTGGGTTCTAGTCCCCGCTTGGCCATGGATCCAATTGGGTGACTCTGGGCTAGTCACAGACTCTCAGCCCAACCTATCTCACAGAACTGTTGTTGTGAGGATAAGATTCAGAGGAGAACGATGTAAACCACTTTGAGTTCATAAGAAAAAAGTGGGCTATAAGTCTATAGATAATTGAATGAATGAATGAATGAATGAATGAATAATTTCTTCTGGAAAGGATCCTGTTGCTGCCCATAGGTAAACTCCAAAAACATTTTAGTAACTGAGACATGGAGTGATTTTGATAAGAGCTTGGTCTAATCTTGACCTGCTGGTGGTTCTGTTTTGGTCTGTTTCTATGGAAGACTGCAGGTAAAATGGATTTATTTTGCTGTGACCAAACATAATTGCACACAGAAAAGATCTCCTTAAGAACAAAAATAAAGAACTACTCACGCAGCAGTTACTGAGGAGGACTGTAGCTTTTCCATAAAGTCTGGCATGGTAAAGTTGGAAAGTGTAATGGATACAAATTCACCAATGACAATCTCATCCAGAGAAGTATGTGAGTTAGTTTGAAGTACTACCCTGGAATTGCACAAGGTGGAGTTTGAAGTCATGCCGGAAGAGTAATGCAGCAGCCAGAGCAGCAAAACCCAACAGAACACTAACAAATATTGGGTCAAGTCCAAACGGGACTCTTTCATGATCACCAGTGACCACCATAAACAGTCTCTGTCCTGGCAGAAGATACGAAAAAGCCTGGACTAACAGATCTGTGCTTTACTCAAAATAACCTCCTTGGTAGAAGCAGAGAGAGTTGTCTTCATAGTTTCAGCATAAATCACCATATCTGAAATATGCTGATTTGGGCCTGTATGTAATATTCCCAGGGCTGTGATATCCTTTGGGATATTGGAAAATACCAGTGCTGATTGCAATCATTTTCATAATTACAGGGTAGGTCAACTGTTTTTCCAAGGTCCTGAAGTCTCAGAATTGGCAAAGAAAACATGTCCCTCTGATCCCATTCTAGAATTTAGGACAGTGCAATAGTGTTGAAAACTAGGTTGTACTGATGCAAGTTCTTGGAGAGATGGCCAGCTTCCTAAAAGTTCAGGATTGTCATAGAACCAGTAGGAAGAAACATGTTGGATGATGCCCAGTGAGCGTGGACATAATACAGGCCTGTACAAATATCATTATTTTATTATAAATTAAATAATTATTTATAGATATAAATAATTATTTTAGATATAGAAGAGAGCCAGGGTGGTCCAGTGGTTAAAAGCACAGGACTGGGACTCAGTTGACCTGGCTTCTAGTCCCCACTTGGCCATGGGGCCAACTGGGCCAGTCACAGACTCTTAGCCCTCTTATGCCTACAGCAATAATTCTCACAAAGATACTGTAAGTATAAGATGGAGAGCAGCAGGAGGAGAATGATGTAAGCCACTTTGAGTTCATAAGAAAAAAAGCAGGATATAAATCTAATAAACAAACAAATAATTAAAACTTTTGCTCTTTCACTGCAATACATCCATGTAGCCTATATGAGTATGTAATAAGAAAATTGTGCTTTGAACATCATACTTCAATGCTCTGTAAAATTTGTTCAATCCATGAAAAATGATAAAACAATAAATTATCTACTGATCTGTCTTTCTGTCTAGGAGGTTTTATGGCTGTCCTTATATATCTTCTGCTTTAAAAAAAAATCTTATGATCATTTATATTACAATCTATTTTTTCAGACATTCCTATTGGGGGAGGGGTTATAGATCAATGAATAGATCATAGCTATAATGAAAATAGCAGTAACAGTTATATAGCCTCTGCCAGCCAACCAAGGAGGACCTTAAAGAGGAAAAGGCCCTGATTTCCTGGCCAAGGTCCAAACCAGCCACCCCTGGATGAGAGACTCTAATTTCCCCACAACAGTGTCCTTTTCAGAGCATCCTTCATCTCCTTGTTCCTCAGGCTGTAGATAAGTGGGTTGAGCAAGGGGGTCACCACTGAATAGAAGAGGGTCACCACCTTGTTGCTGCCCCCAGAGGCTTCGGGGACAACATAGGTAACCATGATGGAGCCATAGAAAAGGCTCACCACAGCCATGTGTGAGGTGCATGTGGAGAAGGCCTTTTGCCTTCCCCCTGCAGAGGGCAGCCTTATCACCGCCTGGAGGACAGCAATGTAGGAGCACACGATGAAGAGGAAGGGCCCAAAAATGGCTGTTGAGCTGAGGCTGTAGAAGGTCATCTCTGGGCCAGGGGCTGGAGTGCAGGAAGAGGCCAGAAGTGGTCCTGGGTCGCAGACAAAATGGTCGAGAATGTTGGGGCCACAGAAATGGAGCTGGGCAATCATGGTGATGGGCACCAGGAACCACAGGAAGCCCCCGAGCCAACAGGAGGCTGCCATGCTGAGGCAGAACTGTGGGGACATGAGCACTGGGTAGCGCAGGGGCTGGCAGATGGCCAAGTAGCGGTCCAAGGCCATGGCTGCCAGAAGGAAGCTCTCGGTGGTTCCCATGGAGAAGAAAAAATAGAACTGGAGGAAGCAACCGTGGAAGGAGATAGCGCCTGGCAGGGGACTGGCCAGATCTGACAGCATCCTGGGTACTGTGCTGCTGACATAGCATGTCTCTAGAATGGAGAAGTTGCCCAGAAGGATGTACATGGGGAGGCGGGAGAGGCGAGAGTCCCAGAGAACAGCCCACACAATGCAAAGGTTTCCGGACAACGTGAAGGCATAGCAGGTAGACAAGAAAGCACAGAGGATCAGCTGGAATGGACGTGAGAGGGATGGGAAGCCCAAGAGGATAAACCCCGCTGCTATGCTGGTGTTGTTGGCTTGCTCCAGGTGGGGTTGCCCCTGTTGCTGGAAGAGTGACAGAGAGGGAAATGATAAACATCTACAAGCAACCTCATCCAGAAGCAGTGCCTTTGCTTCACTGGACTGCAATTCCTATCATCCAGTTTCTCCCCTCTGTGCTTTCCCAAGAACAAAGGTCTTCAGAAGAGGACCTTTTCTTGGCATAACTGCCATCAGAGAGCTGGTGTGGTGTGGTATGGTATAGTGGTTATAGTGTTGCATTGCAACTTCAGAAATCCAGAAAACAGTCCAGAAGTTCACAGAATGTGTGTGACTCAGGGACAGTCAGTCTGTTGTGGAGTCCATGGGTTGGATCCATAGGAATTTCCTGTCTATTCCAGTCCATTCTGGATTTTCCTGATGTCCCCACCCAGAACACCACTTCCATGTCAGCTCACAAACATTTTTCTCAAGTCTTGATAAAGTCCTGCATAAGTCCTGTGCCAGGCTTCCCCAGCTTGGCACCTCCACAGATATGTCAGATAACAACTCCCAGCATTGCTGGCCAAGAATGATGGGAATTGCAGTCCAAAACAGTGAGTTGAGGGTAGCTGCCCTGTGCTGTGAGGTCATAGACTAAGCTAATGTGCACATAGCAGAAGATGTATTTGGATTTAATATTACAAATATTGCAAATGAACAAATATTAATTTATGAATGAAACTCAGAAACAAGAAACAGCAAGAAGGGTTTGAAAAAAAATCTTTACCACATGTTTGGGCACATCCAGGGAAGACATCTGTCATGACGATTCTCTCAGTTCTGATCTAGGGGTCAAGACAGGTATCAATCTTAATTGAACTATATTACAGACTTAATAAAATGTGCATATAATTTAAACAAGGGAGAGGCCTTTTGCTATTTCATAAAACCTGTCACATTTTCTTCCGGATTCAAGTCTCCTGTTATTAAGTACACACTGGAGCTTTCAGGGTCTGTGCACAAAATGCTCATCGAGCAATTCAATATGCATCAGGCTTCAAACATGCATACCTGGAACCTCTTGCTCCCCTGTCCTCTAAACCTCCAGAAATGTTAAAATGGGCAGGCATAACCATTTATTTATTTGCTTTCTTGCAGAAGAGAAAGCATATATGAATGTTGGGAACATAGAAAAGTGCCATTTTCATTTTAATTTATCAACATTTACATAAAATGTTGATTTTCTTCCTATCTAGGAAAGAAATGCATAGCTTTTTTTTTTAACTGTATGCATGAAAAAGGTGAAATTGGCCATCACAAGTTGAAGCAGATCCAGGCAGGTCCATTCAGACAGATGGTTCCTAGTGCTTCTAATTGTAAGGCACCTTGTAGTTATGCCTTCTTTCTTCCCCTTAACCAATTTATGATGAAAAAAAATATAGAAAAAGTGGGTGGTAAAAGATGGGAGCTTAGGAGCAGAAGACAATATGATCCTGACACCCACACGTCAGTAAAACTCCATGAATTAAGCAGGAGAACAGAATCAGAAAAACTTTTTCTTGAGGTTTTCCTGCTGAAGGATAAAGAACCTCAGTTACCCAAAACCCCATCAGGAGTTCTGAGTTCTCCCCTTGTCTCATGGAACAAAAGTCAGGTGCAGTGATTAGAAGACAGGAGTCCATGAAACGGCTGCCTGCTTCCGATGAGGAATTCAGACAGGGAGGGAGTGGAATAGCAACAAGTGAAATGCCACAAATCTTACCTGGTTGTGAGAACTTCTCAACACAGTTGCCTCCTTAGTTCTGAAGAGGTGGCCTGGAGAAGATGGTGGATATTACAACCCCATCAACAAAGCCTCAGGAGGCTCCGATCTCCAGAGTGTGGCATAGATGCAAAATCTGGATTTTGCTCATTGGTTCAACAGCCTTGGCTGGGCTGAGGTGATCTAGGGTGACCTGGAAAGAGTGTCACAAGTAGATACAGGTTTTCTGGATCAGAACCAGGAAAATCTGCCATTGTCCATGTCTGAGGTATTTATGAGATGACATTTGGCTTCTTTTTGATTGTTCTGAAAGTCAAAATATAAAGCTGAATGACTGAGTTATTTGAATGTGTTCATAATGAGAGGCAGGTGCCAATGGATTGTTTTAAGTTCTTATTTTATTGCTATTCAGTATAAAACATTTCAATGATTCCATCCTCAACAAATGCACACAGAAGTCATGGCATGTATCCAATGGGTTTTAGTCACTGTTTGTTCCATTCTTTTCAATGAGTCTACTCTAACCCTGCACCTCTCTTGTTATGGACATGCTTTTCCCTGCAGTGTGTACCTCAAAGTTTCATCTTGACATAATGATGGTGGCTCTAGAAATCATACTAATTTCATACTGATAGTTAGCTTTACAAATAAAGCACTGGGTTTTGAATCCCTGTCTCCCTGTGCTCAAAGAAGTGGTAGATCACTCAGTGGAACCAGGTGCCTGGAATGGTGGTGGACTCTCCCACACTGGAGACATTCAAGGCAAAACTGGACATCCATCTGAGTGGGGTGGTGTAACTTGATGTCCTGCAAGAACAGGGGGTTGGACTCGATGGCCTTCATGGCCCCTTCCAACTCTACTATTCTATGATTCTATGATTTGTTTTCTTCTAGGATGCACTCAAACACATAGCCTGTTCAGTCCCTCATTCTGTAGCAAAATCTCAGATATGAGATTCATACCCTTTCCCCCCCCCAATGATTCACTTGTTCAAGTGAAAGGCAAGATTCCTCTGAATCTGTTCTGGTCCATCCTTGATCCAGTGACTTGATGAACAGAATTTTTATTTGGGATTCATATCAATTCAATCTTGGAGAAGCTTTTTTTGGGGGGGGGGGGCTGTCACTCTAGTGGTAAATGAAATCAAACAGAAAGAGAGCATGGCAGAAGTGTACTCCCCTCCAAAGAACCCCCAGAATATTTTAGCTTAAATGTGTTACTACTAGAAAATAAGCCTTGGGGAGGCATCTCAACCTTTCAGAATGTGGAAAAATACTGTAAAAATCAGGAAAACACCACATAATCAATATTTAGGGAGAAAGGGGTGGGGCCATGGAAAAGGGTGGAGCCTGGAAGGGGTGTGACCGTCCAGGAATGCTGGATAGCCCAGATGGGCTCGATATGGCTCATAGGCCAATGGGTGTGCACAAGTTTAATATGAGGACCCACAGTTGATATCCTGAGGACAATGTGCAAGCAACAGGAATATCAAGAAATGATGGGTATAGAGGAATCTTGAGATTTGAATTGTGGATTGGCAGATAGCCAAGTATGAATTCAAGGACATGGTGGAGGAGAATTATGTGCCATTAAGGAAAAGATGCAGAACTGGAGGGAGTATCCATGGAAAGGATAAAGAGCACGTGGGGTGCAAGCTGAGGGGATGCCAAGTCAAATAATATAAGGGGTGCTCTGGCGGGCATGCAGCCCATCTCCAGCCAGGAGAGATTGCTCAGACGGAGGGAGGGTCCCACACCACCAGTGCAATAATACAGATTTTCTCAACCAAAGTGAGCATGTACAGAATGCTGAGAAATATAAGGAGTTGGAAATGTTTCTTCTGTCCCCCTCTGAGGCCCACCAGAACAAATCTTACTTTCTTCTTTTTTCATATCCCATTCCTTTTCCCCCTTTATTTCTTTTCTCCTCAGCCATCTCTCCTTCCTTCTCAACAACCTGCCCAAGGCCTTCCTCACTTGATCGTTCCTTAGACAGTAAATCAAAGGGTTGAGGAGGGGTGTAATAGCTGTATAGAAAACTGTAACCATTTTTGACATCTGGGACTGACTTCCCACTGTCGGTGTTACATACATTGCTGCGACTGAACCATAGAAAAGTGTCACCACTACTAAATGGAAAGATATGGTGGAGAAGGCCTTCTTCCAGCTGCCTTCACCAGAGGATTTCTTCATCAGTGTGAGAATGATGATGCTGTAGGATAGTACAACAAAGAGGAAGTTTCCTAATATAACAATAATATTTATGGAAAACTGGCAGATGAGGGAAACATTTTTTTTGTGGTGGGCAGGCTAGGGACAGAATGGGCCTAGGGTCACACAAAAAGTGGTCAATGATATTTGTATGGCAGAAGGACAACCTGGAGATCAAGGCCACAGGGAGAATGTAGCCCAGGAATCCGATGATCCAACAAGCAGCCACCAGAGCATGGCATGATGTTGGAGACATGATCTGTGGGTAGCGCAGTGGGTGACAGATGGCCAAGTATCGATCCAAGGCCATGGCTGAAATAAAGAAGCATTCGGTGCAGCCAAGTGAGAAGAAGATGTAGAACTGGAGGAAACAAGCATGGAAAGCGATGATCCCGTGAGGGGATGCCAGATCAAACAGCATACGCGGCACAGTGGTAGAGATGTAGCACATCTCCAGCCAGGAGAAATTGCTCAGCAGGATGTACATCGGCAGCTGGGCCAGGTGGGTATCTGCACATACTAGTGTGATAATGGTGATGTTCTCAGCCAAAGTGAGTGTGTAAAGAACAGCAAAAAAGATAAGTAGCAGGAGGCGTGTTTGCTGCCCAGCTCCAAGACCCAGCAAAACGAATTCCTGGATGGTGGACCCATTGGCCAGCTCCATCTGGAATCAGACAATAGAATCATATTCACACACCATGACAAAGAACCATCTGCCTGTCTAGCTATACATTTCCAGCAACAAAGCTCAAGCAAGTAAGCCATCTGAGGGAAAGATAAAAGTACAGCTGCTACCTACCCCCATGTCAGGTCTCAATAAGTTGGAGAGAATAAAAGCTTTACAAAAGTTTGGTGAAGAAGGCTTGGGAACCTTGCAAACATCCTGATGGTCTAAGTTAGATGCTTTTATTATGTCACAACATGGGTTTGAATACTATATCATTTACTGTAACATGAAACTGGTGGTTCATGGATTTGCCAGTTGTTTCAAGTTGGTTTCGTCCTTGGATCGCTCTCCTGGGCATTCACATACATGTTTTTCCATCACTTACTCCAACAGCAATCATAGAAGGTGAGTGTTGAGGGAAACTGAGCCAAGACAGGGTTGTGGAGAAACAAGAGGAAGGTATCAACATGTTGAAGTCATGTCCCACAAAAACCCCTTGTAAAAAACAAAAAGAGACAATGACCACAAGAATAAGGACTGGTAGATGCAATTCTATCCATGCTCAGATGTCCTAAACCCTGCCAGTATGTCCCAGCCAGCATTTCTCAAAGTAATTTACTGCAGCATTTTTAATGCACTCCTTTTCAGGTGAATGGAAGCCTCTAAACTCACCCAGAGTGAAGAACAGTGGCTGCTGTCTCAGCAAATCCTTTAAAAAACCCCCTAAAATTCAATGTATTTTACTAAAAGAGTCATTCTACCCTAAGCCCAACCCTAAAATACCATGTATTTTAACCAAAGAGCCATTCTTGGCCAGATTGTCAGGAGCAAGAGGGAAGCGGACTGAGGTGCCACTGGGAACTGGCACAATCTGTCTGCCCCAAACTCCTTCCTCCACATCCCATCATGCCCTTTCCACATCTCCAAGACCCATCTGCATCCTTGCAAAGGCAGGTACACAGTTCTTTTTGTGCTGGCTGCGAGCAGGGTGGAGCTCAACCTGGCTCTAAGATCACAGGACCTCAGAGCTGGATCTCAGAATAGCCCTATGGTCCTGGACTTCAACTCCAAGGTCCACTCCTCACAGCTCCATTGTTAGAACTGCTCCAAACCCCAGTTTAACTGTTAAGAAGGTTAAAATCAGGATTGCTTCTAAGAAGCTTGGGAAGTTTCCATTGTGATCCTTCAACATTTCTTGGAAAAGCCAAGATCTCCCCCCCCCCCCATAGAAAGTGTTGAAAGTTAAACCCATTCCTCTGCAGTTCCCAGCCCAGGGCATTTCCAGATGGAAGACTCCTTGTAATTCCAATCAAAAGGCAACAGGCAGTGATTTTTGTATTTCCCTCAACATGTGTGTGTGTGCTTGTGTGTGCAATAAGTGAAAATTTTTTAGAAAGCTTAAGTTGTGGGAAAATACATGAGGTTTACAATTGGAAGGCAATATGACTGGGTCCCTCTTAAAATTCTGTGAATAAGCCAGTGTGACTGCACATTCAAAGCCTCACCTGGAAGCTCTGGAAGTCTTCTTTGCCTTATTAATTGTTCCTGGTTTAGTGCCTCAGTAATATTTGAAGTGTAGCTCCATCCGGTGGAAGGCTTAGCACGACTGGTGACATTTCAGAGTTTGACAAGATAACGCTGTTCTTGTGCCATTTCTTTTGTGTTTTTGGTGGGCAGAAGCATGTGTGACCACAAACACTAGAGTCTTGAATGTCTCTGATAAATATGTGGTGGCTTTGAAGAACGTGTTCCTCAAGAAAGCTATAATTATGGATTCAACAATATATAGCTTCCCTCTGGAGACTGTTTGCCTATCTCTCAATGTTGCCTATCCCTACAGGTAATTTTTATTTTCCTTTGTTAGGGAACCATGGGCTCATCTGAGCAATTAAATGGATGCAATGCCCTATGGAGGAGCTACCTGGTAGCTTGGCGATGAGATAGAAGAACATTCTGTTCAAACTACTGTAGCCCCACTCACAAAGGCTGAATGTTCTCCCACCAGATCACAGGAAACTTCCATTATTGATCTGCTAAGCCTTTGATCTTGCTGATTGGCAATGTTCTCCATTGAAAGCTATCATTGGGTTTTTTGCACCTATATGGTGCTTTAAGGTTACAGTGGAAGAACCTCAGTATATTGTCCAACTCAGTGAGTTTAAGATTAGAATTTGGGCAGGATCGGCTAACATGTCTATTATATGGTTGTGACAATAGACTGGATGAAGGCTAACAAACTGAAGCTCAGTCCAGAAAGGTCTGAGAAGCTGTTGGTTGGTGATTCCTCTGACCAAATGATGATCTTTTGTTAAGATTTTATTGTATTTTATGACATTTTATTGTATTGCTCTCAACCCCCAGGAAACTTTGACTATTGGGCAGCATCAAAATAAATAAATGAATTCAGTCATCTTTTGGTATTCAAAAATATATTTAATGAATGAATGAATGAATGAATGAATGAATGAATGAATTGGCCCTCTGGCTGCAAGAGGTTTGATGATTCTGCTTTAACTCACAAAGAACCTTCTTGGAATTTGTTTGTAGAGTGTTACCCACCTGTAGTTCCAATAAACTACTATATCTGATTAATACAATTCTGGCAAGGGCACACCAGAAATTGTTCTAAGTGGGTTCAGTCATTGGTTTTCTTCTAACACAGAAGAGTAAAGGGGAAGGTTTTGGGATCTGTTTTAATTTTAATTATAAAATATACTTCATATAAAATCACATCAAAATATAATATATTGTGCAGGATAACAAATGCTTCTCTTTAGTATAAAGGAAAGCTTTGCTGAAGATTCTAAGATCTTAATTGTCTAAGAGGAAATAGCATTTCCTTAATATAAGGATTTCTAGTTCTAGTAGTTTCAAAGAAAACATTTCATCTAAGGTTCCAAATGTCCTATTCAGCTCTGAATGGGTAGGTCAACTGACAGGTACATAGATCTGGTGTTCCTCTAAATGGTAAGAGCCTACATCACAGCAAAATCAAGACATATTTGCACACTTTCTCTGTAAATATTATCTAACAGCTAATGCCATCATTATTTTGACTAGCCTTATTTATCTTATTTTATTAAAAGTTAAAACACAATAAAAAGGCTTAAACATATACCTTTCAAGCTAGATGAATTCTAAATCTTGCCTTGAGAAGAAAATTTCTTAGTCAAAATGTACTATTTCAACCTTACACTACAAATTCTTCTTGATATCGATAGATCAAACTTTATACTGTGGATACCTTACACAATGGTAGGGTTCAGACACCACAATGAGCCATGGTGTGGGTTTTTTTTATCATTGTTATTGTCTGAACCCAGTTGTGGTATTTCACTGTGATAAGATTGGTCTTTAGAAACCATGATGAGACCTAATGGTTTGTTCTATGGCTTCTCTGTGCCACTGTGGCTTGTCATGTTGTCTGAACCCAGGATAGTGGTTTCCACAGTCCTGGTATGGAACTGCCATAGAGTGCTCTGGAAAGAGTGACAATGAAACAGTGCAGAAAACATTTTTGGGGGGGGTGGGATGCATTTTGAGAGTTTTTTTTTAAAGAAAAAAAGTCCTTTACCACTGTTTTATTTTGCATTGCTAGCTTCAGATGGGAGAGTAGGATAAAAATACATGTTCTAAGAGATATACAAACCAAACAAGACAAAGTACAAACCAGCTAACCTGGAATTTTCACCAGACAATATTAGGCATAATTCCCCTGCCCTCTCCTCCCATTGGTCCACAGGATTGCATTCAGGAATGGCTTTCAGTTGCCAGAAAAAATTCTTGCCACATCACAACTCATCCCCATTCATGAGGGCTCCTGGTGCTCTGCATAGCATTTCCAGGAGGTGGGAGAAGCTGCTGTGGAAAGAAAGGGTCAGGGAAGTCAGCTATTGCATGCCCTGTTGCCCACGTTCATTCGTTCATTCATTGATTCAGTCATTCATTCATCTGTTCATTCATTCATTCATTCAATTTCTATATTGCCCAACAGCCTAAGCTCTCTGGGCAGTTAACCTTAATCTGGATCTGATTTATCTTTGACTTCAGGGTGGGATGTTCTGTTTGGGTTTTGCTCTTCTCTCTCCTTTCCTCTTACATTGTTTCCTTACTCCCAGTTATGCTCATCTTTCTCCTCAGCAACCTGTGCAGGGCCTCTTTCACCTGATCATTCCTCAGACAGTAGATCAGCGGGTTGAGAAAGGGTGTGATGGCCGTATAGAAGAGGGTCACTGCCTTAGTGACCTCCGATTGGCTCTCTCCACCTGGGGCTAAGTACATTCCTGCCACTGAGCCATAGAAAAGTGTGACCACCATGAGGTGGAAGGAGATAGTGGAGAAGGCCTTTGTACGGCTGCTTTGCCTAGAGGATTTCATCAGAGTAATAATCACAGTTCCATAGGACAGCACAACAAAGGAGACATTGCCTATAATCAGACCATTCAAGCAAATCTGGCTGAAGAGAGGAGCGTTGCCTAGTGGAGGGCAGGCCAAGGACAGAATAGGACCCGGATCACACAAAAAATGGTCAATGATGTTGGAGCTACAGAAGGACAACTTGGAGATCAAGATTGCCGGAACAAGGTACCACAGGAAACCAACAACCCAACAAACAGCCACCAGGCAGTAGCAGGTCTTTGGGGACATGATCTGTGGGTAGCGCAGTGGGTGGCAGATGGCCAAGTACCGATCCAGTGCCATGGTTGAGAGGAAGAAGCATTCCGTACAGCCCAGAGAAAAGAAGATGTAGAACTGGAAGAAGCATTCCAAGAAGGAGATGGTCCCATGAGGGGAAGAGAGGTCAGCCAGCATTCGGGGCACAGTGGTGGACACATAACACATCTCCAGCCAGGAGAAATTGCTTAACAAGGTGTACATGGGCAGCTGGGCCAGGTGAGCATCCAGGAACACCATTGTGATAATGGTGATGTTCTCGGCCAAAGTGAGCATGTAAAGGAAGGTGAAAAAAATGAGGAGCAGGAATCGCTTCTGCCGTCCAGTTCCAAATCCCAGCAAAATGAATTCTTGGATGGTGGACCCATTGGTCAGCTCCATCTGGAATCAGATTACACTCATGTTATAGGCTGCCTTTCTGCTGAGAAAGAGAACTATGCAGGAATCTCACTGTTGGAGGTGGATCTCTGCTATCTTGTTACAAATCTCATATGATTGCAAAGCACACGTTACAAATTATAACTTTTAAGAGGAAAGATGACAAATGTAACTTAGCATTAGTTTGCTTTGCGGCAGTGTCACAAATGTACAGGAACTTGAGTTTTGCAATGAATATTTTTCTCTGTCCCTGCGAAATTTCCCTACTCTGTTACTGAATTTTGAAATGACATTATTGATTGCTTTTAAAAATGGCAAAACATTATCTGGTCAGTAATGTAAAATACTCACCAGAAATGTACATATGAACTTTGCATCATAGCCAATGAAGAGTTTGATATGAATTTTTAAAGTTGCCAATGGGGCATGCATACTACATGATTTCCTTTGAAAGACCTGTCTACCTTTCTTCTGGATTCAAATTCATTGGAAAGTTCATATCCATTGTTACCAGTACCTGCTCTGATTAGTTCAATAGGGAACGATCAGGAAAGAAGATGTGTGGGTTGAGTTTGTATTCCAATTGCCAGGGATGCTGAATGAGGGACCACAAAGAAGAGTCAAAGAGACCACATGGTAGATCCATCTTTGAAAGAAGTTGGAATTCATCAGCCAGGGATGGACAAAGGCAGTGGCCAAGAAGCCTTTGACTTGATTACTCAACTGAAATCAGCAAGGCAGCTGTGAATCACAGGCATTTCCTGGTAGTTCCTACTCACCTCTTACCTATTCTTTGTTGTTGAGGATGACAGTACATGCCATTTCTATCCTGCATCATTCTTCTTGTGAGAAACCCAATAGCTCCATTTTACCCTCACAACAGCAACCCTGTGAGATAGGTTAGGCTGAGAGTAATGACTGGCCCCAAGTCACTCAATGAGCTTCATGGCCAAGTTGGGACTAGAATTTGAATCTCCCAGGTTCTCAGTCCAACTATCACACCAAGCTGTCTCTCGGATCCTTGTTTTTACGATCTATCAACATTTCCTTGACATAATACTGATTAGGAATGATAGGAATTGCAGTCCAACATGCCAGGAGGCAGGCAAGTTAGAGAAGATTGTTCTAGAATGCAGCAGCCATTCAGAACTTAATTTCTTTGTTTTGTATCCCTTACCTTGGGATTGACTGCAATTTCTGAATCTCAGTAGGCCTGAACTAAAGCTCCATCCATTCAAAGGGGTGCTCCATCCAGGAGAATGCACATGATGGCTTTTATGATGGGATCTGGGAATGCGGGGAAGTGCTTGCTTCTTTGGTCTTGCAGTGGTGCTCAGCTGTCATATCCATGAATTGTAAAGTACAAAATGGACTTGGAGGAGAGATCCGAACCCCTGACAGGCCTTGAATGCAAGTGTTAAGCATTCCTAGGCCCTGGGAAACATGTCCCTCAGGAACCAACATCATTATCCAACAAACCCCAGAAGACTTTCTTCTTGGTGATAGGTCTCTACCTTTGACCATGACAAAACACAGACAATGCATTGCCTTGCTTTTGTTTAATGTGAATGCATTCAAATGAAGTCATGAAGGGAGTTCTGTAATGCCATTTGGAAATGTCACAGATGAATTTCCTGCAAGCACAACACAAAACAACCCACTCCATACCCTGGAGATGCTTCTCCCATTGGTAGAAGGTGTGATAGAGCAGATTCTTCATTGGTTTATTTAAGTGCCAAATACAGACCTATATTCCCTGGGTGACTTTGAGATGCAAAGGAAAAAGAAAAAGATTCAATCATTCAAAGAGAAGCAAAAATTCAAAGAAAAACACATTAAAATGCAGCATTAAACTCTCCCTCATATATAGACAGAAAATTTAGCAGCTTAGGTTAAAAACTCATCAGAAATGAGGAAGGTCTTATGTGATACCTTTAAAACATTAAAGTTTGCTTTAAGCTTAATTTTCACAGCCTCCATCTGGTGTGGAAATGCCATAAAATGTGTTTTTAAGTTTTATGTGAACCATTCTTAGGGATCCAGCACAGGGAAGACTCTTAGATCTTAAGGGTAAGGTAGCTACAAATGAAAAGAAATCAGTCTTTTTGGTAATTTGGTCCCAAGCCATTAAGGATTTTATAAATAAAGACCAGCACTTTAAATTGGCCCCAGAAATGGACTGGGAGCCAGTACAGCTTGTAAGTGGTGCTGGGCATGGTTGGACAACCCAGCCCCATTGAATGCAATAGTGGCTCTAGTTTGAACCAGGTGTAGCTTCTGGCCTATTTGTAAATGTAGAAAAAATGACCAGGATAATGTTATTATTTCAGTGCATTTATATTCCATCCTTTTTCCTCTTGTGGGAAGTCAAGGTGGCTTCCCTTGCTCTCCTTTATCCTCACAGCAACCACCCTGTGAGGTAGGTTGGGTCGAGAGTGAGTGACTGTCTCAAAGTCACCCAGTGGGCTTCATGGCCAAGCAGGGACTAGAACCTGGATCTCCTGAGTGAAGATGAGAAGTGACATGAGGGGTTTGGGCAGCTTCCAGTCAGGAAGTCAGTCTGACCTCAGGAAGGAAGTTGGCTTGTCTCCTACTGCTGCAGCCAAGAGGGGAGCACAGCAGGGCAGCCTCCGGAGTCCCAGCTCTGAGAGTGCAGGATCTTAAAGTTAAGGTTCTGAAGAACCCTGTGGCCCCACAGGCTTTAGGATGCCTTAGGACTGTATGCCAACTGAATAAACTTTATTGTGACAGGGCTGGCCTAACCAATTACCATGTAGCTTCAGGCAGCAGAGGGTTGGGATAAGGTGTCAGGTAGGCCTCCGTAGGGAAGTTTTTCCAGAACTGGAGAACTACCACTGAAAAGGCCCTCCTTGTTGCCGCCAACTTGGCCTTCTTGGAGATGGCAATCAGATCTTGATAACAGTGTCTGGCTAGATCAGTGGTGGTAAACCTATGGCATGCCTGGCACAGCGGGCATGCAGAGCCCTCTCTGTCAGCACCCTGTCCAAGTCGCCCAGCATCGCCCCAGCAACCGAGCGTTGGATAACAGTGCACATAGGGGCCATGTGCATGCTCGGAAATGAGAAACAGCACCAGGTGATGACTTCATGAGCGGCGACTCATTAGCTGCGAATTGTCCAAGCTCACGCATGGCTGGTCAGTACGCTGTGAAGGGTATGTATATATTTGCTTGGACTGGCTGTTTTTCTTAAATGAAAACCTCAGTTTTCAGGTTTGATTGCAGTGTTGGCACTTTGCAATAAATAACTGGATTTTGGGTTGCAGTTTGGGCACTCGGTCTCTGCAAGGTTTTCCATTACTGGGTTAGGGTTAGAAAAACGAGGTGTCCTGGCATGATTCTGATGGTTGGAATGTGTTTAGAATGGGCAAAAATGATGAGCAATACAGAGAAAGCTACTCAAGGAAAGCTTTTTCAAAATTGCCCTCTTTTCAATGGAACTTTAGCTCTATATTAGGGTAGGAGTGTGCACCAGGGTAGGGTTAGGGTTCCAAAAACGAGGTGTCCTGGCATGATTCTGATGGTTGGAATGTGTTTAGAATGGGCAGAAATGATGAGCAGTGCAGAGAGAGCTGCTCAAGGAAGGCTTTTTCAAAATTGCCCTCTTTTCAATGGAACTTTAGCCCTATATTAGGGTTAGGAGTGTGCACCAGAGTAGGGATAGGACAGTGGTGGTTAACCTATGGCACAGGTGCCACAGCCAGCATGCAGAGCCCTTTCTGTCATCACCCAGGCCAAGTCACCTCAGCAACTTCTCAGCAGCCGAGCATCAGATAACAGCACACATAGGGGCCATGTGCATGCTCAGAAAGGAGTAGTGGTGCCAGGCAATGACATCACGAGCCGAAATTCATTAGCCATGACTCGTCCGAGTTTTTGCATGGCTGGTCAGTGTGCTGCCAAGGATATATATACATTTGCTTGGATTGGCTGTGGGTTGTTTTTTCTAAACTTAAACCTCAGTACTCTGGTTTGATTGCAGTGTTTGCACTTTGCGATAAATAAGTAGGTTTTGGGTTGCCGTTTGGGCACTCCAACTCTAAAAGGTTCACCATCAATGGGATAGATGGTTGTTAGGAGGGGTGCTTTGTCAGGTCTTGTGTTCCTGAGCCATGTAGGACTTTATGGGTTAAAACAAGTATCTTGGCTTGGACTTGGAAGCATATAGGTAGCCAATGCAAGTGGTCCAGAATTTGTGTTATGTTTTCCAGGTGTCTGCTTCCTTCCATTAATCTGACTTCTGCATTTTGCAGAAGTTGCTGCTTCTGAACCGTCTTTGGAGCAGCCCCATGTAGAATGCATTGCAGGAATCTAGCTTAGAAATTCCAGAGCATGGACCACTGATTGGTGATCTCTGCCCAGATAGAGCACAGCTGAGTCACCAACCAAAGCTGGTAGAAGGCTCTCTGGGCCACTGAAGCCACATGGGCCCCAAGTGACAAAGATGGCACAAGGAGCACCCCCAAGCTACAAACCTGCTCCTTCAAGGCGAGTGTGAATGCCTTCCATCCAGTTAGAAGGACCACCCACTAACAACATCTCAGTGTTGTCTGGCTTGAGTTTCAGTTTGTTAGCCCTCATCTAGAACATTGTCATGGTCTGGCATCAGTTCAGCTCATCCGCAGCCTCACTTGCTGAAGATGAGGAGGAGAACTAGAGCTGTGTGCCATCAGCATATTGATGGCATCACACTCAAAAACTCCAGGGGACCCCCCTGAGTGAATTCATGTGGTGGTCAATATCATTGGGGACAGGACTGACCTCTGAGGACACCCATCCTGGACAGCCCAAGGGGCAGACCCATATGCACCCCCTCTCAGAGCTGGCCATTCAGGCAGGCGTGGAAACAATTTGGTGCAATGCCCTTCACTCCCTGCTCAGTGGCCCTGAAAGGTACCATGATTTGATGGTATAGAAAGCCACCCAGAAGTCCAGAAGTACCAACAGCATTTCACTCCCCTGTCTCTCTCCCAGCATAGGCCATCATACAGGGTGATCAAACCTCTTTTGATCATAGAAAATCCCATCTCTGTCTCTCACCAGTTTGTTATTAACTCCATCCCTCTACTAAAGTTGGATGCTATGGGTCTTCCCAAAATAGACCTTGTGTGTTGAAACTTATCATGCCATTTTGCTGGATAGTGTGGGGAGAATGGCAGTGCCATCACACACACACACACACACACACACACACACACACACACACACACACACACACATGCATGCGCACTCTCTCTCTCATGGAACATGTGGATGCACCCCTCTGATATTTTGACAGTATTGGTCCAAATGGCCCTAAATGGTTTTTCAGATAGGACAGAAGGAAGCTCTCAGAAAGTAATTCTGCAACACTTCTGAAGAATTTTGGCTTAAGTAGGCTCCTGCCTCCTCAGAAATACTGTTTCAGTGTGAAAAGGTTTTGCTCCTGAGAGAGATATTCCCAGGGTTCATTGTCCCACCAGTTAAAACCGCCAGTCAAAGAACAAATCAGCAGCATTTCAGCTCTGGATTCCACCTCACCAGGGTGACCATTTCCTCCATCAAGCCCCAACGCGGTCCTGCCTGCCCTTCCCTCCACCAGTCTTACAGATGAGCAGCACAATTCTGCAAAAATAATAGTGTCCTCCCCGCAAATTCTCCCACCACCTGTCTGGTGAACTGTCTGCTGGGTGGACCAGTGTTTGGATTCCTGCTGAGGTACAGTAATGAGGATTCCTATGATGGAAAAGGAGACTCAAGGAGAAGGGATAGATGGGGAAGGATTTATTTTTCAGGGAACAAATCACAGTTTCTTGAAGAAAACATGGATGCACCTTTGAGAAACCATGGTGGAGAAAGAAATAGATTTTTAAAGTAAGGGAAGGGTATTATAAGATCTCTGTGGGTTTAGGGGACTTCCAGACTAGGTTTAGCTCACACCACACTTCTGCCTCATTCACAGATGATCTTGTCTCCCAGTTCAGCTCACTGATTCACTCCCATGTTGCATCACTGCTTCTTCCATCTTTTCCATATCTCAGGAAAGATGGATTAGCTGAGCAACGCCATCTAGTAGGGCTCCATCCTCAGACAACAGTCTTTTCTGGTCCTGCCTGGAGAAACCATGGACCTCTGCATGCAAGGCATGTGGGGTATCAGCAAGGCATGTTCTCGGCATTGTGCACCTTTTAATCCTCACTTCTGATGCCACAGGTAAAGTGACATTCCCAGTGAAGGTCCAAGTGGTGGTGGAGGGCAAGCTCCCACTAACAGTTTCAGGAGTTAAAAGCCAAGCTTAAGTTCCCCTTTCTAAGTTTGCAACATCTTTTAAACCGAGCTTAGAAGGGATCTGCTGGAATAGAAGACTGAACTAGGAGCCCCCTGGAAGCCATCCCAAGTTTACGGAGGGAAAAGACAGATAAGAACAAAATAAGTAAATGAATACTCATGCAAGGAAAATATGTATTCTGGGACTGTGTGACACTCACGAAAAGGTTGCAGCTGGGACAGTCAGGGAAAGAAATGTGATTAAATGTGATTTTTTGAACTGATTGCTTCTACTTTCTTGAAAATGTCTAGGTGAGTGTAGAGATTCCAGAAAAGGGTCTTTCACGATAGTTTCCCATCCAGTCATGCTGAAAGATATGATCAACAAATTCTCTTTTGTGAAGCTTGCAATTTGTCTATGGCAGTGTCCATCAGTGTGGTAGCTTTCAGATGTAGCCAGGGATGCTGGAAGTTATGGAATGACACAATAGAAGAGCAGCGGGTTGGGGAAGGCTAGTCTGGTATGATAGGCGGGTGTCTCTCCCTGGCTTCTGGATAATGATAGAGCCCAGAGCTAGAGGCAAAGGCAGGGATGCTGGGCTGCATTGATTTTTCTGGTTGATTTTTCTGAAGGGATCAGATTGGGGACATGCTGTTCACTGCAAAATATAGATGAAATGGAATTAGGTCAAAACAGTGCATTGTAAATGAATTTGTTGAGCATGCAATGTGTACACATGTACACTTTTTGAATAATGTTGTGGAGTTACTCTGAATACAGATCCTTTATTTAATACCTAGTGCTTAGTAATACTTGGACAGAAGGAATGCCAGGTAGACTCCATGGATGGCACCTGCATGACTTCTGCCTTAGATGTGTGTGTGAGAGAGGGAGAGAGAGAGCTTAAATATAGAAGTTGACCATATGTGCACCATGAATGCATAGAGTTGAGTTTAAACTTAGTAGATCTAAAAGTCAATCCTTCAAAAGCAGTGAGGCAAGTAAATCATGCTGATTTAAGTCTTAGTAAGTTCAATAGCATTAAGTATGCACCTATTCTGTTTAGTGGTAGCTCTTTCCCAAGTCCTGTTGCTGCACCATTTGATGGTCAGAGCAAGTTTTGGTGCCCCAGTGGTGGAACATTCTCCCAGTGGTGGTGGGGTTGGAGCCGGCAGAGAACTTTTTTCAACACTAAAATTTCAGTACTAGAATTTTTCCCAGGCCTGTAGAAATCAGTAGATAAGAGAAGAAAGCCCTGCTGGATCAGACCAAAAGTCCACCTGGAACTAGCACCTACCACACTGTACAAACAGTATACAGCTGTCCACAGGATCATTTGAGCAGGATTTATTGTCTGATGTCTCATTGTTGTCATCGTATTTGATTGTCTTCATTATCTCTTCACATACTGCCTTAGCTGATGAAGACTAGTATAAAAGAACTTTACATAAATAACGTGCGGAGCCACTTTGCTTCAGAATAAGAGGACAACCCATCATAGGTATGATAAACCCTAGAATAGATATAGGCTGTCTATCTGGCTTGTTTCTAAAAATGAGGTGCACTCACTGCCCATGATGGGTTGTTGTTTCATGTGAACCAGGTCATTGTCACCACAGATATTGCTAAGAGAGCATCTTCAACTCTAAATAGGATACCTATTTGCAAAAGAAGAAGGGGACGGCAGAGGATGAGGTGGCTAGATGGAGTCGCTGAAGCAGTTGGTGTGAGCTTAGGTGGACTCCGGGGATGGTGGAGGACAGGAAGGCCTGGAGGAATGTTGTCCATGGGGTCGCGATGGGTCGGACACGACTTCGCAACTAACAACAACAACAACATTCATGTTCATGATTGCTTGCTTAGCCTGTGAGTAGAGAGGCAGTTTCACTTACAGTATAACTTGCAAAGTGAGCTACACCTCCTTATGATGTGTGTTTGTATTTGATGCTGTGATTCCAGATGGAGTTGGCCAATGGGTCTGCAGTCCAGGAATTTGTGTTACTGGGATTTGGAGGTGGGCCTCAGAAGCAGTTCCTGCTCCTCATTTTCTTCACCGTCATCTACATGCTCTCTTTAGCTGAGAACATCTTCATCATCACTCTGGTCTTCCTGGATGCCCACTTGTCCCAGATTCCAATGTACATCCTGCTGAGCAACTTCTCCTGGCTGGAGGTGTGCTATGTGTCCACCTCTGTGCCCCGTATGCTCTTCGACTTAGCATCCTCAAATGGGATCATCTCTTTCCAGGCCTGTTTCTTTCAGTTCTACGTTGTATTCTCACTTGGCAACACTGAATTCTTTTTCCTCTCAGCCATGGCTTTTGATCGGTACTTGGCCATCTGCCACCCACTGCGCTACCTACAGATCATGTCCCCAACGTTCTGCTATTGCTTGGTGGCTGCTTGCTGGGTCCTTGGATTCCTGGGGTACATTATTCCAGTGACCGTGATCTCCAAATTGTCCTTCTGTGGACCTAACGTCATTGACCATTTTGTATGTGATCCAGGCCCAATTCTGTCCCTGGTCTGCCCTCCAATAGGAAATGCAGCCCTTATCTTCCAAGTATTCTTGAATGCTCTATTTTTAGGCAATGTCTTGTTTGTAGTGCTATCTTACGGCATTGTAATTTTCACCCTCCTGAAATCCTCCAAGCCAGGCAATCGAAAGAAGGCCTTCTCCACCATATCGATGCACCTAATGGTGGTGACCCTTTTCTATGGCTCAGTAGGAGGCATGTACTGCATTCCAAGTGGAGAAAACCAGTCAGCACTGACAAAAGCAATCACCGTCTTCTACAGTATCATCACACCCTTTCTCAACCCCTTGATCTACTCTCTGAGGAATGACCAGGTGAAAGAGGCCCTGGGCAGGTTGCTGAAAAGAAGGGCAAGAGGGTGGAATGAATGGGAAGAGTCAAAAAGGAAGCTGGAGGGGAAATGAAGATCCTCAGCCATACCACTAAAAGATAACCAGACACGCACATATATAATTTTGAGTGGGAAGAGCAACTTCCATCTGTTTTACTGCTCTCTTTCTAAACTTGGAGAGATTGTAAGGAATTGTGGATGGCCGAGGAATCACATAGTCCTAACAAGTTGTTGAGTATTCCTGCAAGGAACCAGAGTGCATGTCATTAACAGTATTGGAACAGGGTTTTTTAAGGTCAAGTTAAACTTGTTCCCTAAATTTTATAAGGTGTATTTTCTAACAAAGGTAAATGTGAGTACACCTTGATCAACAGTTCCTTGCACTCTCTAGATGAAGGCATTGCATGCCTCTTTCTTCCTTATGTTCTTAAAGCCCCACTGCCAGTGTGAGAGCCAGGGTAGTGTGGGAGATCTGGTTCCTAGTCCCCATTCAGTCATGGAGCCAACCGGAGTCCCCCTGCCCACAAGATGCTTTGCAGTTCTTACGTTTGCCACTTTGGAGTGGCTCACAATTCCTTTACATTCTGTCTACACACTTATCCTTTGAAGTGTGGAAAAACACTAATGGAAGTCAGCATCTTTTTCTGCATTGGTGTTCCTCTATTTTATCTTCCATTCAAAAATACCATGTATTTATAATTCGCTCTGTGCCACTATTAATAATAATTAATAATAAATGTATTTCCTTTTGAGTTTTGCTTGATTTTAAGGAATACACTTCCTCACCACATGGTTATGCAAACTTCAGCAAGGCCATCCTCAAAGGTGAATTTCCAAAAGGACAGCAAAATTTGCACCAGAGGTCAAGAAGCTGTCACCTTTGTGTGTGTGTGTGTATCCAACACAAAGGGTCCAACCTGGGCATGCTTCATCTAATTAAGCACGACATGAGTAGGAGGGAAAAAAACCCCCTGTATTTTTACTCTTGAGGATAAAGTTTGATCACAGAAAAATGGCAATTGACCCAGAAAGCATGGTGGAGTCTCCTTTTATAGCCCTGCTGACCAGGTGGTGATGACAGCTGCTTATTGGGTTGAAATTCCCACCACGAGTGCTGATTGGCACATTTGAATTCAGGTGGTTTTCATGCTGACCTGGAGGGTGGGCTGTGGGAGGTTTGGGCTGGGAACTCTGGAGAGGGATTCCTCTTAATTTCTGACAGTGAGGAGACTCTAGCTTCACTGATAATACTTGAGGACGTGATCCACCTACCTGGGTACAATGCTGTCCAGTCAGGCAAGTCCTACAGGAAGATATTAGAAGAAAGGTTGGGGGGGCGGGATAAAAATGGCCAGCCACTCCACAGAAGAAAAGCAACACACACACTCAGATAGAAAGAGCAACTCTCTTCTATATTGTTTTATTGCCTACCTTCTAAACTGGGGGGAAAGTATGTGAAATTGATATTGACTGTTACCACTGGGAACCATGTTGCAACATTCAACAGTATCTGAACAGCTTTTAGTGAAGGTAAATTTCATCCCTAGATTGTATAAAATGTCTTATTCACTATGGTTGAATGTGGGTGAGTAGAAGGCATTGTGCAACTCTTCCTTCTTTGTGTTCCTAATGTACTCTCAGCAACATGTAAAAAGTTGGAATAGAGAAGGATTAGGAGCACAAGAGATCATCTGGGGAAAAAAACCTCCCCCTGAGGAAAGTGCATGAATGAAGCAGAGCGTAGCACCATGAAACCTTCCTCTGGAAGAATCCTGTGATTTGCGGGCACCCCTTCATCTCGTAGAAGCATGTTCTGTCATTTAACTGTGTAAAGGTGATCTTCATTTCTTTGTTCTGAATCTCCCACCAATCATCTTCATGGGATAACCTTAGTTTTCTGTTTTTAACGACAGGGAGAAAATTCCTTTCAATCCCTTTTCTCCACAACATGGATAATTTTGTACAACTAGCTCACATCTCCTCCCCCACCCCCCGCCCACCTGAACAGTCCAAGATGTTACAACCTTTGCACATGGTTAGTTGCCATTTTCAAAGCATCTGCATCCTGGTCAACATTTTCATCAAGCTGCCAGCCACACGGTCCCTTTCTTGATCAATTACCACTAGCTCAGATCCCATCTGCTTCTGCATGACATTGAGATCCTTATTTATCTTTCTGGGAAGCCCCCTTGACTAGGGTGGTTTTGTTATTTTCTTTCAAGGTGATGTGCTGAGGAGCCTGTGTACTTTTGGGAATTGGGGATATTTTCTGTCTTGGTGTTCATTCCCACATGCTTATTGTGTTCGATGTTCTCCTCCACTTCACATTTAAGATCTTAGCTCCTTTTCCCTTTCTGTTTCGAATGAATTCTTTTTACTTCATTGGTATGGGTGAATTTGGTGTTCATCAGCACCCAGATCGGAGGAACAGGTGTGTGGACCAGGCCCTTGGCAGGGTAGCTGCTGGATAATTATGCATTTCCTTGCTCCTAAATGAGCGATTCTATTATATATGATCTTCCTTTTCATTGCCTGTATTCTTAACTGAATTTCAAGTTGAAATTCACTATTTATACAGGGGAGAAGAAAATAAGAAAATCAAGTGATTTTCTTCAACCCATTCAGAGGACTGTTTACCCTTTTGTAAACAGGTTTTCTTGCTTGTAGGTATTTTGTTTTGGGTTTTTTATCTTTTAAGTTACTGTTTCTTCAGTGATCTCTGAGGAATGTTATTTCAATGGAAAGCAGCACTAACCTCCACAGGTAAATTCCCAAGGGCCATTCCTTTGTTAGATGAAAGATTCAGGAAACCTTTTAAAGGAGTGACTCAAGCTCAGGAACTAACCCAGAATCACCCTAGGCAGGCTTACCCTACGGCCTCCAGCAGATTTAACCCTGACCCCAGGGCATGATACAGAGAAGAAGGCACAGAGTCCTGTGCTCAGGCTTTGGCGATGTTATGCCTGGTTGGTGCAACTTGTCACATGCTGCAGTGGTTGATGGCTAAATCAAATGAGGATGGCATGGGAAATGCTGAATGCTCAACTCCAAAAGGTAGACTCTCTGAAGTATAGTCTGTAAGATTCAGCTGTTTTCTGCTCCCCTGGCAGGTGAGGGCTTGGTAAATAGAAATGGATATTACTGGTTTGCATTTGTTAACCTGAAGATAGCCAAACTGAGTAAGCAAAATGATTGAAATGCACTAGGGAGCTTTGGGCAACAAAGTTTCTTGAACTATTGATGGCTGCTTGGTGCTGATAGTTTCGTGAAAAAGTCTGAACTACTTTGGATTGAAACAAGATTGCCTTCCCAGTATGGTTACATACAGTTTGCTCATTGCATAACTGTTCAGTTATCCTCCGTGTAAATAATAAACACTGCTAAATTTAAAACATGTCAGCAGATGAAGAGAGCTTCAGTAAAAATAAATATATCAAGCAAAGCTGAAGTCAACCTAAACTTTTACTGGATTCTCACTGAAACTGGATTCACATGTTGGAAATCAACTCATTACAATACACCAGACTACCAACTCTTCAGCAATATTGGCTCCCTTCTTTTGTAATTAACAGACTGATAGTCCTTATTCAGAAGCTGTGGCAAGACCTAATTTGTGGACAATTTCTACCACTTCTACTCATTTTATCCATCATAATTATTAGATAGTATATCATGGATCACTACTGAATCCCTTCACAGACTGGTTCTGGGGACTCCAGATGGAACTTCTTAATGGGACCACAGTGCAGGAATTTATTCTTCAGGGCTTCGGAGTTGGACAACAGGGACGCCTGCTTCTCCTGATCCTCTTCACAGCCGTCTACACCCTTACTTTGGCTGAGAACTTTATCATCATCATGCTAGTCACTCAAGATGCTCACTTGGCCCGTCTTCCCATGTACATCCTGTTGAGCAACTTCTCATGGCTAGAGATGTGCTATGTGAGTGCCACGGTGCCACGGATGCTTTATGACTTCTCCTTTCCAGGTGGCGTCATCTCCTTCCAAGCCTGCTTCCTCCAGTTTTACATCTTCTTCTCTCTCGGGACTAGCGAATGCCTATTCCTCTCAGCCATGGCCCTGGACCGCTTTTTGGCCATCTGTTGCCCACTGCGCTATCCACAGATCATGTCCCCAAATTTCTGCTATGCATTAGTGGGTGCTTGCTGGTTTGTTGGCTTCCTGTGGTATGTTGTACCAGTGATTTTGATCTCCAGGTTGTCCTTCTGTGGTGGCAACACCCTCAATCATTTTGCGTGTGATTCTGGCCAACTCCTAGCCTTGGCCTGCCCCCCACTTGGGTACCTTCCTCTCTTCTGCTACATTGTCACATCTTCTGTGGTTCTGGCCACCTTCCTGTTCATCGTGGTCTCCTATGTGGGTATAGTTTTTACTCTGGTGAAAACATCTAGCCAAAGCTCTGGTACCAAGGGCTTTTCTACAGTGTCTTCCCATCTGGCGGTGGTGACCCTCTTTTATGGATCTGTAGTTGCTATGTATATAGGGCACAGTGGAGAAAGTAATACAGAGAATACTAAAGTAATGACACTCTTCTACTCTGCCATTGCACCTCTGCTTAATCCCTTGATCTACTGCCTCAGGAATGATCAGGTAAAGGAAGCATTGCTCAGGTTGTTGAAAAGGAAGAGGCTGGGTTAGGGAAAAGTATGGATTTTGATGGGGATATATGCTAGATCTGATGCACAGACTCCAGCTTGGGTATTTGGGATTAATCTATAGAGAAAATTCATCTACTTTTCTGGCCAGGGTGTGTGTTTCATGCAGAACCTAAAGTTGGGATTTGTTCTTTCAAATTTTTTTCATGGTCTTCTGCAATGAAAAATTGTTTCTGTTTTGGTTTAACTTCTACTGTTCTTGGTGATTTTCATTGTTTTCTGTGTCTTTGTAGGGAGAATCTATCAATAATAAAGTCAACTCAGATGCTGGGTGAGGTTGTGCAATTTTGAGTCTCATCTTGTTAGATTTAAAATTGCAATGTGGTATCAATGGAATGTATATTCTTATATTTTGGTACAGGTTTTGTGCATGTGTGTGTATGTCCAATTGTTATGGGCTGAGACCTGGAAATAAAGACTTCACATATTGCATTTCTATTATTCCAGAGGTGTGCTATGTGTCCACTTCTTTGTCCCGTATGCTATTTGACTTAGCATCCCCTCATGGGATCATCTTTTTCAATTCCTGATTCCTGCATTTCTACACTGTATTCCCATTCAGCAACATTGAATCCTTCCTCTCAGCCACGGCCTTTGATCAGTACTTGGCCATCTGTCATGCATTGTGCTACTCACACATCATGTCCCCAGAGTCCTGCTATTGCCTGGTAGCAATACATTGTTCCTGTGATTTTGATTTACAGGTTGTCCTTCTGTGGTCCTAACATCATTGACCATTTTGTGTGTGATCCTGGACCAATTTATTTATTTATTTAAAACATTTCTATGCCGCCCCATTTGCCGAAGCCTCGGGGTGGCTCACAACATAAATTAAAATATAATACATTAAAAATATAAAACAAATTAACAATATAAAATAAGTCACCCTGGCCAGATAAAATAAGCAAATAATATTAACAATTAAAATGTTAATGAAAAGGTCTTCACCTGGTGCTGAAAAACAAATAACGATGGCGCCAGGTGGACCTCTCTGGGGAGTGCATTCCATAGATTGGGCGCCACCGCAGAGAAAGCCCTCCTCCAAGTACCTACCCTCCTAATTTCTTTCACTGAGGGCTCCCAGAGAAGGGCCTCTCCCGCAGATCTCAAGGGGCGGGCGGACGTATATGGACGTAAGCGCTCCTTCAGGTAACCAGGACCCAAGCCGTTTAGGGCTTTATAGGTCATAACCAACACCTTGAATTGGGCCCAGACTTCAATGGGAAGCCAGTGAAGCTGACGGAGGACTGGAGTCATGTGAGCATAACGCCCCGTCCCCGTCAGCAACCTGGTAGCTCTATTTTGCACCAATTGAAGTGTTCGGACTGTCTTCAGGGGAAGCCCCAAGTAAAGCGCGTTACAGAAGTCTAGGTGGGAAGTCACCAGCGCGTGTGTCACCGTCACCAGGCAGTCGTACTCCAGGTAGGGGTGCAGCTGATTAATCAGCCGAAGCTGAAGGAAGGCGTTCCTCGCCACCGCTGTCACCTGAGCTTCCAAAGAAAGCTCCGGGTCGAGGAGTACTCCTAAGCTGCGGACCTTATCCCTAAGAGGGAGCGCAACCCCATTCAGGACTAAGTTCAATTCACCCTCTCCGAAGCCCTATCCGCCAACCAACAGGACCTCCGTCTTGTCTGGATTGAGCTTCAGTTTATTGGCCCTCATCCAGCCCATTACCTCGGCCAGGCACCAGTTCAGTACAGCCACTGCCTCAATTCTATCTCTTGCCGACCCTCCACTTGGAAGTGTTGTCCTACTTTCCCAAATTTGTGCCTAACAGTGGTGTCCCTTTTCTATGACTCAGTTGCAGGGATGTATTTAATTCCAGGTGGAGAAAGCCACTTGGAGATCTCAAAGGCAATAACTGTCTTTTGTGCCACCATTATACCCTTTCTCATCCCCTTGATCTGAAAGAGACAGTTGGGAAATGGCTACGGAGAAGGGTGACTTTGCTGATGAGAAAGATCACAGTGTAAAAGGAATGTAAATGTACAGGGGCTGGAGAGGAAGAAGTTAAACTAAAGGACTCCCCTCTCACATCGAGAGACAAAAAGAATTTCTTCCTCATCTGGAACAGTGACCCAAGTCCCTCGTAAGTGATTTGTGTGGGTCCATCTGGATGAACATGGTCAAATCTGGAGGACTGATTGCTTGGCAACTACATCTCAGTATAAGGAAGTTAAACTCTCCCTTTGAGGATCAGGATGCAAAACACAAACTAGTTAAGAAAAAAAGTCCCATTGGAGGAAATCTTACATCAAATGCAATAAAATGGATTATCTGATTTGTGCTAAATATGTAATATTTACTGTAATTTTTTTGTAGCTAGAAATGAAAAATAGCAAGAAAAAGAATTAGATGCAAACTCTTAGTGTCCTTCATTTCTACATACACTGATGTCACTTAATGGGATATTCTTTTCTGCTTCCTCCAGTCGAACATCTTCTCCATTTGGACACTCTCCAATGCCTACTCAAACACCCCCTTTTAATTTAAATAACTGCCAAAAAGTTTTTCTTTTAATTTTCTGCCTCAATTTCATGAGTTCTCTTGCTTTTAGACAATGTTGTCTCCTTTGTACTATTTTACAGGACTGTGGTTTCCCCTGATGACTACCTGCAGCCAAGGCCATTGCAATGTGGCCTTCGGTACAATATCTATACAAGTTTTGGCGACTGAAAGAAACTTCCTCTTAATCCTGATTCCCAACATTGGTTCTCTGGGCTCAGAAATGGGTTGCTGTTAGGAGGGATCTTGCCCGGTCTACGTTGGTCTGGGAAGGGTTCTGTCCAGATCTGCTGCCAGTGTCTTCCAGTGGCACTTGTCCCCTCTCCTCTCCCAACTGCAGCTACCCATGACATCTGAAAATCTGCTTTAGGTGGCTTCCTAGCCACCAAGAGAACTTTGGCTGTGGGTGGTTCAGACATGTAATGTAATAATGATGGTTCTTCTGGCTAGATGACTGGGGAAACCTACCTCCATCTGTCACCATTTTGTTACTGGCACTGCTCCAGTCACCAGTTCTGTGACTGGTGATCTGGAGTTCTTTCCAGGGCTCCTGAGGATTGAATGTTGGAGAACATGCTCTTGAGAACGAGTCACTGATAACGTCAAGGTCATGGGTTCTATCCCTGTACAAGCCAAAGGGAACACTCTCCCTTGCTCAATGTAAGTTAAACATCAGGTCAATGCACTAGGAAATGTAGGACTAGGCATAGAGTGATAATTCTATGCTGAATCTCTGGGATTTGTTTGAGAGAGGCAGAGACCAGCGTGCTTTTCTATGAGATATGGCCCGTGAATGCCACATTGGCACTTCCCGAGAAGAATGGGAGAGAGCCATTTCTGCTGCTTGCACTTACAGGCTCCTGGGGACATGTAAGTAAATGAGCAAGCATTAATTTCAGAATATTCAAGATTAAAGAGTTGCTTCCTCCACTGCAAGGGAAAGGGAGATGCCTATGAATTTTTCAACTCAGAATGATTTGCACCTTGCTCTGAATTTGTGGGTGTGTGTCCATTGCTGCCATGTCTTGCACAGCAAAATGTCATCTGGGCCATCCCAGAACAGACTTCCTGTTTTGGCAGTTCCTTTGCCATTTTGCAGGGCAGTGTGGGGAAAAATGGTAGAAGCAACACAGAGATATGCACACAGGCATCTGCCCCCCAGGGTATTTGGAAAGCATTTGTCAAAATGGTCTCATTTGTCAGATGGGGCAGGAGACATTGGCAGAAATTGTATTTGCAAAATATCTTCTGAGAAATTTCAGCATAAACAGAATCCTGTCTCCTGAGAGGCATTGCTCCTGAGAGAGATTTTCCCAAGGCCCGTTCTCGCACCAATTAAAACCGTAGTCCAATAAGCAACTGAGTGGTGTACCTGCCCTGGTTTCCCCCTCCCTAGGGGGATTCTTTCTTCTGCTAAACTCACAACCTGCCCATCCTTCCCTCCATCTGTCCTATGGATGAGCACCACAATCATGCAAAATGTTGGGAGCAAGAGGAATGGCAGGCATGGCAAGCATTCCCAAGGAATAGCAGCTGTGTTTCAGCTCCTGGTTCTGATTTGGAGGATGAGTAATGTCAGGTGAGATTGGGGAGCATGGGTCAGCTCAAGGTCCTGGACTACCACAGCAGCAGGAGGATGCTTATCTCAGGGACAGCTGCTTTGCCTCGGTGGACCATTCCTGGGAATGGCTGGACATGCAGCCAGAGGGAGAGGCTGCTGCAGTGACGAACTCTCAGGGGCAAACCAGTCCCTTTTCTCTGGACGCTGTGGCAAGCTTCCAGCAGAGGCAAGAGGCCCAGGTGGATAAGACACATGTAGAGAGGAGATGACCTCTCCTTCAGAGAGCCCTTTTCAAAGGGTTGCAACACCGGCATGCTCATAAAGAGAGTTCTTGGAGGAAATTGTTCGATTGGGTTTACTAAACTGCTCTGTGCATGCTCAGAGTCTGGAAGCAATAAAGAACATCTGCAAGGGAATAGACTGTGGCTGGTGTTTGAAAGAGGAACACAAAGAGAATGACACAAAGAGAATAGCATCCCCCCCCTGCGCAAATGTTGTCACTGCACATCTGGTGAGCTGTCATCTGGGTGAATCCAATTCCTGCCAAGGTACAGTAATGAGGGCTGCTTTGAAGACAAAGGAGACTCAAGGAGGATAATGAATTAGGAAGGATGTCTGTTTTTATGGGCGGGGGATACTATTTATTTAAGAGGAAGTGGATGCACCATTGTGAAATTCTGAGGGAGGAAGAAATGAATTTTGGGATTGTGAGAAGGAATTATGAGATCCCCATGGTTTCAGGGTGCTTCCATGCACAGTTTGGATCACAGCCTCACTTCTGCCTCATTCATCACATTTTATGGTGGTTCCTTATGGTGTTGTCTGGTTTTTCAGTGCTGTTTCCATCTTTTCTGTATCTCGGAAAAGATGCAACAGCTGAACAATGACACCTAGGCATCCTCCCTCTGGGAACACCCTCAGACAGGTGTCTTTGCTAGTCCTACCTGGAGATGCCATGGATTGAGTTCTTTCATGATCACCTCCCCTCCTGACATGCCAAAGGAAATCATCAACAGATTCTCCTTCATTCAGCTTGGAGTTTTACTAGGACAGTCTCCAGATGTGGCCAAAGAACACTGAAAGGGAGCACTGGATTGCAGGAGGCTAATCGAGCATGATTGGCTGGGTATCTTGCTTCTGGGGGCACACACACAATATACAAATACTGTGAGATCCAGTGTGGTATAGTGATTAAGAGCAGGGAACTGGGACAAATTTGGTGTGCTGCAGTTTTAGTTCATTGTTCCATGTCCTGTACTCAGGGATGAGTGAGAAGAGGCATTTCCTTTCCTCTTTGGGACAGCCTTTGAGTGCTCGCATATCCCCTTGTAGTCTTCTCTTCTCAAGGCTGAACATGCCCAGCTCTCTCAGCCTTTCATCATATGGCTTAGTTTCCAGTTGCTGGATCATCCTTGTCACACTCCTGTGAATGCTTGTTTTTCGGCATCTTTTTAAAACCTGGGTGCCCCAAACTGAAAAAGGATTCCAGGAGAGGTCTGACTAATGCAGAGTGAAGGGGTACTAGTACCTCTCTTGTATTGGAAGAGATGCTTCTATATATATGTATCCCAAAATATTGTTTGCCCTTTTTGCAGCTGCATCGCATTGGTGGCTCATACTTAGCTTGCTGTTCTCAACAACTCCAAGAACTTTTTCATTTTCAGAGTTGTTGAGCCAAGCATTTCCCATCTTTTATACGATGCATCAATGCATTTCCAACACAGAGGATTTGGCACTAGTCCCTATTGAATCTCATTCTGTTGCTTTCATCCCAGCGTTCAAGTTTATTACGATCGCCCTGGGTCTTCTTTCTGTCTTTAGGGTGTTTGCTATTCCACCAAGTTTAGTATTGTCTGCAAATGTGATTATCATTTCTTGTACTTCCTCATCTAGATCAATAATAAAGACATTGAAGAGCACTGGTCCCAGGACTGAGCCCTGTGGTACCCCATTCATTAGGGTGACTCATTTTGTAGCCAGTTGTGGATCCCCCTATTAGTAGTTTTGTTGTGCCCACTTTTTGCTGAACAGCACGCCATGGAGCACTTTGTCAAATACTTTGCTAAAGCATAGGGAAATTATGTCCATGGCATTTCTGCTGTCCATTTGGGTTGTTATCCAGTCCAAAATAAATAAATGAATGAGATTGGCTAGTTTGGCATGATTTATTCCCATGACATCCATGTTGGTTTCTGTTCATCACTGCATTTTTTTCAAGGTTCTCTTCACGGTGGATTGTTCCATCATGTGGACCAGGTCATTATCCCCATGTGATGGTCAAGAGAATATTGCCAAGACTACAGAAGAATCTGGATGTAACATGTATGTCCAGGACTTCTTGCTTAGCCAGTGATAGGACAGGAAGTTAGGATTATGGCATATTGTACCTCCCTCTGATGCATGATAATGCTTTTGTTGTTTGATTTCAGATGGAGACGGCCAATGGGACTTGCGTCAAGGAATTCATTTTGCTGGGATTTCTGGTGGAGCCACAGAAGCGATTCATGCTCCTTGTTTTTTTCGCCATTCTCTATGTGCTCACTTTAACTGAGAACATCACCGTTATTGCTCTGGTGTCCCTGGATGCCCACCTGGCCCAGCTGCCCATGTACATCCTACTGAGCAACTTCTCTTGGTTGGAGATCTGCTATGTGACCAGCACTGTGCCCCGTATGCTCTTTGACTTGGCATCTGCCCATGGAATTATCTCCTTTCAGGCCTGTTTTCTCCAGTTTTACATGCTATTCTCCCTTGGCTTTACTGAATTTTTCTTCCTTTCAGCCATGGCCTTTGACCGCTACTTGGCCATTTGCCACCCATTACATTATGCACAGATCATGTCCCCAAAGTCCTGCTATAGCCTGGTGGCTGCTTGTTGGGTCTTTGGTTTTCTGGTTTTCATTATTCCAGTGATCTGGATCTCCAAATTGTCCTTCTGTGGACCTAACATCATTGACCATTTTCTCTGTGATCCTGGTCCAATTCTGTCACTGGCCTGCCCTCCACTTGGAAAAGTTCCTCTTCTCTGCCAAATTGTTGAATATACTCTATTTTTAGGCAATTTCCTTTTTCTTCAGCTATCATATAGTAATGTAATTTTCACCCTCTTGAAATCCTCTGGCACTCGTAGGAAGGCGTTTTCCACCATATCAATGCACCTAACTGTGGCTATCATTTTCTATGGCTCAGTAGGAGGGATGTACTTAATTCCAGGTGGAGAAAGCCACTCAGAGATCACAAAGATGGTAACAGTTTTTTACGCTGCTGGTACACCTTTTCTCAACCCTCTAATCTACTGTTTGAGGAACAATCAGGTGAAAGAGGCACTCAGGAGGTTGTTAAGGAGAAGGCTGAGCTTCCTGATGGGTAAGGTAACAGTGTCAAAGGTGTAAATGCTGTTAATTAAGAATAATTAAGCAAATAAAAAAATGAAACCACCCATTTGAAGAGATGGAATATATCCTTTCAAGTCGGGCAAGAGTGACATTCCCTTGTTAATGATCTGGATGGGACAATCTGGATGAACATCTCCTAAACTGGGAAAGCAATCTCGGGGGAAAGGTTACCAGACATACTCTTCCACCAAGGACCAGGACACAATCTACAAACTAGTTCAACATACTATCCCATTGGAGGAAATTTTGTGCCAGATGGGGATGATGATGCCATAAAAGAATGATCAATGCAGTAAAACAGATGATATTTTTTAAAAAATTAAATAGGACAACCTTGAGCAAACTTTTACATGCTCCAAGAAGAAAAGAAGGAACACATGAATGAAAATAGATGCACACTTGCAATATCAGATGCTTCTATGCAGACTTTTAAATTTGATGTCTAACAGGATATCTATTTTCCATGCCTGCTTCCTCCAGTTCTCCATCTTCTCCACTTGGGCACCTTCAGCTGCTTTTTCCTTGCAGCCCTTTAAAAAAATGATCTGCTTTATGTGTACAGTATTTAATTTTCTGCCATCTTGTCACACTCATTCTTGTTTTTAGTTAATGTCTTTTTCATTGTGCTTTTGTACAGCATTGTGTGTTTTCCCTGATGGTGTCCTGTGGCCAAGATAAGTGTGGGAAGGCCTTTTCTAAAATAGCTATGCAACCTTTTGCAGTGGCATTGTCTTTTTTCTTAAAGAAAACAAAACCTTTGGGAGTCATCCTTGTTCTTCAGTACTTGGAAAGCAGATGCAGTTGGGTGAGAGATTTTAGATGGCCTTGACAAGTCATTTAAGAATTGCCTCTGAGAGTTCACATTTCCTTATTATTGTTCTCCTGTAATAACAGTGCAAGAAAACACACATCTCTATCTCTTTCTAATAAATCCTTAAAACTTATTTGGGAGAGTCAGAGATGCATGTTTTCCTAGGAGATGTGATCTGTTAATGTAATGCTGGCTTTAGCAGAAATTGCAATGAAATTTTAAATTTCTTCCCCCACCCCCCCAAAAGTGACTCAGTAGTCAGAATAATGATTACTGACTTACAGCAAATTTTTTGGTAGATGTTGCTGTGTTTAGTATTTGTTTGAGATCCTTGGTGTTTCCTCCTAGATTTTCTTTATTATTTTTCTTTATTATTTTTCTTTTTTCTTCTCAAATGGTAGTGTTACTAAAATAACAGAAAAAATTAAAAAAGAATTACTTGACCTGCTGAAGTTTCTTGCACCATGGTCTGAATTTGTGAGTGTGTGTCTGTTGCTGCCATGCCTTGGGCAACAAAATGCCATCTGAGCCATCCCAGAACAGACCTCCTGTTCTGCCAGTTGCTTTGCCATTTTGCAGGGCAGTGTAGGGAAAAATGGTAGAAGCAACACAGAGATATACACACAGGCATCCCTTCCCCTGGGTATTTAGAAAGCATTGGTCAAAATGGTCTCATTTTTCAGATGGGGCAGGAGACATTGGCAGAAATTGTATTTGCAAAATGTCTTCTGAGAAATTTCAGCATGAGTAGAATCCCGTCTCCTGAGAGATGCTGCTTCAGTGCAGAAAGGTATTGCTCTCAAGAGAAATTTTCCCAAGGCCCATTCTCACATCAATTAAAACTGCAGTCCAAGGAACAACTCAGTGGCACATCTGCCCTGGTTTCCCCCTCACCAGGGTGATTCTATCTTCCACTAAGCACACAACCTGCCCATCCTTCCCTCCATCAGTCCTACAGGTGAGCACCACAATCATGCAATGGCATAGCATCCCCCTTGAATATTCTGATGCATCCCATCTGATGAGCGGTTTGCTGGATTGATTAGTGCTGTGATTCCTCCAAGATACAGTAATGAGGGCTGTTTTGAAGACAAGGGAGACTCAAGGAGAAGGAGGGAGGGATTATTATGATCTGTATTATCATTACTCTTTTGTTATTAGGATTATTATACCCCACACAGTGCTTGACTACACAACCTGACACCAGTGAGCCACAAAGCTTAGCACAGTTCCAACAATGGGCTGTGGGGATTGTGCACTCCATGCCGGTACGATCCATAGAGCTTACTCCAAGGGACGTGCATCTTGGACTGAAGCCTCATCTGTTTTCTTTGATGATTTAATACCCGGCTGTGGCTGCATGAGGTTTTTTGAAAACACAGCCTCTGGTTCGTGGGCTTACAATTCAGGCACTGGCTTTTGTTTCTCAGATACTTTTTCTTGTGCATTTTAGCAAAACAAAAGCATAACAATACAATTTCCTTACCTAAACCTGAATTTAATAATGGATAGATATTTTATGGAGGATACTCAAATGTATATATGAGAATGCCACTCTCAAGAAAAGAAGTTATTCATTAGCTTTAAGAAAGTCAGACCATGTAGTTATGCGTTTTCAGATGATGAACACTGTGTGTTTTCCTACATTATGATCTACAAATAACAACTGAGCATGTGAAATAGAGGAGTACAGTGATGTCCCCTTGACAGAAATGTCTCCATTCTCCCCAGGCACCTGCTCAGTCCACCCTGGCCAGGCACGAAGCCCCAAAGGGCCACTTCAAGAGCCCTGTGCTCTCTTCCTCAGAGTCATCATCTTGAAATATGACTTGGATAAAAGAGAGGACACTGCTAAATAAGGGATTGTCCTCAGACAGCCATTAAAAGAGAGGACTGTCCTATGCAAAGTAGGACTTGGAATAACTTAGATATGCTGTTCACAGCAAGACTACTCCATATTTTCAGAGACATCTTGCCCTGAAGTATTTATTTTATGAAGTGCATTTATTCATCTTCTCTTTTATATCTAATAGGTAACACATCATTAGTAATATAGCGAGATCTGAGGATTAGTCACTTGTGCTGCAAGACCTGGGTGGAAGGAGTGCCTTCTTCACAGCACTTTTGAAAGCACCGTGTCTCCTTATCTTTGCCTTCTGCAGAAAATGACTTTTTGGTATATCATGTAATACATGCCTCCTTGCGGAACGTAATCCTGATTCAGTGAAATGATTCCAGATGGAGCTGGCCAACCGGACTGTGGTCCAGAACTTCATTTTGTTGGGATTTGAGGTTGGACAGCAGAAGAGAGTCTTGCTCCTCATCTTTTTCAGCATCCTTTATGCGCTCACTTTAGCGGAGAATGGCGCCATCATCACACTGTTATTCCTGGATGCCCACTTGGCCCAGCAGCCCATGTACATCCTGCTGAGCAACTTTTCCTGGCTGGAGATGTGCTATGTGAGTGCCACCGTGCCTCGTATGCTCTTCGACTTGGCTTCCCCTGGTGGGAGCATCTCCTTCTCTGACTGCTTCCTCCAGTTCTACATCTTCTTCTCTCTTGGCAGCACTGAATGCTTCTTCCTTTCAGCCATGGCTTTCGATCGATACGTGGCCATCTGCCACCCACTGCGCTACCCACAGATCATGTCCCCAAAAGCCTGCTCGGTCTTGGTGTCTGCTTGTTGGCTTCTTGGCTTCTTGTGGTACCCCATCCTTGTGTTCTTGATCTCCAGCTTGTCCTTCTGTGGACGCAATGTCATTGACCATTTTATGTGTGATCCCTGGCCCATTCTATCCCTCGCCTGTCCTCCACTTGGAATCATTCCCCTTCTCTGCAAAGTATTAATGAATATTCTGTTTTTAGGCAATGTCCTCCTTGTTGTGCTCTCATATGGCATTGTAATTTTCACGCTGATGAAATCTTCCAGCAGAAGCAGTCATAGGAAGACCTTCTCCACCGTGTCACTCCATATAATAGTTGTGACCCTTTTCTATGGCACCGTTGGTGCTATGTATCTGATCCCTGGTGGAGAAAACCAGACAGAAATCATGAAAAGGGTTACAGTTATTTACACTGCCATCACGCCTTTTCTCAACCCCATGATCTATTGTCTGAGGAATGATCAGGTGAAGGAGGCACTGGGCAGGTTGCTGAGGAGATTAGAAAGATTATTGATATCAAAGGTGACAGTTCCATAAGGAGGGAAGCAAGAAGGGGAAAAATGGGATCAACAGCACTGAAAAGATAGCATATTCAAGTTTTGTCATCTGAAACTGAGCCTTTATGTGTTTGGGACTTAGTGTGGCAGCATTGGGAACATCAGTAGAGCTGGGGAAAGGTGGTTGTGTCCTGTTCCCCAAAAGAGAGGAGGGAGATAGTGGTGTGTGTAATGCTGTGTGCGCAACTGCATGTGGGAAATGAGACAGAAAACAGCATGTTGCCATTTGGAATGAGGAGAGATTTGGAAGAACAGGGAGTGAGTGAGTACCTGGGGAATATTTGAGTCCTAGTAGCAGTTTGAGTCCTGGTCCTTTCCAAGAGATCAAATATGAGATTGTGGTTTTGCATAACCCTTGAGTGGGATGGTGTAACTTGGTGTCCTGAACCAGGAATGGGTTGGATTCAATGGCCTTCTTGGCCACTAATGACCCTACTATTGTATGATTGTATGATTCTGTAATTCTATAATTATGGAAATTTAGATGATAGGGCTGCAGGCTGAGGTGGAGATGTGTTTAATCTGAGTGTAACATTTAGCAAATCTTAGGGTCTTGATAAAACAGGAGTGTTGGGTCTTTCTCAGCCTGAGGGTCATTTTCCATCATGGGGTAGCTTCCAGGGTCATTCCAGTGGTGGGAGGTGAGGAAGGCAAAAGAGGCAAGACTGCAATCAAAACCAGCCAGAGAAGAAATGCCCAAAAGAACAGTCTGTTCTATTGCAAAGTTCTTGCTGAAAGCAGCTGAACCTTAAGGTGGGCTTTGCAGCCTTTCAGCTTAGCAAAACAACTGCACAAAACTTAGAAAGGAGAGTGGGTTCCAGGGAAGGGGGCATGTGGCCATCTGGGGAGCCTCAAAGTGCAGAGGTGGGATCCCAGGTGTGCTGGGTTTTGCCCGTTTCTGGGATCTGCAGCTCCACTGTAAAACAAAATAAAAAAACTGTGCAGCAAGAAGTTTTACATGACAGTGCTTCTCCCTCGTGGCCTCTCAGAACCCATTGAAGAAGGAGCAGGGCATGCTGCAAAAGCCTGTCCTTCTAGGGATGCACTTCTGATGCAACTGTGTATCGCTTCTTAGACACCTGTTCCAAAACCAGATTTCATCCATTTATTCATCATGATAATAAATGAATAAAGTACATTGTATGTAATCCTAGCATTCCTGGGGTGGCACTGATGGATTTTCTTTCCTTCTAATGAAAGCGCAAGAGAAGATGCAGCATCAACATATAAACACTGCATTTCTGTTTGTTTTACAAGTAACATAGAAAGATAGAAACATAGAAACGGAGTGAGTCAGAAGGGGCTCCCAGGCCATCTAGTCTGACCCCTGTCTCTGGACAGCTCCGCTCATGACATGCCCACGATGTGCATGTCCAGATTCTGGGCTGCTGCAAAGTGCACTGGACTCCGGGGAGCTGAGCCCAGGGAACCCAGTGGATTCCCAAACCCAGGGAACCCAGTGGATTCCTCACAGATCTCTGCAAGGACAGCAGATGGGGGAGGCACAGGTTGCTTGATTGCCATCTTCTTGACTAAGAGAAGATATGCTACATTTCTGTATACATCAGGGGTGTCTAACCTTTTTGTTTCTCTGGGCTGCATTGGAAGAAGAAAAAATTGTCTTGGGATGCACATTAAAAACACAAACACTAACAAAAGCTGATGAGCCAAAAACAAGGTCTGTGCATAATTGTCATGATATCTGCCACCACCATGCATACAAATAGCCTGTGTACATTTATTTAACGTGATGTTGCGACATGGCATTGTCATCTACAAAGTTCATGCCCGAGAACTGCACAACTGAGTTCAAAAAGAAATCACAAAAAAAACTCAATGTTTGAAGTAAGTTTATGATTTTATGGTAGGCTGCATTCAGAGCCATCCTGGGCTGCATGTGGTCCGTGGGCCATGGGTTGGACACCCTGATCTAAATCATATTAAGCCTGTCTCGATTGCACAGAAATTATCCTATGAAAATTCTATGCAAGTGCATGTACTCTTTCTTGATGATGCAAAAATGGCTACTTGACATTTGAAAGAGGCAGCAGTCTGGAAAAGAGAGGCCCTGCATGGCAGCTGAGACAATCCTGGATCCCCAGGGATGTTATTCTGTGGAGCATGGCAATATTCCTGAGAGGTACTGGCCTGGCAGTTCTTTTTAGCTGATGATAATTCAATCTGCAGTCAGTAGCACGGAGTCTCTAGTCTGCAAAGACACACATGCACAAAGCTGTTAATATGTTCCTGTGGGCCCTCCTTTCCCTCCATCCTGCAGTGCACTCAAATCACAGCACCCTTCTTCATGTGTCCTGGCACAGAACCGGTGCTGAGCCTTCCTCTGGATGCATCAGTGCTCTGATCCTGCCAAGGTACTGTGATGGGTATTATGGGAACCAAAGCAAAGGAGAGTCATGTGGCAAAAGGAGAGCAGGGACAAGAATGTTTCTGGCATGTTGGCAAATCTGCCTCATCACCACATTTGTGTACTGCCTGTAGCTGAAGGTCTCTGAGTGGGTCACAACACTGAAGTCACCCATCCTGGTTTCAGCCAGGTCTGACCCTGCTTAGCTTCCAAGGGTAGGCAGAATTGCATACTTCAGGCTATGTGGGTTAGCCCAGGAGAAGCAAGGTTGAGGACCAGGAAAGGTAATGATGAGAGCAGGCCTTCTGCTTTAGAGGGTGACGATCATGCAAGGATGAGCAAAGGGATGTGTGACTCAGGAAAATGCTTTCATTTGTGCCTGATGAACTTCCAATACAATTTCCACCCAATGATGGGCTGAGCTGGGGTTGTATTGGCCTCTGTGAAATAGCTTGAAATCTTTGCAAATTTGCAGCTGCAAATCTTTGCAAATTTGCATATCTCTCTGTAATCTGTGCGAATTGCAACTGGTGCATGATTTGAGCATGATGGTTGTTCCTGTCGTGGCTCATATCTGGCCAAGCATGTAGTTCTGCCCACTCTTGAGAAACATCCATAATGGGGAGTCTTCTCTATTTCTGTAGGGTCGGCATGAAATCTGGGATTTTTGATGTTCTAAAAGCTGAGACATGTTCACGCATGTGAACCATAGCCCACTTCATTCAATGCATGTTGCATTCTGGGAAGATTCAGATTATATGTGGTACAGGTGTATGTGGGGGAAGAACTGTAACAAGCATAATGAGAAGGTAATTAAATTACATGCAGAAGTCCTTCTGAATCCACTGTTGCCAATTCTTCAGCACCACTGAAGTATGCATCACCCTAAAACTCTCATGGACATTCCTTGCATTTGATGAACTGGGCTGCAGTCCACAAAAGCTTATGCCAGAACATTTTTCCCCTTTAAGGTGCCACAGGAATGTGGTGCTTTTACAGCCAGAGAGTGACATGACTTTGCTCTGGAAAATGAAAGCAGGAAAATGCATCTGTCTACCTGCCTGCCTGCCTGCTTGCCTGCCTATCTATCATGCTTCTAACTCATTATGATACAAGATTTCAATTGTTTTGTGTGATTCTAGATGGAGTTAACCAATGTGACTGCAATTGAGGAATTCATTTTGCTGGGCTTTGAAATCGGGGAGCAGAAACGGTTCCTCCTGCTCATCTTTTTCACCATCCTTTACATGCTCACTTTGCTGGAGAACACAACCATCATCACACTGGTGTTTCTGGATGCCCATTTGGCTCAGCAGCCCATGTACATACTTCTGGGAAACTTCTCCTGGCTGGAGATGTGCTACATGAGTGCCACCGTGCCTCGTATGCTCTTCGACTTGGCTTCCTCTGGTGGGAGCATCTCCTTCTCTGACTGCTTCCTCCAGTTCTACATCTTCTTCTCTCTTGGTGCTACCGAGTGCTTCTTCCTTTCAGCTATGGCTTTCGACCGATACGTGGCCATCTGCCATTCTTTGCACTACCCACAGATCATGTCCCCAAAAGCCTGCTCCCTCCTGGTGTCTGCTTGTTGGCTTCTTGGCTTCTTGTGGTACCCAATCCCTGTGGTTTTGATCTTCAACTTGTCCTTCTGTGGTCCTAATATCATCAACCACTTCTTGTGTGATCCTGGTCCAATCCTTTCCTTGGCCTGCCCTCCACTAGGAAATGTTCCTCTTCTCTGCCAGATATTTATGGATACTCTTGTTTTAGGCAATGTCTTCCTTGTAGTACTCTCCTACTCTGGTGTGGTTTTCACCCTCGTGAGGGGCTCTTACCAAGGCAGCCGTTGGAAGGCCTTCTCTACCATATCTTTCCACCTTGTGGTGGTCACTCTTTTCTATGGCTCAGTGGCAGGGATGTACTTAGCCCCAAGTGGAGAAAGTCAGGCGGAGATCACTAAGGTAGTGACCCTCTTTTATACTGCCATTACACCTTTTCTCAATCCCATTATCTATTGCCTGAGGAATGATCAGGTGAAAAAGGCATTGACCAGGTTTTTGAGGAAACAGGTCAGGCTTCCAAGAAGAAAGGTAAGTGCTTAAAAAGGAGGGAGTCAATAAGAGACCAAAACACAAATCAAAGATGGTAAAGAAAGAAAAGAACAATATTCAGAATTGAGTAGGAGGTGCTCTCTCCTCTCCATGTTTTAGATGCCCCAAATCTGAGCCAAGGAAGGACAATATGAGGCCCTTTCAGGTTGCCTAGCAACTCCCTGGCAAGAGAAAGAGACATTGGCGGTGTGGCTGAGGAGAAACTGGGTGCTGCTTTGAAGGGAAGGAGTCAAGAAGACCAGTCAGAGATCACTAAGCTTGCACCTTCTGTACTAATGACCCTCCCTTCCACCCCACCCCCAGCCCCGATCTAATGTGGGAGGTATGGTCAGGTAAGGGAGACCATGGACAGTTGCTGAGGAATAAAAGTGGCAATATAAAAAGGAAGGAGGAAAACTTATAATCAAACCCAGACATTATAAATGAATACAAATTGTGCTGATTTTTCTGTTGATGTGTTTTGTCACTCTATGTTACCCTGAAGTTCAGTTTTGTGGAGGAAGAGGGGGTCTAAGTGTATTGAAAATAATGAAACCAATATACCCATTTAGGAGATTCAAAAAAGGAAAGGAAAGGAAAGGAAAGGAAAGGAAAGGAAAGGAAAGGAAAGGAAAGGAAAGGGAGGCGAGGCGAGGCGAGGCGAGATGAGGCAGAGAATCATAGAATCATAAAATAGTAGAGTTGGAAGGGACCATGAAGGCCATTAAGTCCAACCCCCTGTTTTTGCAAGACAATAATGTTACACCATCCCACTCAGATGACTGTCCAGTTTCTTTTCAAATGTCTCTAGTGTGGGAGAGCCCACCATCTCCCTAGGCAGCTCATTCCACAGAAGGAGAAGGAGAAGGAGAAGGAGAAGGAGAAGGAGAAGGAGAAGCTAGCCTAGCAGATTTCTTCTGGAAATACTTGTCTTGGTTGCCCATTGGCCTCATGGCAACCTAGTTGCATATCAACAAACGCTACAAGAGAAATCTTGTTTTGAAAGCTATTGTACAAGATTAAGTGCAGTATTGGTGAAATGTTATCTGAGCAAGCTTATTGGACTAGACATTATGTAAGTAATAAATAAAGTAGAAGCTCTGTTTATAGGGTAACCTTGTCTGCAAGATTTTTCTGAATTCTATGGGATGCAACTCCTCCATGAGTTAGAAGACTGAAGGTTTTATTTTACAATGGTATGACTCTTACTTGTGGGTGCAGTTCCAGGGAATAACATGGGATGTCTCTGTCTTTGTCCTTTGTCGGTAGAATTGCCATGTGTCACAGGACTCTGTCTTGTCCTAACAGAATTTGATAAATCTGAGAGACCCTCAGGAGAGATCCTTGGGTGGTCTGAGCTAAAGGGCTCCCCAGCAGTGTTTCTCCATCACATCTGAATCAGGTAACCCCAAACCATTCAGGAAGCCAATGAGCCAAAGGGAAGGAGAGTATAAGTTTCTTTTACTTATGCATTAGTCATCTGCACCCACATTTCCTATTCTATTTAATGAACATATTAAAAATAATATGGTTCTTTAATTATTAAACCAATTGCAAATAAAATACATTTGCTTATCCAAGCAACATCTATTTCATAAGAGCTATCTTAGTTCTGACACAAGTGGTTTTGCTTCTTTCTGAATACCCTTGAAGCTAAAGGAGGATCCCTTGGCTGGACCAGGACCCCAGGCTTAGAAAAGGGGGCATCTGTTTTCCCCCTTAGGACATCCTTATGGGTGTCTACATAAATCAGCTAGTACAAGAGCCACATCGTTCCTCTCCCTGCATCCTCCTTCAAAGAAAACAATCTAATAGTGCTGTCCCTAGAACTGCTCATTGCTTGGAAAGAAAGGGAGAATTCAACAATATGAATTAACTCAAGAAACATGGTACAAGTTCACACCCTCTTAATATGAAAATGCTCTATGCATTAAGGAGGAGATGGGCTTCCAATAATGTAGGAAAGGTGGGAGGATGACAGCAGGGAGATGATGTCATCCAGAAAATTCTGTGAGTTTCTCTATAAAAGTCTTGTCTGAAATGCAGTTCCCTGTGGCACAGGATCCAAGAAACATAGTGAGGTCATGGGGAGATCTGGTGCAGACCTCCCCACCTTGAGATGCCGTTCCTCTGGAAAAGTGTGGTGCTTTTACTATGGAGAGACACATTCCCTAGGCTCACTTCAGGGAATGATTAAAAAGCAGCCAAGACTAACCAGTGGCACTGAAGTTCTGGCTTGCCCTCATGTGCGTGGAATCTGCTTCAGAAACTCTTCTGCCAAGCACACAGGAAGGTCCTTCATGCCCTTCAGTCCATCAGTCCTACAGGGGAACACTAGCGTAAGACTCAAAGGACTTCATCCTTCCATCACAAATACCGAGAGGTGGCCAGAGTTTTCTATTGGTTAGGAAAAACAGCAGCAACTCTTTTGGACCCCTGCTGAGGTGGAGAAATGGGAACTCATCATTTACCAAGCTGTGAATTTCCAAGGCAATGGGCACTGGGGTGAGAAGGTAAATGGATGCCACCCTCAAGGAGGGAAGGGGAAGGGGAATGGGGGAAGAAGGAAATGCTGATAGATTCTTGTAAAATGTCAGGCACACACAGTCATGCATAGAGAAAGGAAGAGAGAGAGGATAGACATGAGGGGTTATTAAGGTTATTATGATCTGTATTATCATTATCGTTTTGTTGATATTAGGATTATTATACCCCACACAGTGCTTGAATACACAACCTGACACCAGTGAGCCACAAGGCTTAGCACGGTTCCAACAATGGGCTGTGGGGATTGTACACTCCATGCCGGTACGATCCATAGAGCTTACTCCAAGGGACGTGCATCTTGGACTGAAGCCTCATCTGTTTTCTTTGATGATTTAAGACGTGGCTGTGGCTGTGGCTGCATGGGGTTTTTTGAAAACACAGCCTCTGGTTCATGGGCTTACAATTCAGGCACTGCCTTTTGTTTCCCAGATACTTTTTCTTGTGCATTTTAGCAAAACAAAAGCATAACAATACAATTTCCTTACCTAAACCTTAATTTGAAAATGGATGGATATTTTTACATAGGATACACATATGTATATATGAGAATACCACTATCAAGAAAAGAAGTTATTCATTAGCTTTATTTTTATTTATGTATTTGAACCTTTTCTAGATCATCCCCTTACCAAAGTCTCGGGATGGTTTAACAATACAAAATGTAAAAAATAAAACACAATGTCAAGAAAAGTTTACGAAAGCCGGGCCACATATCAATATATTTATGCATTTTCGGATATTTCAGTGCCACCACTACTCAACTGTAGGAAACACCATTCGGTCCTCAGTCCATTTTGTTGTGGGAGGTGACTGTTGTCTTTCCAGTCTGCAAAGCAGTCCTCTACATTCAAAAGGGTGTGCAAAATCCATTTGTGTTGACCTTGTGCTATCTTCCAAGCAACAGGTAAGCAATTGCAGGGAATGTGTGAATCTGTAAGTATTGAAAAAGCTTTCCTATGCAAATCTTATCTGTATTGTGGCTTCTCCCCTAAAAGAGGCAGCTATTTGGCATTGCCCAAGCATATGGGTAAGGGAAGAATTAGCTTTAGTTTACTTTCAGCTGATTTAGACAAAGCCTTAGTAAAGAGACACATTGCTGAGTCCACAAAGCACAAAACCCATCATCCTGAATAGCACACAGCTGCAAAGCCAAGGATGCTTCTGGCACTGGTATGAAAACAGCCTTCCATTGGCCAGGTAAAGGGAGGACGATCTGATTCCCTATTCCATTTCTGCTTAAGAAGCTGGGAATCACATATATGCACCTATAGTCAGTATTTATAAAATGGGATCGTGCCTTTGTATCTCTGATCACCCTTGAGGAGCTTTTCCAACAGTGAAGGAAACTCTGAAACTGTAAAAGCAGAAGGGCCAAATTTAAATAATGTCAAGTCTTGTGATTACAGCTATCACTATCCAGATGTAGTACGCAAATCACATTTGGCATGCAAATTGGAAAATGACAAAATAATCATGAGTACTGTCTCCCTGAGGCAGTTCCAGTGCTGTGGTGGTGGTGAAGTTCCATCCGCCTGTCTGTCCTTCCTTCCTTCGTTCCTTGAAAACATTGCTTGTGTTTCATAAGTCAACTGCCGCACATCTCTGCTTTCACAATACAACACTTTAAAGGTGAAATAAAGCCTTCTGCCAGTAGCTTTGCATCATGTCATGTGCTTACTGGACTCCTTTCCTTTGGTTTTGATGCCATGTGGTCCCAGATATGGCAGACGGTTCCACTGCAAAAGGGAACACTGTGTGTTTTCCTACATTATGACCTATGAATAACAACTGAGCATGTGAAATAGAGGAGTGCAGTGATGTCCCCTTGACAGAAATTTCTCCATTCTCCCCAGGCACCTGCTCAGTCCACCCTGGCCAGGCACGAAGCCCCAAAGGGCCATTTCAAGAGCCCTGTGCTCTCTTCCTCAGAGTCATCATCTTGAAATTCGACTTGGATAAAAGAGAGGACACTGCTGAATAAGGGATTGTCCTCAGTCAGCCATTAAAAGAGAGGACTGTCCTATGCAAAGTAGGACTTGGAATATCTTAGATATGCTGTTCACAACTCTGGTCAGGTTTGCCGATCTCCAATTTGTGTGTTTTCTGTATTCCATAAAATGAAAAAAATGCAATAAAAATAATTACACTCAGACTCTATGTGCTTTTTTTAAATATATGTGCAATGTTTGCCAAAATATGCTTTTAAGCAGATGTGTTTGATAAAAGATGAGAACTTAATTGCTTACTCATGAATATGCATGCAGCCCATGTGAAAAGAAAGCACCTAAGTGCAAACCTACATGCTCTTGTCCTGAACAATTTTGCAGTTCTATTTTAGCTTTTTCCCATGTGGCTTGAGACCACATTATCTTAGGGCATGCCTTACTCCATATATTCCTGCTCATTGTTTGAGGTTCTCAATGGAGGCCCTGCTATGAACTCCTCCCCCTAAGAAAATTTAGAGGGAGGTTGCAAGAAGCAGGTCGTTTTCTGTGCTGGAACCCCTATTATGGAATGTGTTACCATCAGAGATTTGTAATAATAATAATAAAGCTGCCAGTAGGGACGAATGAGGCTTTAAAAGCATAATTATAGTGCTTAGCTCTGTACTAAAGATAACTGATGAAATTCAAAATGGGACTGAAAACAATTGAAATGCCTGAAAAACTGGACAGAGGGACAGGCAAGGCAGAAAAATTTGACCTCCTTCCCCGTGATTGACTTCAGTGCCCCTCGCTCACTTGAGATCTAAGTGAGTGTACATTTGTGTGGTTTTCAGTTTTAAAATGGGATGATTTGCATTTTTAAAAGATAGGCAGGGAAATTTGTGCAAATACAGCTGCAATGTGTGCAATTTGTCTAAAACACATTCACAACCTGCACAAATTGAGGCTGCAGTTTGCACATATTTTTGCCTTTTAAAAAAAGACAGAATTTGCAGCCCACATTAAGAGCAAAAACTGTGCTGGCTTGGTTTATGCTAGAGTGAATCAGTGCCAATGCTGGCTAGGCAGGCCAAATCCAGTCTGTTAGATTTTGACACTTCTCCCCACCACCCCGTGGATTTCCCACATTCCTAACATTTTTCCTGTATTAGCTTTTATTCGTATAATCAAAGGAGCACAGTGACTTTCATACAAATTCAATGCAACTTAGTTGCCAAGGGGCAAGGAAACCCAAAGAGGGACTGAAGAAGAGTTGGCCTCTTAACGCTCAGCCTGACGCCCAAGTGGTGGTCAGGCTGAGACCTTAGTCAAATTAGTAAGTTTGTAGTGAGCAGATAGCAAAGGTTGCTTAAGTACCTTCATGGAGTTTCCAGGGGAGAGGCAGAAGAATAGTCAAACAGTCCGAAGTTGAAGCTAACAAGCCTAGCAAATCCAACATCTATTATGTGTGGAGCATGGTATAATTGAAGATAACATGGGAATCATTTAGAGCAAAGCATGCAGGAGCAGAGGAGCAAGGTATGTGGGCTCAAAAGCAGGAGTAGACGTTCTCCAGCAACCTCTTCAGCGAGCTTGTGAGCTTTTCAGCAGAAAATGCCTGGATTTCACCAACACTCCCTGTTGCAACATAATTAAGGCATTTCAGCTTTTAGCCAGGCACTTCACCTGTGAGAGGACAACTTGTGTTCTTTGCTTAATGTAGCAGAGTTCTTGAGAGCTGGCTGGTCTTCCTATATCCTGCTTGTGGTACAAGTGATCCCAGGGAGGGGGAAGAGATAGGTCCTTGCCTCTTTGTTCAACCCTAGCTTGCATTTTTCCTCACTGTTTGCTTCTGACACTTCCTCAGGGGAGCCAAAATAAGCCAAGTACGTCAGGTTCCTTTTCTGAGGAGGAATTCTTGAAGGAGTAGAAGGACAGATCCACTAATATATTCCAAGTCCTGTCATATGTATATGGGATGTAATCTCATATGATCATCTCTGGCAGTGGCATCCTTACAGGTGTGTTTTTGCACACCAGACAAATTAAACAAATATTCCAACCACTCAAGCAACCTCACTCGTTCCACCCTACTGGTAACTCCTATCCAAGAAAGACATAGAGATCCCTCCATTTTCCTACATCACCCTCTTTCTTCTCAAGAACCTGGCAAATGCTTCTTTCACTTGATTGTTCCTGAAGCAGTAGATCAGGGGGTTAAGCAGTGGGGTAATGGCAGAATAGAAAAGAGTCACCACCTTTGTGATCTCAGCATGGTTTCCCCCACTGGGTCCTACATACATAGCCACAACAGAACCATAGAAAAGCATCACCACAGTTAAGTGAGAAGTAACTGTGGAGAACCCCTTGATGCAGTTCCTAGAGGTTTTCACAAGAGTAAAACACACGCATGCATAGGAGACCAGAATGAAGAGGAAGGTGGCCAAAACCACAGAAGCTATGGAGATCTGGCAGAAGTGTGGTATATACCCAAGTGGGGGGCAAGCAAGGGCTAGAATGGGGCCAGGATCACACACAAAGTGATCAATGACTCTGGAGCCACAGAAGGACAACCTGGAGATCAAAAGCACTGGTCCAGCATACCATACAAAGCCAATGATCCAGCAAGCAGCCACTAGTGTATAGCAAGCATCTTGGGACATGATTTGTGGGTAGCGCAGAGGATGGCAGATGGCCAAGTATCGATCCAAAGCCATGGCAGAGAGAAAGAAGCATTCAGTAATGCCAAGGGAGAAGAAGACATAAAACTGAAGGAAGCAAGCATGGAAGGAGATGACTCCACCAGGGAAGGACAAGTCAAAGAGCATCCGTGGCACAGTGGCACTCACATAACATATCTCCAGCCAGGAAAAGTTACCCAGTAGGATGTACATAGGATGGTGGGCCAGATGGGCATCTTGAACTATTAGCAGGATGATGGAGATGTTCTCAGCCTGAGTAATGGTGTAGACAGCTGTGAAGAAAAGGAGAAGGAGCAAGCAACCCTCTTGTCCAACTCTGAAGCCTAGCAGGATGAATTCCGGTCCCATGGTCCCATTGGGCAGCTCCATCTGGACTACCCAGGATCAGCCAGTAAAGAAGAGGCAGCCTTCCTGTGTTGAGTAGTGATCTAAGCCACCATGTCTGATGCCTGAATTGGGTGAAGCGTCTGTTGATGTGTTACAAGTTGATTTCCATACAAAATTTGCAGTTGACACTTAGGTCAGTCCTGCTTGTAAAATTATCTCTTGATTGGTTGGTAGGTACTAACTTCCAGATCACTTAAACCAGTACCCAGATGGGATTGATTCCCTCCCCACAAGTGTCTATCAATAGGCATGTTGGCTCAGACCAAGGGTTAGCAGACTCCAACATTACTTGGCAAGCTTGTTTTTACTAGACCCGTTCAGTTGTTTCACATTCACAAAGCTATGATGCACACTTAAGTTCTCTTAAGATTTCTGGAACTGCTAATCTGTGCTAAATTTTCCTCATTAGGATCTCTTGCTCAGAACAATTACAAATCCCATTTGGATTAACCATGACTCCACTTGGTTCAGAACCGTTTGGGATAAATCCCAGCAACCAACAGATCTTAGAAATTATTGATCCCTCAGAAATGAACCAGTGAGGTATACTGGTAGGCTGTGGGTTTCCTTCTGCCTGTTCTGGGAAGCAAAAAGTACCAGTATCTTGCAGTCTGTTCTTCAGAGCTAGGCAGTTTAGCAAACCCAGTCTTCTAAAATTTGAACATCACCTATTTGCCTCTAATAATAATCCAGTGTTTGTGTACCCTAATGGGACACAATGACCTGCTTCAGCAAGCCAGGAGACGACGCAGACCTACTCTCAGCATCTGAAATGCATATATTACTCCATGGATCATATCCTGAATTCAAAGATTTCATGGACAGAAGACAGATTTTGCTGTAGCCCACACTTGGGCATGCTGCTTGTGGTTTCTATATGAAGTTTGCATCATTTTAAATAGATGTTTGCTGAAGCTTTTATCCATGAAATGAAGGGACCTTGAGAACTGGTCTATTGTGGATAGACCTGTTTCCATCAAAACAAGTTCTCCTTGGAGACCCCATCATCTACCCTACTGGAGAATTAGCAATTTACACAGGCTTTGTTTTACACATCACCAAAACGTAGAAATATATCACCAAAGAAGAGGTCAAATTAGATACAAATATGTATAACATTTGCATATTCAAATGTACAAATATAGGTGTGCATTGAGAAATAAAGGTGCAAATTCAGAAATAATGGCCACTATTTAAGTAGATATACAATGTCTCACCTTAGTAGAGAAGAATGACCAGTGTTTTTACTCAGAGGGCTAACCAGCTATGAACTGTGGAACTGCAACTCCAAGGTCCTTTCCTGTCCCTCCCTCCTTATGTTCTTGACTTCAACCCCAACTTAATTCCATCAAATAGGGAGCACCTTCAAAGAGAGGACTGTAAATAACTCTCCAAAAAAGAGTACTGTCTTCTATAAAGCAGAATATGTGGCCAAGTGTTCTCAGTTTTCCAAAAGGGACAGATGAAAAAGCTGGGTTTAGGTTCTAGAATTAGGATAAGGCTAAGCACCAAAGAATTGAGGCCTTTGGATTGTGGTGCTGGAGGAGACTCCTGTGAGTCCCTTGCACTGCAAGGCGATCAAACCAGTCAGTCCTAGAGGAGGTCAACCCTGACTGCTCTTTAGGAGGCCAGATACTGAAGATGAAACTCAAATACTTTGGCCACCTAATGAGAAGGAAGGACTCCCTGGAGAAGAGCCTGATGCTGGGAACAATTGACAGCAAAAGAAGAAGGGGCTGGCAGAGAATGAGGTGGCTAGATGGAGTCACTGATGCCATCGGTGTGAGCTTAGGTGGACTCCGGAGGACAGGAGAGCCTGGAGGAATGTTGTCCATGGGGTCATGATGGGTTGGATGTGACTTCATGACTAGCATAGCATATAGACTTCCCATTCACATTTCCAAGTAATATCTGGAAGACCTCCTAGAATCTTCTTCTGGGTCCAATGTGGACCAGAGTTTGCCACATATGGAGAATTCTTTCTCCTTGTATGAAGCAACAATATGCTGAAATGGTTGATCTGTGGGAAATCTGGAAAGTTTCCCACTATTTGCTTGATCCTGCTTTCATTTGCCTATGGATCTGTCAGGGAGAACTCGGAATCCACTGCCAATGAATGCTAGATGTAACAGAATAAGGTGAAATCTTTGAACCTGAGGCCATACATAGCAGAAAAACCATGGACACAAATGGTTGAGGGCTGCATTTAGGTCTTCTCTAGAACCCATTCTAGTGTTTCTCATCTTTGTAGAATTTGGTCATCTCCAGAAATGGGCATACTCTTATTAAAAAGGGGAAGTCAAAATTCAAAATGTTGAAAATATTCTGCAAATATGCTTGTATTTTTTATATCACCTTCTTCAGTAATAGGGCAGCAGTCAAGAGCTAGGCATGACGCTGGAGTCCCACCCTCTGAGAACCGGAAATCCTGTTTTGACTATCTTTGACCTGTAATTTCAAGCCTATCCTGGAAGCCAGATCCAGCCTGCCTAGGGTCTTGGTTCAACCCTTTGAGGTTTCCAAGATGGTTATACCCCTTTAGTGAATACATTAAAATAATTTTTAAATCAAAATGAACAGCGCCACAACAATGTAGAAGCAGCTCAAAAGAGCCATTTTCATCCTAAGAGCCTTGAATTAAGCAGTATCTGCCTGTTGGCTGGAGATCAGCAGAGAGGGAACAAACCTCAGTCCTCTGGTCAGGGAGTTCCCCAGCCAGGAAGGGGCTACCAAGAAGGACCTCTTGCATGTTGCCACCAAGCATGCTTCTCAAGGTGGAGGTCTCAAAGAAGAGCATCTCCTGAGGATCTTAAGATCTAAGCAGGCTTATATGGGAGGAGGCAGACTGGTCCAAAGCAGTGTGCAGCTCTCTAGGTCATAACCAGTGCTTGGAAATCTGCCCAGAAATGACCAGTAGCCAGTGAAGCTCTTGAGCAAGGGAACGGTGTGCTTCCTGTAACCAGACCCAGTCAATGGTCTGGCCACAGCATTCTGGACCACTTGAAGAGAAGCAACAAGAAAGCCAGGAACTTGGGCCAGTATCTGAACTGGCACCAATGCCTGGTCTCCTAGGATAACTGCTCTGCACCCACAAAACTAGCCTGTTGCCCTAAGGTGCCATGGAAGATGCTGTCCCTTCACAGGTCTTGATGCTTCAGGTGCCAGTCCTGTTCTGTAGGTAGAATGAAGGTGGTTAGGTGCCATCTTTCCCTTCACAACAGGAAGCAAAATCTCTTGATTTAACTCTGCATCTTCCATTGCAACTGTATACTACCTATGAAAGCTATTTTGCTTTGTTCATTTGTTTTTGTGAGCAAATGAACTTTTAGGAGAACCCGTTGATTCTTCCCTCATGTTCATCCAAGGATACACTATGGTTACTCTTAAGCAAGTCCCACTGAGGTCAGTGTTAGTCAGTCCCAAGTAGGTGTGTATGAATGTGTGGCCCACCAGATATAAGTGGGTTTCAATTCCCATCAGTCCAAGCCAGCAGGGTCAATGGTGAAAGAGGATGAAAGGAACCCACCAGCATGTGGAGGGTCACACATTCCTCATCCCTGTTTTATGAGATTACAGCATTAGATGCATTTTGTATGTACTTAATTGTCCTATTTCTCTTAGCCCTACCTCTAGAATCCAGCAATTATCTCTCCTTGATTGGGAATATGTGTCTGTGACCTCCTATTCCCTTAAGGTATGTTCATGAGCAACTGAAAAATCCCACATGAACTTCGGGACACAATAAGCCACATTCTTCTTCAGAACATCTGCTGGAGTTGTCACAACTGCAAGGTCAGAAGAAAGGTAAAGCTGCAAAATTGAATTCACTTCTTTGGATGAAAGGTTTCCAGGTTGTGCTCCTGCCTCTGAAGGAAAGTAAGTCCAGCATACCAGTGGGATTCCAGATTTCAGAAATCCATTCGGAGCTTTAGTAGGGAGCAGGGTAGGTAAAATTCCACCCTCATCTTAATCCTCCATCTCCTGATGGATCTGGCTTTGCCTTTCAAACGTTTATGCCACAGTTAATGACATTTATTTGCGACACTTTAGCTCTCCCTCTGAGAGGTTCAGGATAATATATTGCCCTCTTTCCCTTTTATCGTTGTAATAAACTGTGATGTAAGTTTGGCAGAGAGACTGAGCGAGATTGAGTGACTAGCCCCAAGGAAGACTGGACAAATAGGAATTTAAACTTTGTTTTCCCTGGCCCCACTCTAACCACTGTACCATGTTGTCTCTCTTAGTCCCTAACATGGGGGGAACAGGATTGTGGGAACTACTTCATATTTCTACTATAATTCTGAAGTCCATCAACTAGAGAAAAACAGTGGCTGATGTGGAGAGATACACTTAGATTTCAGGAACAGAGTTCCTCTGAGCACATACTTAGATCGAGAAATTGCTTTTTGTTCCAGAATTAATTTCAGCATCCTTTCACACATACATTCACAGTTTGCTTGCTTTTGGCAGCCTAAAGTGCATTTGAAAGAAGTTTGTTTTGTTGCTATTGTCAAACAAGAAGAAATCAGGAACTCTTACTAACCTATTTAGCAATAGCGTTACTGGAAGCCGTGACTTATGAGGAATGAAGGGAAAGTTTAGCCTGGAGAAGAGAAGACGAAGGGGAACCAGGATTTTTCTTCCAATATTGGAAGGTCAGCCATGCAGAAGATGGGGCAGATTCACTCTTTTGCTCCAGAGGGGGAAACTAGCAGATACCAGGTTATCAGTGAAATTTTAGGAGAAATGCCCTAATAGTATTGGCTGTTTGACAGTGGAACAGTGGTGGTAGATTCTTGTTCATACCATATCGTTAAGCAGAGACTGGCTGGCCAGCTGCTGTGACTGTATTCCTCCTTGTAGATCCTGTATTGAGGAAGCGGTGGACCAGATGACCTTCTGATTCTGAAATTCAATGGCTCTGTGAGTTTATGCTACAGTACAGAACTGTCAGTAGATCCAGATCTGTAATTTTCCCGTCCCTGCTTTAAGCCACCACAAGAGACATAGAAACAGAGCAAGTTGGAAGGGGCCTCTCTGGCCATATAGCCTAGTCTAGGCTTTGTGGTTTTTATTTTTGGCTGAATTTTTCTTTGCTTCCCTAAGTAGGATGGTAAGAACATGATAGGACTTCTCCTGAAGGCAGGCAAGGCCCACATTTTTCCCTGCTCAGCTTTACTTTTCCATCAATACTTGTGTTGCCATCTTTTCTTACTCCCTTGCAGGACCATCACCGCCATTCAGCAACCTTAGGAGAGGACCCTGCTATCCTGAGAAACACTGATGTTGGCCAACAATGAAGGTACTGAAAACTTAACCAGGTGAAAGCAGGAGTTTGCTTGGAAGGAACTCTTTGGATTCTCAGTGGAGATCTATGGAAGCTAAGCATGCTTCCCTTCTCAGAGGCTTTGAATGTGATAATGGGCCATGCCAAGGTGTCAGTGAGGATTTGCGTTGTGTGGGAGACAATAATTCATATTTATTCATTTTTGTAGAGAGCTTTCTCAGAAAAAAGGCTCAAACCACCATAAGATAAGGGGCTGAATGCATCTAAAGATACTTAATTGAATTGTGGACTTGCTCTGTTTACATGGAGCTCAATGGTGATGCTGTTGGGTTATTTTAGAACCCACACTTGATGTTCTTGCTTCACTTGCTACAAAATGTTGTGAGCCAGCCCTTAAAGTGAGACAAATCCCCTAGGAGAGCAAGATGAAACTGTGACATTTTCAGAGCAACTTATTGAATGTGTGTTTACTCAGAAGCAGCTGCACTCAGTTCAAGGGCTCAGTGATCCAAATGAGATATGCAGTGCCATTTACAACAACAACGACAACATCTTTCGCTTCTGTTAAACCACAGGAAATTGAGTGGAATCTCATTTTGATATCACCACCAATGCAATGGTGATCTTTCTCTTTGAAATTCCATTGCTCAAGGATATCTGCCTTAGTCATTAAAGTATCCTGGAAGGCTGGAAACCAGTGCCTTCTGACCATCCCTGCATTTGTGGTTCTAACATATTGTGTACATTAAACATACATTATGCATTTCAAACATGGGACAATAAGAGTGATGATTTCCTTCTAAGATTTACCCCTTTTTAAAGTCACACCCTGAATTCATGGATGCCCTGTTCTTTCTTCCATCAGATTCCACCATCCCCACCAATGTTTCTGCTGTCACAGAATTCATCTTCCTGGGCCATTCCAGCTCCCGTTCTATCCAGCTCCTTCTCTTTGTGTTGGTTTTGGCTGCTTATGCAACAGTTCTGGTGGGCAACCTGCTCATTGTGGTGACTGTGCATGGAGAGCCCCACCTCCACCAGTCCCCCATGTACTTTTTCCTGGCCAACCTGTCCATCTTCGATATTGCCTTAGGCTCGGTGGCTACACCCAAACTGTTGACCGACCTGATCAGCTACAGCAGGACCATTACGTTTGTGGGCTGCATGGTCCAGATCTTCTTCATCCACTTTATTGGGGGCTCGGAGATGCTCCTTGTCACCCTCATGGCCTATGACCGCTATATGGCCATCTGCCACCCATTGACCTACATGACCATCATGAACCGCCCACATTGCATCAGGCTCCTGACATCCTGTTGGGCTGGAGGACTCATTCATACCACCACCCAGATGGTTTTGCTTCTCCGACTACCATTCTGTGGTCCAAATCAGCTGGACAACTTTCACTGTGACCTGCCACAGGTGATCAAGTTGGCCTGTGCTGATACGTACGCCACAGAGCTCCTTGTGGTGGCCAATAGCGGCCTGCTTTCCCTTGTCTGCTTTCTTGCCTTGCTAGCCTCCTATGGCGTCATAGTTGCCAGCCTTCGAGGTCACTTCAGGGAGAGCGGAGGGAAGGCCCTGTCCACCTGTAGCTCCCATTTGATTGTGGTCTTCATCAGCTTTGTGCCCTGCATCTTTGTGTACTTGGTGCCTTTCTCTAGGTCTCACATGGACAAGGTGGCCTCTGTGTTCTACACATTGATTGTGCCTTCCCTCAACCCAATTATATATACGCTGAGGAACCGGGACATGAGCAAGGCAATGGGGAGGCTAAAGAACCGGTGTCTGTTCTCCCATTCAACTGTGAAAGCAGAGAAACTCTAAGTTCTTTTCCTCCTCAAAGATTCAGGAAATACAAAACATTTCACACATGTTTTCAAGGTTCCACTTTTTGCTGCTGCTGGTATGCATGTTCTATTTATTCCTTCTTTCATTTGATTTCTAAATTGCATCCTCTAACTACCAGCTGTTCAGGGAGATACACTATAAAGGCATCAAAGCATGACATTAAACCAAGAAACAATGACAATAAAAACGTAGACAATAACATGTTATTAATATTTAGACTGAAGATGGAAATAAAGCATTACTCCCAAGCTTGTAGAACAGCAAGCTGTCACACTGTGCTTTAAAATTTGACATACAGAATGAATTGTCATTTAAAGCACTTTAACTCAATGAAGTTAAGCATGATTTTCTGAACAGGGTAATGCCTTGTAAGCTTAATTTACACTTTCGCTCTTTTGCCAGGAACAATCTTTTTCTAATCTGGTTTTGAAGATAAAAGCACTTAGGACTTATGAATATCTTCTGTAAAACCCAGGACTTTTCAGAAATGGGGCCTGCACAGGTGTTCTGGCTGATTGTGGCAGAGATATAGACCAGGAACCAAACAGGGCCATGAATAGCTCACTGTCGGGCTAGGTGAATGATTGGGCCGGATACCAGGCTACCTAGAAATGGAGTTGTGCTACAGAAGTGCGCAGGACTCAAAGGAGCATCTCCCATGGGGGTGGAGAAATGGTGGCCCTCCTAATTCTAACTCCCATCAGCCCCGGCAAACAGGGATAATGATCAGGAATGATGGGAACTCTGAAATAACAGCTGAAGGGCCACAGGTTCTCCATCCTTGGTTGGGGTCCTGTGGAGAGAAGATGGTCTGAAGACATTATTATTATTATTATTATTATTATTATTATTATTATTATTATTATTATTATTATAACATTTCTATGCCGCCCCTTGCCGAAACCTCGGGGCGGCTTACAACATGATAAAATACATTGACATGTCCCTCTAGAGGGAGCTTGCATCAAAGGTACCAAAAAGGGGGAAGTTCTGTCACAAAGGTGTAGATTCCAGAGAGGTTGGAATACTTTCTGTTATCCCAGGATTGGGTTTGCCAGGGTGATGGAAGAGGGCTGAAGGTGGTTCTGGGGAACAGTCCTGCAGAGCCAAATCGGGGACAGTGCTAACTTTTTAGGAGTTGTCCCAGGTCAGCCATGCTCTGTTCCATGAATGGAAGGGAATACAAGCAAAATGGACTTTCCCACACCTTCTTATCCAACCCTTCTTGTCACCCTTCCCACTGCCACCAGGGGCAAGTCTATCCCTCCACCCCGGCCCAGTTTCCTTCACCAAACCAGCCTTAAAACTCTCTGCATTTTAGGTATCTACCTTGAATACTGTGGCAATTTATTCATCCAGAAAAATAGAGAGCACAGAACTTCCAATGCCAAAATTCAGCAATTCACTGAAGAAAATAGTTACTGGGAGGGGGAGATGTTTCAAAATCTAAATGGACACACACATGCTGTAGTGAGCTGAGGTTTTCCTCCCTTCACATATTCAAGGCAACAGACCATTCTTTTGCTCTTTATTCACCAAAGTACGCCCAATAAACTCAATCACAGCAGAGTGCATCTCTGAGCATGCACAGGGTGGTTTGTTGAATCTATTCTAAACAACTTCTTGAAAACCTCCTTTTGAGTATGTCTGAGCCCAGTCCTTTTGAGAGGGCCTGTTTGGAAGTAAGCACACCTTTTCTTTGTATGCCAACCTTCTAGTTGGCCAGCTCTCATCTTCCAATATCAAAATTATCCTTAAAAGGAACCAAAGAAACTGTCATGCAATGGGCTTATAGGGACTTCTTTCTGTTTGGATTGCTGGGAATGTGCCATGGATAAGGGTTCAGAAGATTCTGCAATTATCTCCTTTTCCAAAGTCATCTGATTTATGCCTCCATGGCCTCTTTCCCCTAAAGGCATAATCACAGGCTGCTGGGATACTCCAGATGCTTTTTCTTGACTTATGGCAGTGTGAGAGAGCAGAAAATGTTCACCTTGCCAGCGATGGCTGCACTTCCTATCTCTGGAACCAAAGAAGTCTAGGGTTGAACTTCTCACTCCATCAACAGATCATTAGTTTTATTTCTGGATAAGGAACACTCTGAACTACTGGTACAAACAGGCATTACGGATCCCTAACTCCCAGCTGGAGAAGGTAAACTTTAAGATAATCCTATTTTTATGTTCATGCTGAAGAATGCAAGAAAAGGCTGAGAATTGGAACTCCTGGCTCCTAGTTCTACTTTTCCAAATTGATTCTGTTCCATGTAGTTCATTACTTGATTTTGTGCTAGGAGTGGGGGATTCCTTTTACAGTGAAATCCAAGATTATGGGTCATGTTTTGACTTTTTCTTTCTTCTTTCCTTTTGCACATCTCACTTCCTTCCTGTGTTTTGCCCTCTCCTTGCAGTGCAATCTCAGGTGACCAACAACCCTGGAAGGCAGGCTAAGGCACACTGGTGCTGGCCAACAACAAGGTATCCATGAACTGGACATTGCAAGAGGGAGATGTGTAGAGGCTGCTCTTAGAAAACTGGAGATGAGCTGGGGTCTTCACTGGGGGAGGGGAACAGAAGTATCTATCCATCCATCTGTCTGTCCGTCCATCCATCCAGGCTACCAGGACAAAAGCAAGACGATTACAAATAAATAAATAAGCTGTTGAGTAAAACTCAGGCGGATATATTGATTTGTGACCTTTGCAGGGCAAATGTGATCAACTTTATTATTTTTGCAATACATTTCAGGGTACAAAGATCTTTACACTCTCACATATCCTTACACTCACCTTGTGAGGAAGGCTGGGATCATGAGGTTGTGACTCACACCTGGTTTCCCAGCCAATCCCAACTGACCGCAAAAACTAGCAATGCACTGACTGTGCAGCAATAAACTAAGGTCTGAAGTTTTCTTGCTCACTCATTTCTGTAGATACAGAAATTTCCACAGCTGTCAAAATGGGAACTCATTTGCATTTTACTGATCTGCAGTGGTGATGTTTTCTTTCACCATTTTGACTGGGGAAAGGTTGGTGGTGGTTTTCATGGTTATCTTAGGGAACAGTGGAAACCAGTGAAGCCTGCAACTAAATGTTGCAGAGCCGAGTGCTGAGGCTCAGGATTCGAGCTACTCCATGCCATTCCAATCCATACCCATCAAATCTGGTTTTCTGCTTTTCACCCAAAAATGTTCACCTAGCTAGAGGATGCTTAGTTCTACTTGCACTGCTAGCGGGGGGGGGGGGGGGTAGATCTCTTCTAGACTTTTTATCCTCCCACCAATATTTGTCATACTTCTTCAATCCATGGGATTTCTCAATGCCTGCCAATATTTTCTTCTTACATATTTCGACAGCCACCTGAGTGGATGGTGTAACTTGGTGTCCTGCAACTGCAGGGGGTTGGACCCGATAGCCTTCATGGCCCCTTCCAACCCTACTATTCTATGATTCTAGGATTGCTGATGCCATTTTGGCCACAGAAACAAGTATGCTGACTGGATGTTGGAAACAAAGGGCTTCCCTGTAATTTACTTATAAAGTACTCTTAAAGTATGTGGCACTTGGTGTAGTTTTACTATGAGAAATGGGGATTTCTGCCCTTAATTGCTTATCATCCAAGCCAAAGTTTTCATGGAAAATGTGTCTTTGGAAGACAGTCATTATCCTGTTTTCTGCGTGTGGATGTACACCCAAGTGTTAAACACACCCCTGCTTTTCTCAGTGGGCAAATGCCACATTGGATAAGCCAAGAAAAAATGTGTGAATATTTGTTTTCATTTAAAAGCAAGCAAGCAAGTTTCTAGCCCCTATGGATGAAAGTGAGTCGAAAATGTGTGTGATGGTGGTGGAGAACAGTGCTTTGCTTCTCCTTCATTCACCAAATTTTACTAGGAGTCCAGACAGATTTAATCATCTTCCGCTTGCACCCCATTGGGATTTTCCCACCACGTCTCCTATCTTTTTCTTACCACTTACTTTTTTTCCTTAAAAGAGGAAAAGGTGAGATTTCTCCATAATACCTTCTGAGTGGGAACACTTGGAACCTTTCACTTAGAGGTGTTTGAAATTCAGTGCCCTGCAGAGCTCCAAATGTTGTGCTGCTTTGTGTGTGTTTGTGTTGTTTGTATACACAAATCCTGCATGATGACTTGTAGGCTGCAGTCAGAAATAAAAAAGAAAGAGGGAAATGAACTAGGAAAAGGGCCAGCAGAGGACAACAGGCATGATTGGGAGACTGGAAGAACTGGGCATGTTTTGCTTTAAGATGTGAAGAATGAGGAGAGATAGGAGAACACTCTTCATGCACTTGAAAGACTGTCACAAAGAGGAAGGCCAGGATCTCTTGGGAATTGGACCCAATGGCTTATAAAGACCTCTTCCAACTCTACTATTCAATGTTTCTTCTCAATTTTCCCAGAGAGCAGGACATGGAAGAACGGACTCAGGTTACAGGAAGTCAGATTCCAGCTGAATGTCAGGAGAAACTCTTGATTGTTGAAGCAGTATGACAGTGAGACCAATGATCTAGGGAGGTTATGGGACCTCTCACAGTGGAGGCATTTAAATTGCAGCTGGGCAGCCATCTGAGAGGGATGGTTTAACTTGGAGTCCAGCACCGAGGAGGTGGTTGGACCTGATGGCCTCACTGGCCCCTTCCAACTCCACTATTTTATGATTGTGTTATAGTATAATTGCCCTTCAGGGGGCAATTGTCTGGAGGCTTTCAGCTGCAGAGGTAAGAGTTAACTTTCCCCTTCCCTTCTTACGTGGAGCCACACCCCCTTCAAATCCTACCTTTCAAGGCAATTGACCACACAAAAACAAACAACCAAACCACTGTTTCCTTCAGTTTGGGAAGATCTTAGGAAAGGATGCAAATTATTTTAGATGATATGCATGAGAAATGTATTTGCTGATTCTCTTGTGAAATTTAAGTAAAATCTAATAACTATTTGTGAATCTGCACACAGATATACAAATCAACATATGCATATTTTATGCAGATTGCTGTTCTACAAGCCCAGATAAAAGATTGTAAAGCCCCTTTGCTACTAGGACCTGTATTTCCATGTACATTAAAAGAAACATCACTTTATTGCTGTTTTAGCAAGCAGTACAGTCTTGAATGAGTATCTCTGATTTACATAGCAAAAGATTGTGTTTCCTAATCTAAGTCATATTAACCCTCATCCATGGCATCATTAAGCAAGTAACTGGGTTGTATTTCAATGGTTGACCCAAAGTTATCATAATTTTCTTTTAATGCAGTCTCTGCAGGTATAGTGTGATAAAAAGGGTTTGCTAGACCAAAACTCTTATCAGTTATTTTTATTCACACTTAAAGACCACAAGAGTTTGTCTAATATTTTTATGCCACTCCTTAGGAAAAACAAAAACCTCCTGGAGAATCCTACAAACATTTGGTTAAATGAGACAGTTCCTGTCTGAAGTGAAACAGAAAAGATGATTGGCAGAGAAAAATGTGGGGGAATGAATGCCCCACTTCTTTCAGACTTTTTGAATATCTCTGTTTTCCCTCTCATTTCTCTCTGCACAGACTACGGGGAAGGTTCCTCATGATGTGGTGGGTTTTTTGGCTGCCTTTTATTGTCATCACACTATCAAAAGCTGCTGACCATAATGCCCTGCTGTCCTTTGTCCCAGGGTCTTCCATCCACCTTCATGAACGTCTCCAGTGTCACGGAGTTCATCTTCCTGGGGTTTTCCTACTCCTGCCCCATGCAGCTCCTTCTGTTTGGCCTGGTCTTGGCCTGCTACATTGCGATCCTGTTGGGGAACCTCCTCATTGTGGTGACGGTGTGCGCAGAGCCCCGGCTTCTCCAACCCCCCATGTACTTTCTCCTGGCAAACTTATCTGTCATTGACACTGCCCTGGGTTCTGTGGCTGTCCCCAAGATGGTGGCAGACCTGCTGAGTTGTGATAGGACCATATTGTTTGGTGGCTGCATGGCCCAGATCTTCTTCCTGCACTTCTTTGGAGGTTCAGAGATGTTGGTCCTCACTCTCATGGCCTATGATCGCTATGTAGCCATCTGCCACCCACTGACATACACAGCCACAATGAACCGCCCACGTTGCATCAGACTCCTCACTTCCTGCTGGGCTGGAGGCTTCCTCCACTCTGCCACCCAGATGATCCTAGTCCTTCAGCTTCCATTCTGTGGACCTAATGAGCTGGATAGCTTCTACTGTGATGTCCCACAGGTGATCAGGCTGGCTTGTACTGATACCTACACCACTGAGATACTTATGGTGGCCAACAGTGGCCTCCTCTCTCTGGTTTGCTTCCTCATCTTGCTAGTCTCCTATGGCGTGATCCTGGCCACCCTTCGTGGACACTACAGGGAAAGTGGCAGAAAGGTTCTGTCCACCTGTAGCTCTCACCTGACGGTGGTCAGCCTCATTTTTGTGCCCTGTCTCTTTGTGTACTTGGTACCTTTCTCTAGCTCCAACAGGGACAAGATGGCTTCTGTATTCTACATGGTAATCACCCCTGCACTCAATCCTCTTGTATATACTCTACGGAATCAGGAAATGAAGGAGGCTATGGTGCGGTTGAAGAATAAGTGCAGACTCTCCCGTTCTGTGAAGGGAGATAAAGTATGACTGTCTCTTCCTAGCAATGCTATCCTTATTACTAAACTTGGGGATAAGGAAGAAATCCATTTGATTCACATTCTAATGTGATTTACCTAATTTCACACTTTTGATTCAGTTTGTGGAATTCTTTGAAATACACACTTGTCTGAAATTTTCATTGAAGTTCTCTAATCATTGAGGAAAGTACACTCAAAGCAACATTAAACATACTAGAGATATTGCTTGCAAAAATAACCCCCTTTATTATGTAAAATTACTTACACAAACGTGAAGAGAAGAAATGTGCACCTAAATTTGTACCAATTTAATACTGAAAGTGGGGCTTGGAAATTTACACAATAAAAAGCAAATTACAACAATAGCAAAGTGCCAGTTTCAGTTGTTAAGGCCAATACACAAAAATAAGATAGGTAGAGTTCAGGAAACCAGGATTGTATGGAAAGGGGTATTGTGGGGATTGAAGTTGTACACCACCCAGAAAAGGCTGGGAAAATGTTGGAACAAGATCCAAACACAAGTCTAAACAAATGTCATGAGAAAATTGGAATTCAATCATTTTAAGAGACTATGTTAAATTGGGAGGTATCATTTCAGACATCCAGAACTCCAGGGGCAGAAGTCACTACTGCTGGGATGTATAATTGACCAAAATGGAGAAGTTTGTAAGAAGTTTGCAATTGGATTTTATTTCATCTTGTGAGATCTCTATTTTTCCAGGATGATCATTATTTTCATTCTTTTCTAAGCATCTGTTCCATTCAATCCACAAGGAAGGTGCTTCCTCTGTCTAGAAAAAAAGCAAATTTTCTTTCTTTATGCAGTTAAACTGGCTGTCAAATTGCTTTAACTGTATCCTGTTTGAAAAGCAAATAAATTCCTAAATGGACAACACAATTGTTGCTGGAAAGATTGTGCTGTGAGAGGTGGGAAGAACATTTTGAAAATTAATAATAATACTGAAACAAGCAAAATGGACTGATCCATTCAGATTTTATATTTATTATGGACAGACTGAGCTCTTGAATTACAAAGAAATCAAAACTATTATGAGCAGAAGTTAACTGTGTTGGCAGGTCTCAGGGAACTGGATTCTGCTTTCTTCTCTTGAGTTTTTCCATGGCCATTTTGAAATCTTTGTTCCTCAGAGTGTAAATGAAAGGATTCAGGACAGGAGTGATGACAGTGTAGATAACAGAAACAACCTTGTCCATGGGAAATGCATGGAAGGGATGGACATAAATGTAGATGCACGGCCCAAAAATCAAGGTCACCACAATGATGTGGGAAGCACATGTGGAGACAGCCTTGCTCCGACCTGATGCAGAGCCTGCTCTGAGCCTGGCCAGAAGAACGGTGTATGACACAAGCAGCACAACAAAGCACATCAAGGTCACCAGTCCACTGTTGGACACCATGAGAAGCTCCACTATGAAGGTATTCGTGCAAGCCAGTTTGACCACCTGTGGGACATCACAGTAAAAATTATCAAGCCTACTGGGGCCACAGAAGGGCAGCTGGGTGATGATGGCCACTTGCACAATGGAGTGGATGAAGCCACCAACCCAGGAGGCCCACATAAATCCACTACATAGGGTTGCATTCATTATGGCCATGTAGCGCAAAGGGTGAAAGATGGCAACATAGCGATCATATGCCATGATGATGAGAAGAAAAGTCTTGATGCCACCAATGAAGTGGAAGAAGAAGATCTGAGAAATGCAGCCTCCATAAGTAATGGTGTTGGTCCTTGATAGGAAGCCAACCAACATTTTAGGAGCAGTTATAGAAGAGTAGCAGAAATCCAAGAAGGAGAGGTTCCCCAAGAAGAAGTACATGGGGGAGTGGAGGGTAGGCTCATAAACCACTAGACCCACAATCAGGAGGTTGCCCAACACGGTTGTACCATACACAGCCAAGAAGATAGAAAACAAGAGGTGCTTCAGCTTTGGATTAGTGGCCAATCCCAGAAAAATAAAATCACTCGCTGTAGTGCTGTTCTCCCCTCCCATCAGATCAGGTTTCACCTGGTGAGCACTGCAAGAATAGATACGGAGAAAAGTTATGGTAGACATTAAAGATTTTGAGTAGGATTCAAAATCTGCCTTCCATCAATACAAGGGCTCCATTGATGGGAGGTGCTGTCTGATTTGTAGAAATCCCCATTCCCATTCCCATTCCCACCACAAGAATTGACCTCATTCAGCTGGATCCTCCATCTTCTGAGGGCTGGAGAGTTTGCTTCAGGTGGGAGCAGGCCGATAAGTGTGCACATTGCCTGTGGCTCTGTCTACGGTGCATGCATTTAAATCATATTTAGACCTAACCCATCCTCTTAAGCTAATATTTTTTCAGGGATTATATACTTGTGGAGGAAATGTTAGCAAAAAATTTGTACAGAATCCAATGGGGCATTTATGACCCTGCTGACCCCTTTTCATTTCCTTTGGCAGGCAGTAGGTGCAAACAAGTCTATCTCACAAGCAAGAGAATTTATTTACACAAAGTTTTAGTGTTTCCTGTGGAGTGCCTTCAAATCAGTGCCAATTTTCATTTGTGTGAACTCCACTGTCTTCCTTCCTTCCTTCCAGAAATTGACAACACAGAGGTGAAAGAGAACAGAGAAGTGGAAGAGAATCAGTACAGAAAGGCAGGAACAACTGATGAATTCTGTCTCAGATCTCCCAGGATTTTTTGCTGGAGGTACTAGCCTGGGCCAGTCCAACATGTTTGCATCCTGATACAAGAAAAAATGGTTCCCCTTGCTATGGAAGGGGCAACTAGTATCCAAGGGCAACCAACTTATTTTGCTATTTAAGGAAGAAAATTTTGTACAAAAATATCCCAAGTTGTAAGAGGGAAATTGAAGAAATAAAAAATTAATAAGAATAATTAGAAAGGGATTGAATAAATAACAATTTGCTGCCATTACATTCTAAAAAGAAAATGCAAAAAAACATGCTAGTATATTAAGTTGCTACAATTCAAAGGCCACACAATTATGTGCAAGTTTTAGCATTTCTCAGAATTCTTTGTCAGGCAAGATGGTAAGAGGGGATAGAATAATTTCAGCTTTTCTCACTTGTTCATTCTTCCAGTATTACACTTGGTTCATCTCTTGGGTATTTCTCCAATCTAAAATTCAGCTTATCTTGATCTTTGAGAATAATAAAAAAAGACTTTGCATGAAATTCACAAGCCTTTTTATGCTATTTCTCCTAAGACACAAATTGTTGTATTGATTGTCTAAATTGCATATTTATTAGAAGAATTTTTCTTCATCTAATGTTTGACTGCTGTTTCCCTTAACATATTCCTCTCCCTGCACACAAACTAATTCTTTAATTGGAGAATTCCACTGCTTAATTAGAGAAACTATAAATTTCAAAGAATTGGTGGGGGAGATGAGTATATAGTGATTTGAAAGTGCAAATTCAGGAAAAAAAATTGCTACCCAGCACAAGTTTTTAAAAAAGCAGCTTGATATGGAATGGCACAGTAAAATGTGAACTAACTTAAAATCTTTCCTATTCCTAATGGAAAATGAACTTAAGAATGAGAAGTGGACAGGGAAAGAAACTGGAACCAAAAGCAGACCATGGACTGGTACATGCATTCAGGTTAGACTGTACCAGATTCTGAGACAGTTTCAAGTAGCAGCTGGGATCTTCCCAAGAATTGCTGGGAAGAAGACATGAACCAACATTGGTAGATGTCCTCTTGTTGAAAATTTAAAATCCCCGACAGACCCCAGGTGTAAGCTGTAACCATTCCAACACCACACGACTATTCCCTGTTTATCTCCCCTTTTGTGACACCCAAAATCAGCTTGCAGAGGTGGGTGCGTCGCTCTGCCGAATGCCGGGGCCGGTCCTGGCCCCAGTAATTCAGCCACTTTCAAGTACGTTTGCTCCACCAATGGCCCTTGCACACACATGGCAGCTGAGGAATAAAACAGTGTTAGAAATGCACAGCAAGTAAAACATCAAGGCAGCTCCGAAGTCCAAAACAGCCCCTCTTTCCAACAAGGTCATTGATATAAAATGGTGAAGCCTTTTAAAATGCATTCTGCAAAACTACTTGTCATGCAGGTGGATTGTGCCAAGAAGCTTGGCTCTCTCCATGTTCTGAAGACTTCAACAAGAAGCCTTCTCAGAAGGAGGTCCCAAGGGGCTAGTGGTGGTGCTGACCACTCCGGGGTGGTCCTGCTAGTTAAGTTTGCTTTCTCAGAAGAGATCCACCAGGGCTACTATTATTCCTGGTCCTGCCCCCATCAAACTCTGGACTGACCAGCTGATCTTGTTGTGGATTTCCCCACTGCCTCCAAAGCATTCAAGGATCAGGTGTTGCATGAGTGTTCCTGGTAGAAGCTGTTTGATGAAAGAAACTGGATTATTCTCTCCATACAGCAGCAGTAGGATGGCGGATGATGGGGGACAGAAGAAGGCAGCAATGAGATGTTTTGAAAGGATTGAGCCTTGCAGGGGGCAGTTCTGTTTGGGTTCTAAGACGAGCAGCCTGTTAGCTGCTTAGACCAGAAATGGTCTGATGGGATCCAGTTAAGCTTGAGCTTTGAGAGTGTTGAGATTTGGCTGAATCTAATGCACACCTCAAATTCCTGCTATAATTTTCTTGCTTTTCCTCAAGTTGGTAATAGAACAATTAATCATTTAATAGCATTTTCCAATTGATAAATACATGGATACATAATTAATTAATATAAAAATATACATGTATTTATGTATAAACTTATTTATAGGATACACACACATGATGTGCATATATGATATGCAAAGCATATATTATACTCTTCCTCAACATACACACTCCATAGCTTGCATCTTCCACACCACTCATTTAGGATTTACTTAAAACCTCGGGAACATGGCTCCAACTTCTAGGTAATTGCTCTGATCTTATTTGATCTTTCTTCATATCTTGCTCACATGTGTTGACAGTCTTGATCTTTGAGCCTTCTAATCTATCAAGCATCTATAGCAAGTCTTTGCACATTGCTTACTCACACTTTACTCACAGTATGCACACTCCTTAGCCACATTTTTTCTGTTCTTATTTGGGCCAATCTTTCACTACTGATGTGAGAGGATGCTACAAGAATACTTGTTAAACCTTGACATCAGAGTGTCTATACTACATTGTATTCTAAAGAGATTTCTGAAAGCAAGAAAAGTTCATATTTTTCCAAAAACACAGATGGAGTTGTGTTGAATAAGATCAACAGCATATCTGATTGCTCAGTGACCAACAAGTGTGGTGTAGTGGTGAAGAGTGTGGGACTGGGACTCAGGTGATCTAGGTTTGAGTCCCTGCTCAGCCATAGAGCGAGCTGGGTGACTTTGGGCCAGTCACAGCCTCTCAGCCCAACCTACCTCACAGGGCTGTTGTGGTGGGGATAAGATGGAGATCAGGAGGAGGAGAACTATATAAGCCATCTTGAGTTATTTGAAAGGAAAAGGTTGGGATATAAATCTAAATAATAAACCAGATGCCAGTGGGAAGACCTCAAGCTGGATATGAGTGTACATTCACACTCATGTTCCTCAGAGACTGATACACAAATGGATGTGACTTCTGATACTGGAGGTAATAAAAAAATCATGACAAGGAGTAATTGATAACCTTATGGAAATGAGGGACACACACACACACACACAGAGAGAGAGAGAGAGAGAGAGAGAGAGTTCTTCATATCTGCTTTCTTTCTTACAGAACCCATAGTTCTGCACTTCTCTATTCTGTCCCCACATACTCACATTTCGTCTAAATGGCACAATCCAAGAAGTATGAGAAGTTTGAGGGGTGGTGGGGGAATTACCTTAATAGAATGGAAATCCTGAAAATCATTGCATGTATACAGTGGTGAGAAATTAAATCTAGCCTGATTTTGGATCTATAAACCTGTTTCAGCACCTACCAGCTGCAAAAAGTTGTGGAATGGAAGTAACTTCTTTCCACCACCAAAATCTTTGCTTTATCTGCTGAATGTCATCTCAGAAATATATGGTGTCATCTACAAAGCACCAATATCTAAATGGGTTTGGAAGTTCAGGCAGGCCCCAAGGGAGCATGAAAGGCAACCAGATGATATGCACATTGCAAGGGGAGTCATTAAAAGAACTACTTGAATTTTTTCCTGGGGGATGCAAAAGTTCAAGCTTTGAGCAGGTTGCCAGGTAATATGTAAAAAGTTATAGTGAAATGCCACAAGGAGGGCAGCTGGAATGAGTGTGATGGAATGCACCTTGGCTGCTCCTCTTGACCATATATCATGTTGTTTTTTGCCTTTAAAATCTGAACACCAACTTTATGTTTTATGAAAACTAAGGTTCCCTGTAGTACAAGAACACCATAAACATCTTTTTACTTCTGGAACAAAGAACATAAGTGCTGAAAAAGAGACATGCTGGATTGGATCAATGGTCTATCTTGTCCACACCGTGGCCAAGCTGTTGCCCACAAGAAGGACATGAGTGACATGGCAACTGTTCTCCAGCTACTAGGGTACACAGGCAGATTTCCCCTGATCCAGGAGGCAGGAAATGGCCACCAGGCCTTGTAGCCACTGATAGCCTCCTCCTCTATGAATTTGTCCAGTCACTTTTTGAAGCCATCCAGATTGGTGGCCATCAGTGCAACTTATGGAAGCAAATTCCAGAACTGAATGGTGTGTTGTGTGGGGAACTGCTTCCTTTGATCTGTTCTGAGTCTCTGTCCTGGATGATCCCAGGTTCTAGTACTGTGAAGAGGGAGAAAAGACCTCCTTCTCCACTTTCTCCCCACCTTGAATAATTCTGAACATCTCCATCGTGCCTCCTCTTAGCCAGCTTTTACTGTTACTCGGGTCCCAAAACCGCAGCTTGAGGACGCCCAGTTTTGTTTATTGAAGGACAGGATCCTGAAAGTGTGCTTCAGTCCTCACACCCCTTGCTCCAGAGTTACCTCTTAAGGCAAACAATTTTGTCCTCTTTTTCTTCAATAAATATGTATTCCTCATGCTGATACTCAGATTATAAGGGATGTTTACAACTAACAGCTCAGACCAGAAATCTGATCAAGAGGAATAACTCAGGTTTGTTTCATCGTAATGTTTCCAGCTGCACCCCCTTGCCTTCACTTTGTAACTTTTTCAGCTCTAGTGGGGAACTCCCTGCTCATTTTGCCGTCTGCATCTCCCATGAGAAAACACAACTTTACTTTTAATGAGTCCCCTTGCAACATGCGTGCTGTCGGGTTGCTTCTCATGCTGTCTTGGGGACCACCCAATGTGGAACATCCAAATCCATTGAGATGCTGGTTTTTGGTAGACCAAGTTTTGTAGACCAAGGTATAAATTTCTGAGACATTCTGTCAGGCACAGAAATTTGTTGGTGGAAAAAGTTGCTTTCCCTCAATAACTCTTTGTGGCAGGTAAGTCTTACAGCAGGTTTTGTTAATTCTCATTAAACAGCCAGAGGCTGTTTGGGTATCTTCCATTCAAAGGTAATGTGTTTTCCTGCTGAGAATATGTTTTCTCAAGTCTGCAAATACTGCTTTGCTTTCTGAACTCCATCCCTGCAGCACTCAAAAGAATAAGCATTGCGATATCGGGCTTTTAAAAAGTTTTTCTTGTAACATCCTTTGTTCAGTAGTGGGTGCCTGGTCCGAAACAGGAGAGAGAAAAAATGCAACTCAGGTATGAGCATCGCGAGAGTAGAGCCTGCGTAAGCTAAGGATGAATGCAGAGTAACTGGACAGTTAGGACTGGAAATATTGGAGATCAAGAATGTCACCACATGTGAGCAATGTACGAGGAAAGAGCAAATGAGATATAAACAGGAGCTTCCTATTTTGGTCCATCTGCCTGATGGATAAAATATATCCAAGCTCAGAAGTGTGAAAGAAGTGAGTAGGGCAGCCTGTGAGATGGGATGGGGTGTCTTTTTAATGCCAAGGTAAACCCAGAGAATGCTGTTAAATATTTATGCCCTGGATTATTAGCATGAGGAAAAACAGGAATGTTTGTTTATTTTTCTCTCATGATTCCTGCATGGAGCATGTGTGAGGATGCAGCGCTTCCTTGCCTCCTTCCCTCACAGCAGCTATGCAAGGTAATTTAGGGTAAGGCAATGAGGACTTCAAAGTTTGGATTGTCACTTGTTTTCCTGACAGAGCTGTTGTGACTTTAGCAACTTTGGGTGCAATTCCATCTGCAAGTTCAGATGGAAAACAGGTCTACGAATTCCAGCATGCCAGTTTGGTTGGCTAGGGAATGCTTGGAGGCTGTTTTTCATCCAAACATTGAAGAGTTTTGTAGTTTCTTAAAGACAAAATGAATGAATGATGACACTAGAGCAGTGGATTCCAGAATTACACATACCAAAGTTGTGTAAAGAAGCTTTTCTCAGTCTGTGCAAAACCTATTGCCAAACTATTTCCTGTGACCAGTAAGGATGTCCAGTTCTTTAAGCTATCCCCCAACATATTCATCCAACCAGCAAAATATGATTTCATATGATTTCAAATTCCAACCATTGTCCAGCCTATTAAATGCTTTATTAAATCCATTTTTATCTCACCCAATAGCCATAAGGCTCTTGTAATCTCCACAGCTCTTCTTCTCTTTGTAGCTTCATCTTCATTTTGAGCTGCCTCCCAAAATCTCACCTATATTTAAATGTAAAGCCTGAGCTTCCCTTCCCTTCCCTTCCCTTCCCTTCCCTTCCCTTCCCTTCCCTTCCCTTCCCTTCCCTTCCCTTCCCTTTCTTTTCCTCCTTGCACAAGCAAGATATCCAGAAGCCCTATAGGCTGAATGCATGGAATTTCGGTGATGAGAAAAGCTTTATTTACATTTGCAAGAAAATTCAGGCTAGAAGAAACCTGTTCCTCTAACTTCTTCCTTTTGACTATTTCTTTCCTCCATTTCCTCCTGGTTCTGGTCCTTGTTTGCCTGTCAGTGATAGATGTATTTAAGCAGATAGATGGATTTATCATGAATAAGTATGCCCCATGTTATAGCCATTGCCTCATATCCACTCAGGGCCAAAAGAATTTTAACTGATTCATTGTCCCTCTTTTCCCTCCGTTCCTTCCTTGTTTTTGCCAATGTCCCTCTCTTGTCCAGATGCAACCCCATTAAAGCTCTCCCAGAGATGGAGGGTGACACCAGAAAGGTGCAACCTATGCCTGCAGAGTCGCTACACATCCACTCTGGAGGTCTGAAGAACAACACCCAAGTGTCGGAGTTCATCCTGATGGGGCTGTCCCATGAACGTGGAGCCCAGCTGTTCCTCTTCACCCTTTTCCTCATCTTCTACCTGACTGCCCTGCCAAGCAACATCCTGATCATCATCACCATCCGAGGTGACCCACATCTTGCCTCACCCATGTATTTCCTGTTGGCCAATTTGGCTTTCTTGGACATCTGGTACTCCTCAATTACTGCTCCCAAAATGCTGGTTGACTTTCTGGCTGAGCGCAAGAGCATTTCCTTCGGCGGCTGCATCACTCAGCTCTTCTTCCTCCATTTTGTGGGAGCCTCCGAAATGTTCTTGCTCACCGTCATGGCCTATGACCGCTACGTTGCCATCTGCCAGCCCTTGCACTACACCACCACAATGAGCAGGCGCCTGTGTGTCACACTGGTGACAGCCTCATGGGCTGGGGGCTTTGTTCACTCCCTCATCCAAGTCATGCTGATCATCCGCCTGCCTTTCTGTGGGCCCAACAAACTGGACAACTACTTCTGTGACATCACCCAAGTGTTGAGGATTGCTTGTGCCAACACTTTTGCTGAAGAAATGGCGATGATCCTCAGCAGCGGCCTCATCTCTGTGGTCTGCTTTGTGGCCCTCTTGGCTTCCTACGTCTTTCTGCTCACCACGCTGAAGAAGACTGCTGGACCGTCCACCAGGAAGGCCCTCTCCACTTGCTATTCCCACATCACCATTGTCATTTTCATGTTTGGTCCTGCCATCTACATCTACGCCCGACCCTTTGATGAATACGCACCTGACAAGGTGGTTTCTGTCTTCCACACAATCATCTTCCCCCTCCTGAACCCCATTATTTATACTCTCAGGAACAAGGAGATCACTACTGCCATCAAGAAGGTAGCCAACAGATGCCTATTCTGCAAGAAAAAGTGAGTGTCCATCTTGGATTCTTTCTTGTATGACAAGAGTGAGCAAATATGAACTGTTTTGACAGGGAAATGTCCATAGGAAATTACAGTTCTCTGTAATCCTTTAGTAGGGTTTTCTTTCCCTACTGTTATCTTCTCATTGCACTGGACCTTCTCTTACTCATGCAGCTAACAGATACAACCATGTAACAGAAATGTTATATTCCATTTCTGTTCAATTATCCACCTTACTGCCCTGTGTGCTTACGCTGCCTCCCAGAAAGCCTGAATGAGGCTACCGTCTCTCTTACGTCTTTCAAATCCCTCATCAAGGAAGCCACCTCTTCTGTGAATCCTTTGGTACAAGGTTCCATGTTCTGTTTTGCATCTCAGCCTGTAATTCAAAGCACATGGAACTAAAACAATAGCCTGTAATCTGAAGCACATGGAACTAAAACAATTGCATACTACACTTCCCTGTTCTTGTTTTCCTGCGCTGAAATCACAAGGTCAAAAGCTGAATATAAGCCAACAATGTGACATAGCTGCAACAAACATAAATGCTACCCTGGGCTGAATAACCAGAAGTATAGCTTCCATACCATATAAGGTACTGGTTCTCCTAGTTAGGCCTGATTTTCGGACCTCTGTGTCCAATTCTGGGCACCCTATTTCAAGAAGGATGTAGACAAGTTGGAAGGGGTTCAAAGGAGAGTAACGAGTGAGATTGGGGCCCTGTGCTGAGAGATTGAAAGAACTGGGCATGTTTAGCCTCAAGAAGAGAAGACCGAAGGGCAATATGATAGCACTCTTCAAGTACTTGAGAAGTTGTCACAAAAGAAAGGCCAGAGTCTCTTCTTAATTATGCTGGAATGTAGGACATAGAATACCATATGGGCTCACGTTCAGGAAGCCAGATTACTGCTGGACATCAGGAAGAACTTCCTGACTGCTAGAGCAGTATGGCAATGGAAACTTTCCTAGGGAGGTTGTAGGCTGCCCCACACTGGACATATTCAAGAGGCAAGTGGACAGCTATATGTCAGGGATGCCTTAACTTGGAGTACTGCATTGAGCTTTGGTTTGGACTCGATGGCCTTCTTGGCTCCTTCTAAGTCTACTGCTCTATGCTTCTTTGAAATTTAGGGTCCTGGAAGAAGGAGCTTGTTCCCTTCTATTTTGAAAACTGTCAGACATGTTGATAATGTATCATCATCATCATCATCATCATCATCATCATCATCATCTGAAGGTATAAGTAATGAGGCTCAGGTGGGGGAAGATGTGAGGTCCTGCCCCCATGCCTCTGTGGAGATGGCTTCATTGAGGCCTTACTTTCTTTACACTGCTGCCCATCCCATGATTCCCTCAGGACAAAATTTGTATTGAATGCCGCCAAGTGTATGGGGTAGCCAATAAAGGACTGAGGACATGCCAACCCTGAGATGTGTCTGAACCCATCACATTGCAGCATTTGTGAGAACACCCAAGAAATTCAAGGAAGCATCATGACAGCCATCACAATGGACTACAAAGGTGGTTCTCTGGCTCGATACACTATCTGTTGATTCATGGGATGCTTTTAGGAAAGGCATGTTTTAATCCTAATGGTTATGCTAAACGAGAACTGGAATGCAAAAGTCTCAGGTTTGATGCCTTTGCTGTGTACTCTTCATAGCAACCCATCACTATAAAGTTTGGTGTAAGTATAACAATAAAATTGTCCACAGCAGCAAGGCCATGTTCCATTTGGCCATTAATTCCCTAAGCAGCACATACCTCTGTAGACCATGAACATAGCTTGAAGCTGGGGAGACTGGTAGGCACAGAGTTATATGCCCTCTTCCTATTCCCCTGCTGTGGGGCAGCATACCCTTAGGGCAGGGGTGGTGAACCTATGGCACGTGTGCCACAGTGGGCACACAGAGCCCTCTCTGTCAGCACACGATCCAAGTTGACCCAGCACCGCCCCAGCAGCCGAGCATCGGATAACAGTGCACATAGGGGCCATGCGCATGCTCGGAAAGGAGTAGCAACATCAGGCGATGACATCACGAGCCGTGACTCATTAGCTTCAACTCGTCTGAGTTTTCACATGGTTGGCCAGTGTGCTGCCAAGGACATGTATATATTTGCTTGGACTAGCTGTTTTTGCTAAACTAAAACCTCAGTTTTCAGCTTTATTGAAGTGTTGGCACTTTGCAATAAAGTAGTATAAATTAGTGGGTTTGGAGTTGCAGTTGGGGCAGTCGGTCTCTAAAAGGTTCACCATCTCTGGGTTAGGGCTAGAAAAATGAGGTGTCCTGCCATTATTTTGATGGCTGGAATGTGTTTATCATGGGCAGAATTGGTGAGCTGTGCAGAAAAAGCTACTAAAAGAAGGCTTTTTCAAAAGCCACCTCTTTTCAATGTTATTCTAGCCCTATATTAGGGTTAGGGGAATGCACCAGGGTAGGGTTAGGGTTCCAAAAACGAGGTGTCCTGGCATGATTTTCATGGTTGGAGTGTGTTTAGAAAGGGCAGAAACGGTGAGCTGTGCAGGAAAAGCTACTCAAGGAAGACTTTTTCAAAAGCCACCTCTTTTCAATGGTATTTTAGCCCTATATTAGGGTTAGGGGTGTACACCCAGGTATGATTAGGCCAGTGGTGGTGAACCTATGGCACATGTGCCCCAGTGGGCATGCAGAGTCATCTCAGTCGCCATGCAAGCCAAGTTACCCCAGCATCACAGCATCGGATAACAGTGCACAAAGGGCCCATGCGCTTGCTCAGAAAGAAGTAGAGGTACCAGCTGATAACGTCATGAGCCGCGACTCATTAGCTGTGACTTGTCTGAGCTTTTGCATGGCCGGTCAGTGCATTGCCAAGGATATCTATACATTTGCTTGGACTGGCTGTTTTCAGATTTTATTGTAGTGTTGGCACTTTGCAATAAATAAGTGGGGTTTTGGTTGCAGTTTGGGCACTTGGTCTCCAAAAGGTTTGCTATCACTGCCTTAGGGGAACAGAGTGGGCACACCTACTAAGGGGCCTATAGAGCTTCACCATGACAAGAACCAGTGTGGGGCGAGTGCAGGACTGCGACTCAGGAGATTGGGGTTCTAATCCTCGCTCAGCCATGGAGCTAACTGGGTGACATTGGGCCAGTCACACGCTCCCAGCCCTACCTACCTCACAGGGTTGTTGTTGTGGGGTAAGACTGAGAGCAGGAGGAAGTCAAGGTGCAAGCTACCTTGAGTCCCTTGAAGCAGTACATGTCCTGCAGCAGGAACTGTGGGGCACAATCATTCCAAGTAGCCATGTGTCCTTTGTCCTCATTGTTTCCAGACAAGGTCTGAAAGAAATCATACTTAAATAAATGGTGAAATACAGTATCGTGTCTATCATATGCTGATATTTGTACTCTGCATGGTTTATAGAAGTTAGATCACTGGAATCTTCCTTTTAATAAGGCCTCTGGAGAGTTTAACCCTGCTCAGTACAGCCTTGGATGCAGCTCAGCCAGGAGCAATATAACTAAGGGGTGGAGGAAACCATGTTCTCCAGGAAAAGCTGCTCTAGATTTTGGAGGGAACGGGGTAAGTGCCTTTTTCATCTTGGGTCATCCTGCTCTCCCTCTTTTCCTTCTCTTGCTTTCTCTCTCCTTTCTCCTGCACCCACCTTCTTGACCACTTTCCTCCTTACTCACAATCTGCAACTAGGAGGATGGGCTTGAGCAATGAGGTGTGTGTGTGTGTGTGTGTGTGTGTGTGTGTGTATGGCTTTCCTGCTGCCCACTGAAGACTTTAAAGAGGACAGAAATTACTTTCAAAGCTAAGATCTCTTGCTTGCCAGCTCCCTTCACTTCTGCTCCCTGTCAGGTCCAAAGCAATATGTTGACACCATTCTGGTGGATTTGTGGAGGAAAGGCTTCCCCAACCTGTTTCTCTTCATCAGAGGTGGACTACAGACCCCTTCATCCCCCAACAGCCTGATCAATGGAAGTTGTGACTGCTCAAAGAAGATGAAAAAAGTTCTCCTTGAGGTCCTTCTGCAACAATGTAGGCCAAGGTCAAGTCCTCCCCAAGAGATTGTCCATGCTGGTTGGGGATCATGGGAGTTGTGGTCTGGCTACTTGGAAAGGCACCACAGTGAGAAATCCAGTCCAAAGAGATCTCAGAGACTGAAGGTTCAGCAAAGAGCCATCAATATTACTCAAGGGCTGAAATAGACAGGAGAGGAAGTAGAGAACGGTTGCCCCCACCCTCTCTCCTAGGAACAGAACTTAGGCTTCCCAGTAGACAACAGAAGAGACCAAAGAGGTCATCTCATCTGATTGGTCATTTGGTTTTGAAATTTGCTGCCTCTTCTTTCAAGAAATTGTGCTCTTGTCTTCTAAAGGGCTCTAAAACAGGGGTCTTCATATACAAAACCATGGAGCAGAAGCCATTGCAAGGGTTTCTATGTTTCTAGCTTGTACTTTTTGGATAAACTTCTGCAGCTCAACACATTCATGTGACAACAGCAACAACAACAAAAACTCTTTGAGATGCTTTCACTAGAAGATTGCCTTCTGAGAGCTTTATTGCAGTTTAGAAAATATGTCCATGGGAAGAGATCCTTCCTCTCACTTTGTGCTTGTGCACTACATAGTTTTCTAGTGGGGAAAGCAAAACTTGCCCACACACTCCCATGCAATCATGCCTGGGGGAGCTGAAAACCATCCCATGCATCACACCACCATACATCCGGGTTTGCAACAGTGTGTGTGCTCAGGGGGGACAATTCTGCAGTGGATGTGCAGGTAGGATACTCTTGTTTTCTTCTGCGTTTCAAGGCTCCTGGTTCCCTGTTTGTCAGTTTTGTTACATGCACAGCTCCTATTTTTGAGTGGCAGGATGTTTCCCTGGGCTCAGGAGTTATGGAAGGCTTAGTTTCCCTTAAACGGCTGGTGCTGGAGGTCAGACTAGATGGCCCGAGAGAACCCTTCTGACTCGCTCTGTTTTCTATGTTTCTATGATAGAAGTTTTATGGACACAGGTACACACCCTAAGCAGGAGGTGAGATTTCCCCTCAAAGGAACAATGGGGACTTATCCAGCTCAGTCTACTGCATGTGGTGCTTCCATAATGAGGAAATTATGCATGCCCAGAAGCCTGATCCATGGAGATGCCAGGTGGAGGATCCACTCAGTGCTTCAGTCAGGGGTACAAAAACAAAGGGATACAAAGGTTGCCCTCACTGAGTGGCTGGGTCCATGCCCAACACCATCAGGAGTGAAGCCATGTCTACATGACATCATGTAGCCCCCTGGAGGGATGGGCGTTCAGATCATTTGGCCCTCACCCTACTTTGGTTTTGCACCCCTTTCCTCAAGAAAGAAGAGGACAGGCCATTAGGAAAAAATGGCACTGTTGCCTTGACACATTCCATAACAACCAGCTAGAACCACTGGGTCCTCCAGCCACACGAATGTAGATCAACAAATCCATTGGTTACGCGCATAGCAAGGATATACAAGAATGAAGGAAAAATAAATGTAACAGTTCCCCATCTGAATGATGTTTTACTGCAGAGCTCTCCTTCAAAGGATGGAAAACGGGACATATCCAAATGTGGCAGAGTTCATTCTCCAGGGTTTATCACAGATGTGGGAACTGCAGCTGTTCCTCTGTGTGCTTCTGCTCATCTTCTATGTCATCATTCTGCCTGGGAACATCCTCATCATTGTGACGATTTGGAATGACCCCCAGTTGGGATCCCCCATGTTTTTCTTCTTGGCTAACCTTGCCTTCATGGACATCTGCTACAGCTGTGTCACCCCTCCGAAGATGATCTCTAACCTGTTGTCTGGCAGTAGATCCATCTCCTATTCAAGCTGTATGGCTCAGATATTTTTCATCCATTTTCTGGGTGCATCTGAGATGTTCCTGCTCATCGCCATGGCTTTTGACCGCTACATGGCCATCTGCTACCCACTCCACTATGGCTCTGTGATGACCAGATGGCTTTGCTGGGTGTTGGTGCTATGTGCCTGGGCTGGAGGGTTCATGCATTCCATAATCCAGGTCATCCTCATCGTCCTGCTCACGTTCTGTGGTCCCAACAAGCTGGACAACTTCTTCTGTGATATCACCCAGATCATCAGGCTGGCTTCTACTGATACTTACACTTTAGAGTTTGTCATGTTTGTTAGCAGTGGCCTGGTCAGCACGGCATGCTTCATCCTCCTCCTCATCTCCTATGGGGCCCTACTGGTCAAGGTGAGGATGGGTTCCAGCCAAGGGAAGAGCAAAGCTTCCTCCACATGCGTCACCCATATCATCATCACTTTCATCATGTTTGGCCCAGCCATCTACATCTACTGCCATCCCTTCCAGGACTTCCCATTCGACAAAGTGGTGGCTTTTTTCCACACGGTGGTCTTTCCCTTGATGAACCCAACAATCTATACACTGAGGAATAAAGAGATCAAAGTTGCCATGTGGAGACTGCTGAAGAAATATAAAATGTGGGGGAACAAGTAAACAACATTGTTAAATGTATTGGACATGGAACTCTGTAATATAACATTAAAGGCATAACAACTTCAGATTGTTGTAACCAACTTCAGTCACCAACTTGATGAGGTATCAAGTTGCCCTAATATTTCATATTTAAGTTCCCGCTAGAACAAAAGCAGCTAGTCTGGACTGTGTCTTGGTGGGCTGTACTCTTGCAGTTCTGTACTGACTGTGTAGTCCTGACAAAATAATTGAAACTGCAAATTTTAAATGCATGTTTTGCTATGTGCTATCATTCTGACTCAACTGCAAGTCAGAAAGAGAGAAAAAATGGTGGGGGATTGTAGAAGCAGGAGAAGAGCTGAAGGATCTCCTTAGAGCTGCTGCTGTTTTGCTGAAGCTCCGTTGGGACATGTCCTCACACATGAGCCCACTGAAGACACCCTACCTAGCCCAAGCAGGACCACAAGTTTAGCACACTCTGCTAAATGGGGAGAAGCAGGAGAGAATCAAGACAGAGGAATACGTGCCAACAGCCCTGATTATTTGTGGCTGAGATTTCTTGATGGGCATATGAGGTGGGAATAATTCCAAAAACTGGAGAAGGTGTGACAGCTGCAGGCATCCCCCTGGATTCATTCTTCATTGAACACACACACCTTCGCACACACAGTACCTCCTTGTGCATACAAAGTCTCTGTGCATGTGATTCCCGCACCGTTCCTCACAGTTCTGTTGTCCTGGGTGCCACATCTGCTTTGGAGAAGCTCCTGGGGGGTGACATTCCATTGATGGTCAGGGCTGAAGGCAAAACAGGTCTGGGCAGAAGGGCTAGGACAAATACAAAAATATGAACGTATTTTAGCTTAAAGCTTTAACTTCCAGTGGATGAACCCTAGGGGAGGCATTTCAGCCTTCCAGAATGAGGATCAAATCTACACAAAGAATAGGAACCCACAAAATCATAAGTGGTCTGGAGAAAGAGGGCAGCGTTCTATAGGGAATCCCAGAGGGGCAGATGGAGACCCTGTGCCTATGATCCTGTACCCTGACCTCCATGGACTAACCCTCCTCATTCCCTCAGTGTGACCCCTGACCAATTTTTTGTAACCACACAAATCATTCACTCATGTATCTAACTCCATAGCTGCATCGCTTATATCCACAGCCATCCAAGAAGAGAGAGACACACAGTGCGTCAATTTCATCAGCCCATAGCAGTAGGGAGTGGCCCAAGTCCCATCAGCCCCAGCCAATGGTAAGGAATTGTGGAAGTTGTCCTCCAATATTGCCTGCAGAGCAACCATTTATTTATAGCTTTATTTATTATATTTATATCCCTCCTGTTATCCTTCCAAGAAACTCAAAGTTGCTTATGTCATTCTCCTTCTCTCAATCATATCCTCATGACTACAGCCCTGTGAGGAAGGTTGGTCTGAGGGGCTATGACTGGCCCAAAGTCACCCAGAGGGCTCCAGGGCCAAGCGGGGACTAGAATCCAGATTGCCAGAGTACCAGTCCTGCGCCATTAACCATTGTACCACACCAGCTCTCTGAAAAGACGGGTGGTGTTGCTTCCCAGTTGGATACTTGTAACATGGAACGGTGCCTTTGGTTGCATGGATTCTATGTGTATAGTGCAATGAACAGACACATCTGCTGCCTGGGAGCTGTGTGGCTAATGGGGTAGCTTAGAAATCTAATCAAATAATTAATAAATATATAAATCTGGGACTTGGTCCACCACATTGTCAACTCCAAGACAGTGGTGAAGCTGGAACTAACCTCAGCATAACATTTGATAACATATTCATCTTGACTAAATAATGCATACGTTAAGCTGTAGGTCATAAGAAGCATTTTTTATTTTATTTATTTATTAGAACATTTCTATGCCGCCCCTTGCCGAAGACTTGGGGCGGCTTACAACACAATAAAATACAATAAAATATAAAAATAACAATATAAAATTAAAATTAACAATATAAAATAAATAAAAAATATAAAATATAAAAGAAGTCGCCCTGGCCAGATAAATAAGCAAATATTGTTAACAATTAAAATGATGTTTAAATAAAAAGGTCTTCACCTGGCGCCGGAAAACAAATAACGACGGCACCAGGCGGACCTCTCTGGGGAGCGCATTCCATAGATTGGGCGCCACCGCAGAGAAAGCCCTCCTCCGAGTACCTACCCTCCTAATTTCTTTCATGGAGGGTTCCCGAAGAAGGGCCTCTCCCGCAGATCTCAAGCTAGAATCAACATGAAGGCCCTTCATACATTTTGGAGCTAGAATCAACATGAAGGCCCTTCATACATCATGTTAATCCAAATAAGGTGTGTGTGTGTTAATGGAACACAGTTTCTATGCAGAGAGGATTGTATCAAACTGGTAACAAGAACAACAACAACAGCAACAAATTAAATATATATACTGCACCGAATGATCCCACCCGGGACTCCTTGGCCGGTGTACAACAGCAAAAAACAAAGCAAAACAAAACAAAACAATTATATAGATTATACAGAAAATAATATTTCAAATTCCAATATCTATTAAAATAAAACAACTATGACTGCTACATAGCACCTTAAAAGTTACTCTAAGCTAGGATAGTGGAATAAAACATGCTAAAATTTTCATAAACTCAGTCAGCTTAGAATTAAAATTAATTTAATGCAATTCAATTAATCAACTTTTAAAATGCCACCAGGTTTCCATGGTGCTCACTGTATCCAAGTTAAATCAGGCATTTCACCATTGCAAAGTAACTCCTACACACAACAAAGGTGTTCAGATGTCTCTTTGCATCTTTGCTTTGGGCCTCTTTGACTGGTTATCAAGTTTCCCTGAATGGTCATGGGCTATTTTCTCCCTGTATCAACTAGGGCAACCTTCATCCCCTAGAGATGATTCAGCCTGAACTGGATGCATCTCAGTGACTGGCAGGTTTCAACCAGGTTTAAACTCTGATCTGGTACCATCTTTATGCTACAGGTCACATCAGCCTAATTGGCCCATGTAAGCAGCTGGAAAGGGTTTTTTGTTTTTTGTTTTTTTGTTTTGTTTTGTTTTTTTGCTTTCCATCCACTTCACATCACTAACATCTTATCAGAAATGACTTCCTTTCTTCTCAGCTTCATCATGGCCATCTTCACATCCTTATTCCTCAAGGTGTAGATCAAAGGATTCAGCATGGGGGTGATGATATTGTACAGGAGAGAGACCAGCTTGTCTACTGAGAAAGTGGAGAAAGGCCGAGCGTAGATGAAGATGCAGGGACCAAAGAACAAGGTGACCACAGTGAGGTGGGAGGCACATACATTGAAGGCTTTCCGTCTGCCCTCGGGGGAGCGGATCCTCACCAGGATGGTTGCATAAGATATCACCAAGATAATAAAGCAGCTGGTAGAGATAAGACCACTGTTGGAGACCATGAGGAGCTCAATGACATAGGTGTCAGTGCAAGCCAGTTTGATGACTGGTGGGACATCACAGAAGAAGTTGTCCACCTGATTGGGCCCACAGAAGGGCAGTCTCATGGTGAGGATGGTCTGGACTGTGGAGTGGATAAAGCCTCCAGTCCAAGATGCTGCCACCAGCCAGCTACAGAGATGCCTGTTCATGATGCTGGGATAGTGAAGAGGCTTGCAAATGGCCACGTATCTGTCATATGCCATGACGGTGAGGAGGAACATCTCAGCTGCACCTACAAAATGGAGGAAAAATAGCTGGGCCATGCAGGCATCAAAGACAATGCTCCTCTTCTCAGCTAGGAAGTCCATCAACATCTTGGGGGCTGTGACAGTGGAGTAGCAAAGGTCCAAGAAGGAGAGGTTCCCCAGCAGGAAGTACATGGGTGTGCTCAGCTGAGGGTCTGATACCACTGTCAGCATGATAAGGGTGTTTCCCACTATGGTGGCTGCATAAACCAGGAGGAAGACGACAAATAGAACAGCCTGCGATTGCCGTGTTGGGGAAATGGCTGCCAAAAGGAACTCATCCACCATTGTGTGATTTCTTTTCAAGTGCTCCATTTTGCCTGCAAGGGTCAAACAAACAAATACATTCCAAGGAACACACTTTTCTCTTCCAGTTTAATTCTGCATTTTACTCCTAAGTAAATGGAGCAGTTTGAGATTCATTTCCTTCTCACAGAAGGAAAATGTGACATGTTTATGTTAGAATCAGACGTCCTCATAGCTTTATTCTCTGGAAATATTTGCGTACAGAATTAGAATGCTTTATGGAGAAAGGAAACATATTTATTCACCTTATGCTTAAAGGATAATGTTGCCTCCAGCTAAATAATAGTAAATCCAGGGCTGGGCCCAGATTTAGTTATACCTCAACTCTTGTTAGTCACAAAGTCATGCCCAACCCATTACACCCCCATGGACAACATTCCTCCAGGATTTCCTGTCCTCCACCATCCCCTGGAGCACATCCAAGCTCACACCCACTGCCCTAGTGACTCCATCCAGCCACCTCATCCTCTGCCATCTCCTTCTCCTTTTGCCATCAATGGTTCCCAGCATCAGGGTCTTCTCCAATGAGTTGTTCCTTCTCATTAGGTGGCCAAGATATTTGAGTTTCATCTTCAGTAACCTCAACTAGACCCATTGAAATCATGGGTCAATGTCCCCTTATGTCCCATTGATTCCAATGGGTCTGCTTTACGTAAGGTCAAATTTAGATCCAGCCTGAATGATTGTGCCATGATCCGTCAACCTAGATCAGCATGCTAAGTTTGATTATACATTCCCTTTTTTCCAGAAAGAAAAATAAGAGGCACCATGTATATGAGAAGAATTCTGTCTTCAGCCAGGGAAAGGAGGAGACATGGTAGAATGCAAATACAATGTACAATTTATTTATTTATTTACAATATTTTTACCCCATCCTATACAAACGTCCCAGGACAGCTTAAAACATAAATAAAACATAACAATAAATAAATACAACAAAATACAATAACATAACAAGCATAACAGAATGTGACTGAGGATGATCATATTAAAAACTAGTTAAAATGTTTAAATATTAAAATACTGGGCAAATTTTAAAAAGCTTATCCAACTTTTCTTTTAAGAAAAAAAATCACAGAACACTTCCAATGTAAAATCATGAAACACATTTTTGAATCCAATCATTACACTGTAAAACAATGATAAAAATCAAGGCATCTTAAGTAAAATGTCTAAGCATAGTTGTCAATATTTGTGCACTTGTAAATGCCTGGACAAAAAAATACACAGTCAGTGGAAACAGTTCAGGCTAAATGCTTGTGTGATCTCAGTGAAGAGATCATTTCACACGAAGGATCTGAAATTGTGTCAATGACTTGAAGCAGTAGAAAGTGTTGGATGACCCTCAGTTCCTTTTAACAAGTTGCAACCCTCAGAGTTTTGCTGTGGCCAGTCCTAAAGCTACTCACCTACCCTAATCCTATGCATGTAGAGAGGGAAAGGGTATTCTCCCTCTCCCATAACATTTGAACCCAAAGGGGTCCTTCTATGAAGTTGATGGGTGGGAGGTTCAGGACAGATAAAAGGAAGTACTTCTTCACAAGGTATAGGTAAACTGTGGGATTTGCTTCCACAGGAAATGGTGATGGCTTTAAGAAGAGATTGGACAGATTCATGGGGGAAGAGGCCATCAGTGGTTACTAGCCTTGTGGACTATGTGCTACCCCCTTCACCAGAGGTGGCATGCCTGCATGCAGCAGATGCTGAGCAGCTGGGCAGCAGGAGGTCTTGCACCAATCCTGCTTGAGGGAACTTGTGGGCAGATGTTCTACCGCCATGTGTAAGGAATGTTGGACTAGATAGTCCTTTGGTCTGATCCAGCATGACTTTTCTTCTGCTCCTGTGTTTAAATGGAAAGCTTTCCAATTCCCAGCATGTCCAAGCTACGTATAGGAGTTTCTTCATAAGTTCGCATAGGATCATGTTCTTCTTATCCAGAACAGCACAAGAGAAGAAAGTCCACAATAGGTGGTGACATTTCTGCTACCAAAAACATCTACAGTAAGTCCCAGCACATGTACTGAGACTCTATCATTTTGTGAAGCATCTCAAAGAGCTTTTCTTTTCCTTTTGAAGAAAAGATATTCAGAAGTGTTTTAAAATAAAAATATAGCTATTTATCCAATGGATTTTTAAATCTTTTTCAATGCAAAATCACTCCATAAACAGTTTACAATGTACTTTCAAGCACAAGGTGGATAACTAGATCATAAAAGCATTAAACATTTAGTTGGTCAATCATTTACATTTCATATAAGATGGTAGGAGTAGAAAAAGAAACTAAAGAAAGCAATTCTGACATCCAAATAATAAGGACCAGTTACATAGTGTTCTCTCAGAGGGACCCAAGAGAGTCAATGTTATAAAATAAACCTTTGTGAAGAAGGTTAGAGTTGTTAAGATAAACCTGGAAGCAGATGTTTTAACACCAGATTTCTTAAGGAGTGTTGTTGGTCAAGATATCCGTGTACAAAAAGCAACAATACTTCCTGTTGATTATGTTTTCCCTTTGCTGATCGATGCATCCTGCTTTTATTGAGTAATGTTTCTTGCTATGCTGTTTTCTGCTACTAAGGATTACAAGAGTCTAAACATGTATATTGGCTGTGCATGATGATTGAAACAGCTGGTCCTGACTGGAGATGGGTTAACGCTATATTACTAGTGTGCACCTTCAGTATAGAGTTAACTGAAAGACTTTGCTGGTGTTGCTTGTCTCTTTTCATGGTCAGACAGCAGACTCAGGGTACTTTTGCCCCCAGCAGATACCTGCTTAAAAGGAGAATATGCTGTACCATCTTGAAGCTCACCATTTAATTTGTCCTTTCAGATTTTGGAACTACGATCTTCCAACCACCCTTGACAGTTGACAGTAGATGCTAGATGCTGTAGCTTAGCCTTCCCTTTTTTACTCTGCTGGAGAGCTATTAGTCCAGGATAACTGCTCAATGTGTCATCATCTCCCCCAGAGTGTGGAACACTTGATGGCAAGGTGGAAGACAATCTCCCTCTGACAGGGGAAGATCATCTCCCCTTTCATATCTGAAATTAGACACAAAACAGAACTGGAAGAGATGACATCCCTCTAGTGGATGGAAAGAGTCAGAAACAGTGAAAAGCAGTTCGATGTGTGAGAGAGGTGTGGACATGAAGGTGCAACCTTGGAAAGAGTGGTGAGCTCCTGAAGTTGCTTTCTAGAAGATTTCTGCCTGCTGTGGAAGAGCATGTTTTGTTGTTGTTAGGTGCTGTCAAGTCATCTCTGACTTATGGCAACTTGAAGAATGAAAGCCCATGGACAGGAGTGAAATATCCTGTCCATGCCAGCCCTGCTCAGCTCTTGAGGAGAACATGTTTGCTTCCATTATTTCCACTATTTTTATTCTGTCAATAAAGCTTATTCTGAACCTCACACTAGCTTCCATGGTGCATACTCTATTTCCAGCATCACCAGAAATATCTATCTTTCTGTCTGTACATAAACATATACTGTATGAACAAAAGTTGTAGACCAATTAAGTAGTCTTAGAAAAAGTGACACAGCTTTTTTGGTGGCTTTCCAGAAAAAGCAAGAATGATATTGATTTCAGCACTGCTTCTATAGATAGATAGATAGATAGATAGATAGATAGATAGATAGATAGATAGATAGAATTCTTATTTATGGAATTATTTAATTATAATTTATAGTTGTCCAGTTCTGCATTTGAAAATTTTGAATCCATTAAAAGAATTAAATTAGAACAAAAAGAAATGGATGTTGGATGAAAGAAAGGAAGTGGGAAAGAAATAATATGGATCCATCCTTATGAATAAAAAAATACTGCCCAACCTCTCAAAGCTTTTGAGTGGAAGTGAATGCAGCCCTGAGGTTCTTCCGCAGCCCCGTTTACTGTACAAAGGCATCCAGAGAGCATCAGCTGTGATCTTTTTGGGATCAGGTTAAAACTGTCCTCTGCTCCTAGGCATTTATTGACAAATAATGGGACATATCAGCTGTTTTAATCAGGATCAGTTTTACTGAAATTATTTTAGATGTTTAAAATGTTTGAAATGCTGCATATCTGAATGTTACACTGAGTTTTATTGTATCTGCATTATTATTCTGTCCATTTTTATTACTGTACTTTGATAAAATGTGTGGACCACTATATGTTTCAGCTATAGGGTGGTATAGAAATAATACACATCATCATCAACAACCCTACACTAGTCCCCTGGACTACAGTCCTGTCTTTTCTTGCAAATAAGGAAAGAGGAGAAAAGGATGTGATGACTTACCTTTTGCTGCTTCTAAACTGCAGGCAGCCTTTCAGATAGATCATGGATTTTTCATCTCCATACCTATATTATTTCTAGTCCTAGGAGATGCAGGAAAGAGGCAGGAGGTGAGGGTGAGGGTTACCCCAAGGCATGTTGACCTACTGCTAGGCAGCAACTTCCATTGGTCCCCACAGACCTTGTTAAAAAGCTGGCACTAAAATAACTTTAGTCAGCAGGTTTCTTCATTGTTGGTTTGCTGTATTTAGATCTGAGTTTTCCTGGAAGGGGCCCAGGGCAGCTTTCATGGTCCTTGTCCTCTCCATTTGCCCTCACAGCAACCCTGTGAGGTCAGGCTAAGAGTCTGCAACTGGCCCTAAGTTACCCATGGAGCTCCATGGTCAAGAGGAATCTAGAACCCAGATCTCCTGAGTCCCAGCCCCACACTAACAGGCAGGCCATTTCATGGTCTACTTCTTCATATCTTTCTTCCCTTTTAGGTTATGAGAAATTAAAAGCAATGTGGCTGCAACTATTTTTATCCTGTTGATGGACAATGGAGAATGCTGGTGACCAAGTGACTACTCGTAGTAATAAAGAACTGAAAAGTTATTTTAGCTTTTGCCTTTTTATTGTTCTCAATTGTTCTGATGAATTCTTATTTTTTCAAATTAAAGCTTTATTGTATGCTTGGTAATTTTAATATTCTTACGGTACAGTCTTAAGCCTGCTAGGCAGTAAAGAATTCTACATCTCCCAGCATTCCTGAGGCCACTATGTTGTCTGGGGAATGCTGGGAGATGGTGGCTTTCTTCTCCTATTACATGAGAGTTCACCTTTAGTTGCTTCGGTGGGAGCTAGAAATGAATGGTTGAGAATTGTGCTGAGAAAGCCCAGTGTATTTCCAAGGATGATTCCTCTATAGCAGATGCCCATCCATGACAGGTAGGCCAAGAATAAAAACTGGAGGAACTGATGAAAGTCCTGAGCTGTCAGAATGAGGTTATTCCTAGGAAGGGTAAGAAGGAGGTACCCATGAATAGCTTCATCTCCCTGCTCTGCGGCAATAATGCCTGGAGAATGAATTCACTCTCCCACCCATGTTTTCCACCAAATCCAACTACAACTACAATCAGCATGGTGAGAATCAGGGAGTCATAAACAAAAGTATCTGTAAGGCACTACGATGGGGAAAACTGTTCTAGAGCATTTATTTATTTTGCAAAAAATGCAGTAATTTATTTACACTTCTATTACAAGTTATTTTTAATAGCTTTGTTCTACAAGATCGCCATAATAGCTCCACTCAAGGAGATTACTGATTTGGGGCCCCCATGTATTAGTAAAATTAGGGACAAGCTTAGTCCATCAATCCCAGCCACAGGCCTTCTCCTTTCCTTGGAGCCTCTTCTTTAGCTAGTACAGTTGGCTGCATAGTTTCTCATGGAAACAGGTCTACCAGGGTTACACACAGACTAACAATGAGCCAAGATGAGCCAGGTTTCTCAGCATCAGATCATCTGCAGTATATTCAAATAGCATCTGACGGAGGAGGGCTATCATCTGGGGTCCCAACACAGTTTTTTTCTTTTTCCTTATTGGTTTACTTCGTAGGCATGGATGGACAGTTGCATCAACCTTACAAACAGATTGGGGATTCTATTGGTGTACCGTGCACCTTTCTGCCCAGCAGTCTCCCTATCTGAGCTGACAGAGACCGTCTCGGACCTGGTGTTGAGGACCCCCAGGA